ATACAGAGACTGCCAAAGGCGGCCAGGAAGCGCCATCCAGGCTTGAATTTTTCAGTCTCAGGAGCTTCGAACTTATCAGACGCTGATTCGCTCAAGGGCTCTGTGTGAGGTATGTCGGTTTTTTGTTCGTCCTGGCCGGACAGTGATGAAGGTGTCGTCATGGTATGCTGGTTGCTGAGCAATATTGCGAAGGAGGCCGACCCAATTATATGAGATGGATGCGAGGCTGAGATAGCTACGAGTTGAACGGCTCGTGACGATGATGCCAATCAGATGTTGTCTGACTGATCGTCGCTTTTGAAACGATTGTCAGTCTAGATATACTTGCTGCAAGCCGTGCTTATACGACATGACGGACGAAGATGCCATTTGACCGGTGTAGAATCAGAGCGCAGGAGTATTCACATACACCCCTCGGGACAACATTGCAGTGTAACATCTTTCGACCGGACATCTTACTTCAGCCTCAAGCCATCGCACTAACCACATTGCTCCATCACCTTACAACACCGCGAAAACGTGGTCGGTGCAGCAAGACTTTGGCTTACGGTGGCACTCAAAGGCGCGGCCGAAATCAGGAAATCACTGTCGGAACCAATCAGACTAGATAGCAAACCTTTCAGATCGGGCACAAGACGCGATATGGCGTTTTGGTGCAAGTATGTTTAGCGTGCATGCGATGCTGATGGGCTGCCACATCCAACGCTGTGCGGGGAGTTGTTCATCCGGCTCTAGGCCAATCTGAACTGGCGCGTTTTCGAGTCTCTCCGACGAGAGCAATGTTGACGTTATTGCCTGAAAAATAAGTCTCACATTACCAATCACGGCGGTATGAGTGTGGAGATTGCACATGATGTAGAGTATAGTTGTCGATTGAGATGTCGTACAGCTTACAGTTGCTGATCAGATGGCCGCGCCTCAGGGCCGGAGGTGGTTGAGCGCTAGTCACGAATCCGGCGAAGAGGCTTGGCGTTGCTGGAATACGCGAATTGACATGATGCATGCGTCCCACCCTCTTCAATCGACAGACTGCTTTCATGCAACATCACCCATCATGCCATTCATCGATTCGGACTGGTGCTTGCACAATACATTGTCGTCTTTGGGATCTAGCGCTTAGCTGTGACTGCTTGTCCTCCAGGTGCCGACATGTGGAATCGCGAACTTGGGAAACCCGGCCTCCAGATGCCTAAGCACCTCACTGAGAAGAAACAAAGTGGATGTTCGCAATGAGCTGCTCTACTAGCAGCTGTGTACAGATCTTGCTTGGGCCAATGCGGGGCCGCATTCATTCCGTAGGCTCCAAAATAGAAAAGTTATTGACTTTCGTTTTGCGATAGGGCACCCCTAAGCGATCCGTTCCTGTTGATCGCCACGTGCAGCTCTTGATGGCGCTCTTCTTTGTTTGTAAACTTCTGGAAGCACTTCGGAGTGCGCAAGTAAGGAGTGTGTTCCAACGACTTGTACCTGCTCGCGACGGTCCAGGACGAAGGAGCGCATCTACCTAGATATCCTTGAAGCATCATACCTTGAGGTCATCACCGCCCGAGAACATGGACCGAACCGTGGGGTCCTTCAAGTCCTTCATTCGAACCGTACCGCCAAATCCGAGCACCTTGAGCGACGTCTCGCCATTGACTCCAGGTAGTCAGACACTTTACCCTCTAATCATGCCATTACCGCCGAAGCAAATGGACACCGATGTTAACTTCACTCCATGGATAGCGCCCACCGAATGGGATTCCATTCCACCTGCTCAGCCGGTTCCGGTCTCTGCGACCCGCGAATGCTCCCCACTAATACCAGAGCCGTCTCCCAGTATTGGCAGCATACGGACAGAGTCTTGGTCCTGGTCGGCGGAGACAAGCGACTTTAAGCCTGCACCATTGCGACCTGCACGTCAATATTCGGACCCTGCATCTAACCAACCAACACGCGAACTGTCGAGATCTTCGTCGCATGGAAAGGCCCTAGACACTCTTATCTCTCCCACCTTTTCAACACCATGCGCAGATGTCATATACCAAACATCAAACGATTCACGTAGAGCGAAAGCATACGTATCGTTGGGCATAATGTGGCCGAGAGAGACGAAGACTGGATGCGAATACTGGTCTGCCACTCCGGATGAAGACAGCACTACACGAATATCTCCAGCATTACGAGGGAAGAAATTACCACCATTGTACCGTGCGAGCCCATTGTTGGATGATGAATGCGAGGATGAGGAGCTGAGCGATAAGTTGCTACTTCTAGGCTTCTCGCAGGACTATCATGGTGTACTGGCGGACCAATACTATGAATGCAGAGCTCTTCGACCTCGAAGCAGCGTTCGGAATGTCACCCCAACAGGGTTGTCCATGTGCGGCTGCATACCAATTCCAAAGTTCCGATCGAGAACCTACAAGTCGATGTCAGAGCAGCCGGCAGGAAGAAAGCCTTCGAACATGCGCAGGAAAACTAAAAAGAGGAGCCTTTGGACACCACTCCAGCACATTGATCGAGAAGACCAGCAACCATCCCTCGATGAAGGAACACCCCCGCGCTTTACCAAAGGATCTACCACTCCCCATCAGAAATCTGTTTCAAGCGTTCCGTCCCGAGCTAAGGGCCAGAGGACCAACAAGTCACGCGCTGGATCTATCGAACATACAGAGACCGAAAAACCTTCCCATAGCTCGCAAAGAACAGCCTCTGAGTCTTCTTCCCAAGGATGCCGCAGCGTTCTGTTCCGGCTCCCCAGAGGTTTTGCTCTGGTTCGCCTATCTTCAGCTACAACATCGCATTCCGAAGCGACAAATAGCTGCGATGCTCTTCCAAGTGAGCATGAACGACAAAAGTCGAGCGCAGTATCCGACTACCCCTGGCGCAGGTCATCCTGGTACGATTCATCTCCGCCGACTTCTCCAACCGCGCTCGAATACCCACCTCCGCTTCCAGTCTATACGTCGCAAATTCCGAGGTCTCAATCGGTGGGTCCCTCACCATATCCGGCTAGCAAAACGCGGGTGGAAGAGACACATGACGAAGTACTGCCTGATGAAGAGGATAATAGGAATAGTAATGGTCTGGTGAAAAGAGCACGGGATGTGCGCGATACCTGGCGAAGGCATCAGCGAGATACTAGGCAAGATAAGCTTAAACGCAGTATTAGGGTTGTTGGGCTTGTAGACCCGACATTAGCGGCTGGTTATGAGAAGTCTTGGGGTAGACGTGATGGAGACGATAGCAGTGACTAGGGATATAATATCAAAGCACACAGTTGAGAATTAAGATCCCACGACTAAAGACTACTCGAACTAAAGACTCCTTCCTCGAATCTAGCCATCAAGACCAAGACTCAATGAAAAAGTAGATCTCTTATCGGCTGAGGCAGTGTCCGCGAACGATCCAGCGTTCATACGAAGTACCTCACCAGAAAGACACTCGAAATGCGGTTCGAGCTCTGTTGCTTCTGTATATCCAAGTGGAATAGAGGCCTTACCTCGTACCCCATGACGCGACGTTGTCGCGTCACTGAATCACCCAAGAGCGATTCAGCGAGGAGACCACCGAAAGAGTAGATAGACTGAAGAGTGACTGTAGGTTGACTCGCACCTGTACAGTATCCAGATGGGGGCATGACTCCTTACTAATACAAGACCAGCAAGCGGGACCCATCCTCCGGTGTGGCCCAGAGGTCACGCGCCCGGACGCGTGAGTCCTCCAATCCATGACATGTAATGATAGGCGTTACATATCACCAGATGGGGCGTCTGGCGCAAGAGTCGTCTATCCAGAATTGTTATACAGGTGCCCGCACGTGTATGATGATAGTTCGGAAAGCGCTATCTTCCCGATACTATCAAAGCTGTGTGTTGTTCGTGCAACGAAGCGGGAGGTGAGTGACCGCGAGTCGACCTGCGACAGTCGCAGTGTGACCTCGACAGCTGTTCTGCCACGGCCAGCGTGAGAACAGTGTCACTCTAAGTACCCCAGAGAGGTCAAGTACAAGCCAGCTCGTACTTGCAGGGCGGACGCTCCTGACAAAGAGACCGCTCGTCGCGGATAATTAGTGTAGCGTGCAATTTGACGTTTCGGGGTGTCAGACCTTGCCCAGAACTGGTGGCTGTGTCAGTGAAGTTAGGGATTTGGGAGTGGGAACTGGCCTTACTATTTGTGTCGGTTCGGGAAGGTCTGCATGAGATTTCGCGCTCTCCAATAATTGGGCGCATTTGCGTGGCGAGGGACGCAGGTGGGACGTTGAAGGAGGAGAGAAGGTGAGGGCAAGCGTTATCAAGTAGAAGCTCCGGCTTTGGCCAAGGCGCTAGCGCGGAGTCACGTTAGTAGTGAATGTCGTCGGAAACGTCATCACCACTCCACAACGACAAACAACTTGGTGAAGGTCAATTTTCTATCTCCCGATACAGCCGCTACGATCATTACTACAAGCAGATCGTAGGCCTTTTGACATCCAGGACGTCACATTTGGATTAGACGGTCGTGATAGGTTGACAGAACGAGGGAGTGCACTTCGACCACATCGGCGTCTGGCGCCTACTATGATGTAATGAGCCCAACACTGTAGGTCAATGAAGCGCTCATATGTCTACGTTGGTTTTTTCGGCCCAGAACTAGAGGTTAGTAAAGCGCTAATATGTCTACGATGGTTTATTCAGCCCAAAACTATATGTTAATAAAGCCCTCACATGTCTACAATGATCTACTTAGCCCAGAATTATGAGTCGATCAAACGCCCGGGCGCATTCATCGCTTTCTCAGGCGTTCCTGAAGGTATATTCAATGACATGTAAGCGAATACAGAGGTAACTGTACCTGTGCAGGTAGGGTAAATAAAGCAATGACGTACGCAAGATATAGGCATGTTCCGGCGCAAACGCGAACCGCAAGCGCGCCTCATAACGCTTTGACTCCGCTAGGTAACCTCTAGGGCAACTTATCCTATGTATTTCTACATCTGGTTAACACTCTGTATTCGTTAACTCTAGGGTTGCCTCGACATGACTGAAGATCTAGCTCACATGTAAGCCTCAACCCGGTTGCTAGACAAGTATAAGATGGACACTGACTTCGTATATCAGCACTGCGGCCAACGCCCGCGACTCACCACTGCTGCGACTTCCTGCCGAACTTCGCAATCAAGTCTTCGAATACGTATTCGATGATGTGCGATTCCACGTCGACAAGACCACCACGCCAATCCTATCTCCTCAGCACCACTCCTACTGTATCACGAGCTCTGAAGTGCACGTTCGATTCCTCATACCGTCTACATGTCGCCAGGTCTACGCGGAGACAGCGGTCATGCCCTATCGTTCCGCAGTCCTCGAGTTCACCAGCCCACAAAGGCTCATGAACTGGTTGAGAGACTTGCCACCGGGAGTTAGAGGAAACGTGAGTGAGATTTCTTTCTACGAAAGCAGTGTTGCTTGCCTGATATCGCGAGGAACATCTAGTGAAAGTAGCGTTGGAGCCCAGCAACACGACTGGCTCATTGAGGCCTGTAGCTCGCTTCAAGGCCTAGAACGCGTTCACTTCGGTACTTATACGAGGACGTTCGATACAGAACTGACTGCGGGTGTCGAGTTCCTCCAAGAACAACTCGCCAAGTCGGACGGAAGGAAGGTGGAAGTAGTCCTGCGGTAAGCTGCTCCTTGGGCCTTATTTGGCTGTCTTTGCAAAATATCTAACATTCTTCAGAACCCGCGTACTATCTTAGTCGCAGGTGGACAGAGTATAATCCGGTCCGGTACAAAACCACCTTGAGGCATACGAAGTGACGTGGCTCTCTCGTCTTGTACATCGCCGCGATGATGTCTGCTGCTAAACGGGGTTTGCGATTTGGAAATACCACTAGAAATGTATTTGTATTCCTTGGAAGCAGTAATAGCATCTCGAACTAATTACGAAAGCGTCTTGTCGCCTTCAAACCACCATCTCCCAAATCTGACCACCACCCATCAAGCGCCAAAGGCCGCCCTTGCGATCGCCAGCCACCTCACCTCTGGAAGCCCTCTGGTCGATCGTCTCCCAAACCATTGGTGTTCCTGAGTACCGCGAGTAACTTCCGTCCAGAAGCTCAACATACAGATAGTCTCCGACCGCATAAATGTTGTTGACCACTCTGCCGCTGTCGATCAGAGTCCACCCTCCTGTCGCATTCATCTTGAGAACTTGGTTCGCGCTGCTATCCCATCTGTAGACGTTGTTACCTCCCACGGCCAATTTGGCAGTGTAAGTGCTGTTGACAATCTTCCATTGACCGGCGTTGTAGGGCGCTGGCGTGCGTACGATGGTGCCGTTGTAGAGACGATTCCACATTGTGAGTTCATCGTCGAACAGGATCTGGGTCGAGCTGGAACTATCTGTGATGGGAGGCTGGTCGATGGTAACCCAAGCGCCGTCAGATAAGCGTGCGACGGAGCCGTCTTTTCGTTGTGCAAAGAGCTGATCACCCGCGGCAACGATGTTGTAGACACTCGTGTCTGTACCACTCGTCGACTCCCACTCTCCAGGCTGACCCAGCCAGCGGAACGTACCACCATCGAGGTGCCTCTGCCAAAGGTTGCCGTTAGCGCCGGCGATCTGGTAGGTCTGCTCGTAGTTGTCGACGGTTGTCCAAGCGCTGTTGATGTACCGCTGGATCTGACCGGTTGGGCGCACGATGTAAAGACCATCGTTGGCGGCTGAAAGACCTGAAGATGATGTTACAGTGATGACGTTATTGATCCTCGCGACATCGTCAATCTTGATCCATTTTGGCGCAGCCCTCGACGCTACGGCACTTGAGAGCAGAGAACTGGTCTCTCCTCCGATCTTCGGATGGGGCGATGCAAGGCAAGTAGAGAAGGCTCCGAGAAGCAATTGGATATAAAACGACTTCATGCTCGGACGATACGTGCGGTTGACGAGTTTTGGAGAAGGGTGCTGAAAGCTGCAGCGGGAAGACTGTCTGAGGCTTTATACGTGTTCCAGCGGTGTAATCTAGAGCCTTCGTGATTAGTTTGTAAACCTCGGCTGGTTTGTCACATACATGATATGCAGGTATTTGGCGAAGCATCGTGGACTGTTCCTTCGCTTCATCCCGCTAAGTTGTACTCGACCCTGGACTAGATCGGGGCGTATACCTTGGCATTATTGTGAGGCCTGATGGCGCGTTCTTGTAATTGGCAGGATTGTAAGCGAAGTATATAGCTTCTGGCAGGTGGGAGAAATTGGGATGCGGTTGGTGGATGTGGTGAATGCACGAATGGGTCGCGGACCGACCCGGCAATGTCAGCCTTGGTGTCGAACGTCAAGTAAAGAATCTACAAGTAGATGGATTTGTTCTGCACACTTCCTGAGCACGCGTTTGTTCCTCCATCTCTTCGGCGCTTTGAGGAGCGTTCGATCTACTCGTTGGCACCCTGGGACCCCAGCAAGACACGTCGCGTCGCGTTGCGTAGTTATCCGGCTATATTGAGAGTCCAACGCACCAAGCGAGCTTTCCTGGATGATGAGGATGGGAGGCCTTTCAACAAATTTCTTCGCAGCGGATCCGAATGCTGGTTAGATCATGCATACTGCATGCAATGTTAGACTGTCGACGCGCTCTCGTGCTAACGCAAAAATTGGAAATAGATGCGGCTCTATAGTTCGTGGCGGTATCAGGGTCCAGTGAAAGCGCCGTGCTGGAGAGTCGAGACGTCTACGCAGGATTCCGGAAGCCACCTGGGCATCAAGTTTCGCCTAGCTCGGGGCGTATTGAAATGTAAGCTTCATGGAACAGGAAGGTACTAAATGTGTGGACGGATACGCGGAGGATCGTCCAAAGGATGTTGGTCAGAGACGAAAAGACGACAAGTGGCACATCGCTTCGCGACGCTACCTAGGTAATCTTGGGTAAATGCGTGTCGGGAGCGGCAGAGTCACGTGACCTGGTCATGATTCGAGCGACGACGTTTGGATGCAGATGGCCTTGTGACTCCTGTAGGATTGCAGTAGGTAGAAGTAGGTTAGGAGAAGTCGCTCGTCGGGCGTGATGATGCAGGGCGGTGCGCAAATGGTTCAAAGACCCCGCCGCACCGCTCGTGCCTTAGCGTCACCGCCAGCCCGCCCTGTCACCAGTTCCGTTGTTGACTTCGAGGCCGCAATACTACGTCCGAGCCCGCCAGTCCCCGTCAGACGGCAATGAACTTCTTGAACGGAGCGAAATTAGACCCCTCTCTTCGCCGCCGCCAGTGGGCTTGAGGCCGCTCAAGGACCATGGAGAAACGACATATAAAGGCGACAATCATGTCAATGTCTAAAGTCCATCACAAGCTTCCACTCTTGTATTTACTGCGACCTTAGTCAGACACGTACCAAGATTCCTCCGAAAGCCTTTCATCTTCTCCAATGACTCACCGAAATCGCCTCACAAACGCCCACGTCCTTGTCTTCGGCGGCACTTCAGGGATCGGCTATGCCATCGCCAACATGGCCCTCGCATCCGGCGCGCTCGTAACAATCTCTGGATCTGGCCAAACCAAAGTCGACAAAAAAGTCGAGATGCTGCGATCTCTGTACCCAAGCATGCCAGCCTCCAATGTAGCAGGCATCGCCGTCGACCTTATGGATAAAGAGAACTTGGAGTTCAACTTGAAGGCTATGCTGGACAAAGTGACCGAGGGCGGCGAGAAGAAGATCGATCATATCGCTTTCACAGCCGGCAATCCGCTCTCGCTGCCCAAAGTTGCGGAGATTGAAGTGAAGACCTTGATGGAAGGCTTCACAGTTCGCTTTCTCGCCCCGTGTGCCTTGGCCAAGCTGATTACGACGGGCGATTACATGCCCAAAAGCTCCAATAGCTCAATCACGCTTACTGGGGGCACAAACACACATCGTCCAATGCCGAACTGGACCCTAGGCGCAGCGGTCGGCGCCTCAATTGAGGGCTTGACGCGCGGTCTGGCGGTGGACATGGCTCCCATTCGCACGAATATCGTCCACCCCGGCGCGATCCAAACAGAGTTGTTCCATGATTTCTTCAAAAGCGCTCCCCCTGAGATGATGGAGAAGATGAAGAAGGGGAGCAGCCTGACGGGGGAGTTAGGGCGCCCGGAAGATATAGCGGAGGCATATGGCTGGGTCATGAAGGATCGGTTCGCGAATGGGACGCAGGTGAATAGCGATGGCGGGCGATTGTTGGTCGGTACCGAGTAAAAGGCTTGAGCCCAGCTGTACACAGCATGCTTCATGACAAATCGAGGTTCATTCCCCTTCTCTCGACTTCTTCTTTGACGTGAGTCCACTTGGTGCAGTCAACCAACACACCCTCTAACCCCCGCTTCCGCAGACTCTGTAGCTCTTCCGGACTTTTCTGCACGTCATGCTCAAGCGCGATCTTGAACTTCAACCCCAGAAAGCTGAACACTTCATCCATGCGTCCGAATAGAAGTGCAATCAAGTCCACGTCCTCTTTGAAGCTGCTGTCGCCGGTGACGCGCCACTGAATAACGAGCACGCATGCTGCAACATACAGCGACGATCCGATGTGTGCAGAGAGCAGAAGGTCGATGGATATACGCGACGCATCTCTGACAATCTGCGCGATATTCTGAGCTGCTATCACAGCAAGTGTGAACTGCGAAGCCGACTCCTCGATTGAAACATGCGTCTCACGTCGGTAATGTAGGAGGATTGTCATGGTGTTCAGGATGATGTGTAGCCACGCGACATGACCACGATCAGCTGGTAACGCTTCCAGAATCGAACTCGCTGTGCGCGGGAGGCTGAGATTAAATTTGACAATCATGTCGTCTAATTCGGTGCAATCTTCTGCATATTCAGGGCTGTCTGGAGAGGTGTGGAGAGAACACAACAGTTCACCGACCCGGCCAAGCAGGACGTGTGCTATAATCACGTAGTGAAAGACGTTCGAGGAGTCCTTGAAACCCGATACGGCGTTTATGAGACGCGACAGGTTTCTCGTGAACGGTAAGTTAGTGATGTAGTTATCTCTCAGTTCAGAATTCATGCCCTGGAATATTGCCTCAGCAACCGGGATATCGACCTTGAATTGTATCTCTGGTATAGCATGGGCCCAGCCCGTCGGCCATGCATGCATTCGATCCATGATGAATAGTAGCCAAAGTGCTCGTCGAGATTCTTCTCGCTCGAGTGCTGACTCGCGGTTGATATTATCAGAAGCACATGAGTATTCGTTAATGGGTATTGTATCAGAGAGGTGGTGGCTGGCATCCATACGGTTCAAGCCGAGCACGACAGCCTGCCTCCAGGCTTTCCCCAAGAAGAGCCAGCTAGCAGAGTAGTCGCCAATAGTCCAAGCGTGGAACACAAGGAGTAGTACAGCCTGTATTGTGCGGACAGCCGGGTCAGGTCTTCGCCGTGTCAGATCGTAGGAGAAACGTGCTTGTTCGTACCAGTCTTTCGAGCGCTTTCGGATTGAGGCGTCTGGATGATACCTAGCTGTTACGCAGCACATGGCATATAGAAGAAGCGGTGCATCTTTCTCCATATCACCACATTCAACCTTTGCCAGAAAGCTCTTCTTATGGAAGCAAGGAAACATGTGGTAGAGATGTTCGAAGAAGAGTTCGCCGAGTTGGAGGATAACATGTCGTGGGGGCAACTGTAAACTCTCCAATATATCCAAGTCTAGCGTACTGGCGGAATGTTCTGCGGTAGATCCCGGGGTGGGGTAATGTGAGCTAGGTGCTACGGGTTCTGTGATAGTGGATCTGGGAAGATCGAAGTTCATGCCCGAGAATTGCATGAAGTCTGGTGACTCAAAAGGCATCGTATCGAAGCCTTGCGTTCGCGCCGGTGATGCCGAAACATGATGCTCTGTTCGGCTCGTTGATGACGTACCATCATCTCGGGTTGAGGCCGTGACAGCGTAGTCGCATCTGAGATTCAACTTTCTGCACAATGAGCAGCTCGGGTGTTCTGCCTGTAGCAAGCAACCTATCATCAGCCCCTAGCCGGCATGCGTGGACGGTGGTGCACATACATCGCATCTCTTCTTGCGCTGCCGACAGCTCTTGCAGGCCTGCTTACGTTTACTAACAGAGGCAGGAATGGTTAGTGTCTGCATCGCGATACGATAGCGGGCGAGTAGTGCACCTCACGGAATGAGAGGAGCCCTGGAGTGAGGATGCCCAGCTGGTGCTGTTGTCGCACTAGTCCACGGGTCGGTTACGAGCGGATGCCGACGGATATAGCTCGGACTTAAGCTCGTTTAAGGAAGAGAGTAAACAGGTCTGCAGTCTACATTAAGATAAAAGTAAATAAATTACGTACTGTAAGATTAACGTAGGCCCTAGAGTGTTTAGTATTATTCTTTAATAAGGTAGTTAAACGCAGGACGGTAGAACTAAGATATATATTGCTGGTTCGATGTACAAGTGATGAACCAGCTGAGGTCAAACCGGAAGCTAGGAGCCTATATTGTCGTTGGGTCATTTACTTTGCGTGTTTTCATCTTCATGTAAGGTCTACATTGCCGTTCGGTCATTTACTCTGCATGTTTTTATCTAGATGTCAGGCCTGCATTGCCGTTAGGTCATCTACTCTGCATGTTTTCATCTAGACGTAAGGCCTACATTGTCGTTGAGCCATCTACTTTGCATATTGTCATCTTGATGTAATCTGCAAACCTACCTACTCATTCATCATCCTCATCATCCTCATCCTCCCCAAACTCAACCCCATACTCAGCACAGACATCCCACCGGTCCCCCTTCGCACTCTTACTAACATACTTGGTGAACCGCAACACACCCCGATCCCTCAGCACAATAGCGAGGTTATTCCAAGCTGCAGGCTGACTGAACAAGATACCATCGTCCTCGTCGTCAGCCGCAGACTTGTAGATAGCAGGATCAGCCTTTGCTTTGCGGCGCTGACCTGCACCAGTAGACGTTGAGGCTTCGCCGGTAGGCACGCTGGGGTGATCGGCATCGTCTTCGCCGGCCATGTACATTTCGTAGCCGCCGACCTCCTCTTCGGGCTTGGGTTCCGGTTCCTTTGCTTTGCCCTTCTTTTTACTCTTTTTGCTGCTGCTGCCGTTTTGCTTGGGTTCTTCCTCGGCGCCTTCTTCAGGCTCTTCGTCTTCGTCACCCCAGCCGCGAGAGGGCGTGATGCCGAGGCAAACTTCTAGCTGGGGGTCTTCTTCCTCGTAAGCGGTCGCGAGTGTGTAGTCGAGACCTCGCCGGAAACGGCGCGCGAAGATGTTGCTCTTGGTGAGTGTGATACCGGTGACAAGAGAGATCCACTTCATGAACGCTGGGTGCGGGAAGAGGATGTCGACGAGGTCGTCGTATGGTGTCATACCGTCGTTCTCGGGGTACGGTGTGGTCGGTATTGGCTGAATAGCTTTTCGGTAGAGATAGCGCTGCTTGTGTGGTGGTCGTGCGACACCAACCATCGACTCCTTGGAGTGCGGGTTGTTGGGTAGGCTTGGGTTCGCCTCGTGGTCTTTCGACTCAAGGTACTCCCGTAACCGCGCGGAGAACTTATTAGACAGGAACTGTGCCAGTCGTAACGACGACTCGTCGCCAAACATGTTTGACAGCTCCTCCACTGTGTCCGGAACGAGGTAGTTTGGGTTCATAAACTTGATCAGGAAATCAATGTCGTTTTCAGTCAGCTCGTCGTCCTCTTGTTTCGCCTGCTCTTCCCAGTCTGGGTTGTCGACCCAGTGTGATTGCGGCTCGTCGAAAACGTCCGCCTTGCCTCCCTGCAGTTGGGCAAGCGAGCTCTTCTCTGCCAGCTTCTCTTCGAGACCCTCTTCGTAGCCTTCCTCGCCCTCTTGCGGAATGTGGAACCACCCGCTGATGGCCATGCGAACGCGACCACCGTCTTCTTCTGCCTTCTCTTCCAACCCTCTCCTGTAGACCTCCTCGACGTCGTGGAAACTCTCGCCAGGCTGAACGGTGAAGAAAGAGAGCTGATTCCATGCCGGAGGTATCGATAGCGAAAAGTCTGGTTGTGGCACCCTAACCTTGTCGCCGTCTGGTGTCTCGAGGTGCTCGGTTGGGTACAGTCGTAATGCACCTCCCCATTCTGGCTTCCAAGGAATGTCAGGGTCCAGCAGATACAGAATCCAACTTACACGCCGGCTTCCGATGACGTCGTCGTGGCAAAGCAAGTGACATCCTGGTGTGTATACATTCTGCGCCGCAGTCAGTACAGTTCCTCAGACAATGCGTCGCGCAACCTACCACTGCCATGTCCGTCTTGACACCACTCAATGGCCCAGATCCTGTTATCGAAGATAGGTACTTGCGAAAGGCAGACGAGTACAGCGAGTCGCGCAGGGTGAGCAGGGAAGGCAGGCGCTTGAGCGCAGAGTCGTGGAGGCCATCGAGGTTTGCGAGATCGCCGGATTGATGAATCTTGTAGATGTCTGTCTCTTTGGGAGTAAAGTGGATGTGCTCGCGGATTTCGTTGCGGACATTGCGTAAGAGAGTATCGTCGACGAGGTTATGAATTACGGCGTGCTTGTAGCTATGGTTCAATTAGAACGTCATGGGTCGAAAGTGCGGAGATTAATGCATACGGCTGCGAATCCGCGTATTCGCTCGTATATCCCTCGAGTACTTTGCTGTCGAAGAGACCGCTGCGGAAATTGTTATGCGCCTCGTCGTCGGAGATGGCTCTCTTCTTTTTCGCCTTGCCATGCGCAGGCGCCTCATTTTTGCGCTTGGCCATTGCGGAGGTTTAGCGATAATTCCGGTAGGTTGGGAGAAAGTTCAGCTGTTGCGGAAGAGCAATTGAGGGAAGCTCGAACATAAATTTGGTCGGCCTTGGACGTGGAAATCGCCGATGCTATCGCCTGCCTCACACCACAATAGCTCCACCTAGCCGTCTGCAGCATCATGACGAAGATTACTTCCCAGCGTGGCCATGTTCTCCTCATGTTGACCGATCATGCTTCGGCGCAATAGCAGCTAGTGCTTGCGAAACTATGCTCAGATGCGTCCACGACCTCGTACACAGCTTGCGGGATAGGCACTCGCTAACGTGCGGAGAGCCAACCACTCCGGTTGGCTGATCCCCCGGGGAACATGTGTCCGGTGGCGTCCGGCGTTTAAGTTTAGTATCACGATGATCCATTCCCAACCTTCATGTGAAGGATGACGACAACTACAGATAAACACGGTGTTGGTTTGATTGATTATGAGTAGCAACTGTCTATTGGGTATCTCGAAAGTGATCGACATGCTATAACCGGGTACGCCTACCGAATGCGCTGGGCGTCTCGATACAGGATTGTTGCAAGCATCTCGGGGGTATTGATATCCGCGTGACTTCAGCACAGCTGAGCTGGATCAAGGCAGTGGTGACCGCGAAGTCGTAGTCCGCCGCGGCACACCTACTCCTCCTGGCCTCCTGCAAGCAGCTTGGCCATCTTCTCCTCCAGCATCTTGACATCATTGCCAACGGTCTTGACATTGTTGACCGTGGTGGCCTCGGCCTTCTTGTAGTCCCTCTCCAGAACCTCAAGTTGGCGCTCCCACCGCTTGATCTCCTGCTCCTGCTTTGATTGTCGGCTTTCTAACTGAGTCAATACTTGATCGGCTTGCCAAGCACTTGTGTGCACGAGTCGCAGTGTGCGCAGACGCTCGAGGACCAGAGGAAGAACGGGCGACAGCTTATCGATGGAAGGCAATGTGCCATACAGCGCGTTGATCTTAGCCTCTTGGTCTGGATAGGTCACCGCCTTGTTGTCGCCAGAATTTGAGCTAGCCTGTGCAGCTTCATGCCGAATTTCCTTCAGATGCTCCGCTTCTGCTGTGAGCTTCTTGACGTTCTGTGTGACGGCGTCCAAGTTGTTGCTCGAAGCATCCCCAATCAAGCTGAGCGTCTGCTCCAACCTCGTCAGAGTAGAAGCAACAGGAAAAGGCGTTTGGTCACTGAGCTCCGGCATTGTGTTCCCGTTGAGGCCCAGATTGTTCTCAATCTGCGTTATGCGCTTATCAAACTCTGCCGCGTGGTTCAGCACTACTTCGAGCTGACCCCTCTGAATCTGGGTGCCTGGTAGCGGCGGCTTGTTTGCGATGGCTTCGCTGAGCGTCGTGCTAGGATCAAAGGGCTTGTAGCTCTCAAACTTTTGTACCGTCCGGTCGAGTATAGCTTGTGCGCCCCGTGCCCCGCCCTTGTGTGCTGTGTATATGGTGTCGACTTTGCTTGCTATGGTCTCCATCAACTCCCTCGGGTCTTGCTCCTCAATCTTGGACTTGTCCCCGCTCTCCACTCTTCGTTCGTACTCCTCCTCCAACCCGGCTAGCTCTCGCTTGATCCGCAATAGCTTCTTCGCAAAGCCTTCCTCTTCTTCATCGCTGTCGTCTCCTATTATCTCGCCTCGCCTTCGCTGGCGCCGTGTTGATGTGCGGTAGGACTGCCGTTGTGCGGTGATGTTGTCCGAGAAATCGACCCCGCGGGCGTCTATCCGTGAAGGCTGGAAGCGGTTGCGTGCTTGATCTGGTTGGAGTCGCTGGTGCCGAACTGCTGAGTCCCTCGGGTCGTCACCGTCGCCTTCGCCGTCGGACTCGGAAACGGCGGTGGAGGCTTGGATTGTAGACACATCTTCGGCGAGCTCGGGGGTCTCGTAGATGTCCGGAGCGGTGTCAATGCCCGGGAGGTTGTCGTATTTTGGCCTGGTTCCTTCGGACATGGCGGTTGGCTGCAGGGAGGGGCAACGCTGGTTTGGCGCAAGGTGGGTGTGTGCCAGGGACGCGTTCGGAGTGGCAGTCGCGACTTGCGCTAGTCCCCGCACGGCATAGTGACTTGGGTATGGACTCATGTTATACACCGAAAGGCAGGCAGGAGTGTGATGATAGGCTTGCTCTTGCCTGTTATCAGGCGGGTTCAATCATCGCTAACTACATGGTACGCTCTCTCTGATACTTCATCCTGCATTGGCCATCAATGACCCTCCTCAATTCACTAGACATGTGCAGCGCATGCCGCCTTGTAATCGAAACGATCTCTCATTTTTGTCTATGCCTGGACCTTGAAAGTACGGCCGCTGGCGGTCTTCTTCTCCTTCTCCTCCGTCTCGGGTCGGGCTCTGCGAAGGACTGTAGTTTGTCAGCATAAACCTGGCGCAGGCAACATGGCACAACGTACCTTGGAGGAAGTCTGCGGTCCGCTTGCGCATTCTTGTGTGGATGAAAGCCTTGGAAGCCTTGATATGGTAGTGGAAGTAATCGCGGAAGGTTTGAATGTGTGAAATAACCTCATCGCGCCGTTGCTTGGCGAGATGGCGAGGGAACAGTACTGCAGAGGTTAGCAGGACGTACAGTCAATCGTGTTAGGCGACCCACCAAATGTGATGTAGCCAATCTCAGCCGAGCCAGAGTTGTCAACTCCGGGGATGCCTTGCAGCTCAAGCGGCGGGTCATTCCTGAACAGCACTTGTGGTGCGTTCTGAATAGCTCTCCGCCTGGCGTCAACGAACTCCTGAAGGAAGACCTTTCCGAATATCCTGTCTGTCTCTTCCCGGAAGACGGTGGAGAAGATGACGGTGACACGGTCGTGGCTGGCCTTGATGTAGATGGCTTCCTCCTCTCGGTAGTGGATCGCGCGCACGGCACCGCCCTCTGCTACACCCTGTGGCGCCGACTCGGATGTGTACTTGGAGGCTTCCTCCTGCAACTCATGGAACTCGTCGAAGGCTTGCTCGAAGGGTGCAGCCATGGCGTTCCGCTTGAGGAGGGAAACGCGCCTGACCAGGTCTTCTTTGGCATCTGCACACCGTCAGCACCTTGTTCCAGCAGTCTGACAAAAGACCGTACCTTGCTCTTCTGGCAGGTTCTCCAAATCTACCAGCACGGAGAAGTCGTAGCCAGACTCTGGCTCCACGATATAAGGCCCATACTCTCGCTCCAGCACTGCCTGCGCGCCGTATTGGACCAGCTCCTTGAAGCACTTAATGTGCAATGACACTAGTATCTTGGTCTTGCTCTCCGGGGTTGAGATGTGGAAGGTGACGCCGTCGAAGTCGGAGACGACCTGGTCAATGTTGGCGGTAGCTCCTCTATGTGCTGTTAGCTACCTGGCTGGTGCTGCGGAGCGGAAGGCAGCGGGGTATGGCGCACCCATTGATTCGTTCCCTTAGGAGGGATTCGATCAGGACGTTTTGATAGTCGAGAAGAAGCATGTTGGCGGTTCAGCTCCTCGTAGGCGGATGGGCGTCGTCGGGCGGGGAGCTATTCGAGGGCGGTGATGCGGAGGACGGAGGTGTGCTGTGATGCTGGAAGGTGGGTCTAGCGCAATCCGTGGGGTTGGCCCTTGTCTAAAAAGTTTCGAGAAAGTAACCAACTCCCAACCCGACCGTTACCAGTGGCGCATACCCGCGAACATTGTCTGAGGAGCGCAATGACCTGAAGAGACTGAACCTGAGATCCTTCAAACCCTCCCCTCACGTCATATCCGGAATTTCATAGAGGCGGCGCAAAATGGTCAAATCATACAGGTAATGCGCACATGCAGCGCAACTCGAACAGAGCTCGTACTAACTAATTCGTAGCAAGTATGAGCAGTCCGATGCTTTCGGCGTGGTCGCGACTGCCACTTCCAACATTGTATGGACCCCCGAAGGCCTCACGCAGCCCGGTTCGAGTCGAGTCGCAGGCGCCGGACGCGCATACGCCGCCGCCAACGAGGAAGTGCTGTGCTGGGATGTAAAGAAGGGCGAACTCATGAGCAGGTGGCGCGACAACACCTGTACCGAGGAAGTTACCGTAATATGCCGGAGCGATATCGACCCAGATGTCTTCGCTGTGGGCTACGCCGACGGAAGCATACGCATATGGGATGCGCGAACGTCGACCGTCATCATCAGCTTCAATGGTCACAAATCCGCTGTCACAGTCTTGACTTTTGACCAGAGTGGAGTACGGCTGGCGAGTGGTGCCAAGGATACGGACATTGTCGTGTGGGATCTGGTCTCGGAAACCGGCTTGTTCAAGCTGAGAGGGCACAAGGGCCAAATTACTGGCCTGCAGTTCCTCCATCCTGCTAGTGCTCCGCAAGAAGATGGTGTGGAGTACGAAGAGATGGACGTGGATGCAGATCAAGCTTTCCTACTATCGACTAGCAAAGACGCGTTGATCAAGATCTGGGATGTCACGACTCAGCACTGCATCGAGACGCACATTGCACAAACAAACGGAGAATGCTGGGCTCTTGGTGTTTCGCCGGATGGTAGCGGTTGCATAACTGCCGGCAATGACGGAGAACTCAAAGTCTGGGCTATCGACCAGGCAGGGCTTCGAAGAGCAGGGTCATCAATCGGCGAAGGGTTCGAACAGGAATACCTTACATCCAGAGGCATACTATATCGGATGGGCAAGGACAGGACACAAGGAATTTCCTTTTACGCCAAGGCAGATTACATCGCTGTGCATGGCGCAGAGAAGGCCGTTGAGATATGGCGGATAAAAACGCCAGAAGAGGTCCGCAAAGCCCTGATCAGGAAGAGGAAGAGGAGGCGAGAAAAGGCCAAGACCGAGAAAAACGGAGACATCGAAGACGATGCTGATGCCGACGACAAAGTCGACGCTGCGGATGCCGAGATTGGCGAAGTCTTTGTACCCTATGTGACCGTACGAACAGCCGGGAAAGTGAGATCAGTCGCATGGATGCACATCAAAGGAACGAAGAAGCTACAGCTACTGGTCGGCACAAACAACAACCTCATCGACGTTTACGAGATACCCCAAAGAAGCAAGACGAAGAGCGAGGAAGCACCCGACTACAGCCGCACACTATCTGTTGAACTCTCTGGCCATCGAAACGATGTACGAGCACTTGCACTCAGTTCCGATGATCGCATGCTGGCATCCGCGTCAAGTGGAGGACTGAAGATCTGGAATGTCAAGACACAAAACTGCCTGCGCACTCTAGAATGCGGCTATGCACTTTGCTGTGCGTTCTTACCAGGAGACAAGATCGTTGTTGTAGGAACCAAGGATGGCGATATCGAATTGTACGACATAGCGGCATCCACATTGCTGGACAAGATCAATGCACACGAGGGGGCTGTTTGGACTATGCAAGTTCACCCCGACGGAAAGTCACTCGCCACTGGCAGCGCCGACAAGTCCATCAAGTTCTGGAATTTCGACATTGTCCAGGAAGAAATACCGGGAACAAAACGCACAACACCTCGTTTGAAGCTGACTCAGTCGCGCATACTCAAGGTCAACGACGACGTTCTAAGCGTGCAGTTTTCACCCGACTCAAAGTTACTCGCCGTAGCGACGCTCGACAACACCGTGAAAGTCTTCTTCGTAGACTCATTAAAGCTCTTCCTCAATCTCTACGGCCACAAGCTGCCTGTACTCAACATGTCGATTTCCAGCGACAGCAAGCTCATCGCGACCTGTTCTGCCGACAAGAACGTCCGCATCTGGGGTCTCGACTTTGGAGACTGTCACAAGGCGCTTTTCGGCCACGAAGACAGCATCATGCAAATATCCTTCATCCCGCATCCCGTCGACAACGACGAACGCCACATCTTCTTCAGCGCCTCCAAAGACCGCACGATCAAAAGCTGGGACGGCGACAAGTTCCAACAAGTTCAAAAGTTCAGAGGCCACCACGGCGAAATCTGGGCCATGACCGTCGCGCGAACAGGCGACTTCATCGTCACAGCCAGCCACGACAAGAGCATACGCATCTGGACCCGCTCCGACGAACCCATCTTCCTCGAAGAAGAGCGCGAACGCGAGCTAGAAGAAATGTACGAAAAGACTCTCGCCACGAACCTCGAAGACGACGAAGACCCCACCGGCACCCGCGCCGAGGCCGTCGACGCCAGCAAACAAACCATCACAACCCTCACCGCCGGAGAGCGCATCCAAGAAGCACTGGACCTAGGCATCGCCGACCTCGAAGTCGTCCGAGACTGGGAAGCCCAACGCAGAACCAACCCCAAAATCGCTCCGCCACAGCGTAACCCCCTTTTCCTCGCTCTAGGCAACATCTCCGCCGAGCGCCACGTCCTCAACACCCTCTCCAAGATCCCCGCTGCGCAACTGCACGACGCGTTACTCGTCCTCCCCTTCTCATCTCTCCCCGCTCTCTTCACTTTCCTCGCTATCTGGGTGCGCAAACAGTGGAATGTGACATTGACCTGCCGCGTCCTCTTCTTCATGCTCAAAACGCATCAGAAGCAGATTGTCTCCAGTCGCGAACTCAAGACCGTGTTGGAAGGTATGCGCAATGATTTGCGGAGTACACTCATGGGCAACAAGGATCTGATTGGGTTTAATGTTGCGGCGTTGAGGTTTGTGGGGGAGAGGGTGGATGAGGCGAGGTTGGTTAGGTGGGAGGATGTGGATAAGATGGATGGGGAGGAGAATAGGAAGAAGAGGGGGTTTGTGGATGTTGCTTAGGTTGGTGGGATGGGAGATGAGGGTGCATTTGTGGCGTTTTTAGTTGGTGGTTTGGGCTGTGTTAAAAGTAGTTATACGGGTGTTTTGCGAGAATCCATGTTTTGAACCCTTGTGCTTGGTATCCTTGTCTGTTTTGCAGTGTATGTTGAGAGTAATCAAGTCAAGCGTATGCTTCATATCAGCCAACATGTCCACTCTCCAAGGTACATATCTCTAAACCCACAGATGTTTATACATATCGTGATAGTCGTGCATCTCCCATATTGTACACCGCCACCACCACAACATCCTGCCCACCAGCAGAAAAAGCTCTCCCACAGTCTACCCCATAGCCTTCAAGAAATTAGCCTCCTTAATCCCCGCCCTCCGCTTATTCCTCATCGCCTTTGTCAACTCCTCTCTCGCATCCTGCGCCTTGACCGCGCCCTGCAAACTACCGTCGCCGGCCGGTAAATCAATCGTCTGTTCGTATAGCGGGACTTTGGGGACCAGCATCTCGGGGTTCATGGCTTGTTCCTTGCGGAGGCGTTTTGCGGCTAGACGACGTTGTTTCTTTGATTTCGCTGTGGGATGGTTAGGAAAGTCGTTCTTCTTCTCCATGCTATGATGGACTTTGTGGGGAAGTATGTAATGGCAAGGAACGTACAGAACAAATCTCCCGCCCCGGCATCCGCCTTCTTCTCCTGCCGATCCAATATCGTCCACAGCCAACTCGGATACTCGTCGTCAGCCAACGCAACAGGATCCTGTCTATCTTTCAAAAAGTTCAACCCCTTCAGCGGTTGGCCAGCTGGTATACTGCTTTTCACCAGCGGGGCAGCCTTCTTCTTCGCGGCTTCCGCTGCCGTGGCTTTCAAATCCGGACTCGCGGCTGGTGTTAACGGCTCGCTAAACGGCTGAGCCGCAGATGTGGAAGTCGCGGTTGGCGGGTTGTGCGAGGAAGTCGAGTCGCCTTGACGGCCGGCAGATTGCGTTGCGGTGCTTGCGGAGATGGGTGTTGCGTTGCGGAGGGGGGTTGTGGTGGTGAGGAAGCGCATGGGTTGCGGGCGTGTGGAGGAGGTTATTTGGGCGCGCGAGGCGCTGCGAAGACAGGTTCGACATATCATCTTGGGCGTGTGTGGGGGGCGCTTTCAATTCGGCTTTTGGGGTTGTTGCTGGCCAAAAGTTTGAGATGGCATCGGAGGGCTGCCGAGGTGTTTCGCCGGTTCCGGGTCGCGCTAGAGGGCATCCTTGTCTGCCGCCGCCCGCTGTGTGCTTGAGCTCGGGAGGACCATGCTTGGTGCATGAACACCTTCATGCTTCTTCCTGAACGGCCTCACATGTAGTGGTTGTCATGGTTGTGGTTATGATTTTGGCAGGTGCTACGCCGCAGATGGCACCTTCCAGTTTCGTCCGGTCCCATGGACACTACTAGGCGACAGGGTAGACGGAAGACATCACAATCAGGCAGGAAGATAGATAAGATGTATGTGTACATTTCAATTTCGAAGCACATCCATTTGAGTAAGACATGAGCGCAGTGTGACCACTCCGTCCAGCCAACCCAAACCCATGCATCGTATTCCTCCAACAGCGCCTGCGGCTGACCGCTTCTTCAATAACATCGTACAAGATAAACATGAGAGATCGTTAGGGATAGTGTGGGATTAGTGCCCAAGCCTGACGCTGGCAGTCCGAAACGCCGTGTTGCGTTCCTTCCAACCAGGCCAGCAAGTAGATAGTAAAACAATGGAAAAACTAGAATTAGACAAATGAGTGGTGGGGATCACAGTCCCTATAAGTATGTACACGGAAAACGAGAGCGTAAGACATCGTCTAAGGTATAGGGCTGAGAGCAAAGGAGACCGTCCGGGGAGCACAGTAAGGAGGCTTGATCAAATCCAGGCCATGGGTGCGGGTTGGTGTTTGATGGCGAATCGATGGCTGAATAGTGGGCGGATCTCTGAGAGGTAGTCGGCAGCGCAGAAAGCGGCGAGGTTTTTCGAGCGCATGATGGAAATGTCCGCTTCGGTCTCTGCATCTCGTACTACGCCGCCAAACTCCTCGACGACTTCGTTCAGTTGCTCGAGTTCACGGCCAAAGGGGTGGTCCTCCTCTTCAATCGTGCCCTTGAACATGTCGAGCGATGATCGCTGTTCGCGCGAGTGGCGTGCAGAACCGACGCTTCCACGCGAGTTCATGCTGCCACGAGTGCTGACATTCTGAAGCGATCGCTTGTGCGCCAAACGCTCATGTGCCTTTTTGCTGTGCGAGAGAGCCCTCTGGGGAATAGCAGGCACTGCCTCTACAGTCTCCTCCTTGACTTGCTTGAGACTCGTAGTTGAGGCGGACTTCTTCAGTTGCTTGCCAGAGGATGAAAAGTAGCCGGAAAGGTGGTTGGGCGCGGGCGAGATGGGTGAAGACGCCACAGAAGAGGCATCAGTTAGGGTGGTGTCTCTTGAACCATGCGAAGAGGCCCGGGAGCGTGTTGACACACTGTGGTCCGAGTCGTCCGCCGAGGAGTGGCTGAGGGAAGTTGAAGAGGAGACATTCCTGAGGGTCGAGATGTCGGGCGCATTGTACGAAAGCATGTTGGTAGTCGACACCAGGGCGATAGGAAGAGAGATCTTGGAACGGTCAAAGTTGTTGTTGGCCATTTTGACACTCTGGCTGCGAGTCGGCGACACCGTGGAGTCCTTCGGCTCTTCTGTCCGCTTGATGCGCCTTGTCATGGCACGAGCGAGAGACATATTGATGGATTAATTCAAAGTAGATGTGCGATATTGCAGATAAGGGTCCAGCTGTCGGTTCTGGGGCCGGTAATTCTGGCGGTGACTGTAGTTGGTCGCTACTTTGGTGCGATGCAGATATGCGGGGTACTGCCTGGGATAGATTGCGCTTGAGGCTGGCACGAGATCCAAACAGTCGCGAGCTAGAGTTGCACTAATGCGTTTGTCGCCGTGTTCTAGAAAGGATCTGGAAAAGATCACGCTGTGCTATCGGTGGTGTATTTGGACGCGTGCCCTTTGCAGTGTAACAGTGCACTGGATTTCGGTGGATGTCGGAGTCGTAATTGTGGTACAAATGCGGCTAGAATGTTGGCTTGAGAGTCCGGCACGGTTGCTTCCAGTGATGCAGACGAGTCCTTGGGTCCTGGGTTCTTTGTTTGATTTTCGGTTTTCTGATGCTGAGATCGCGGCGTTTAGCGATGGGGTGAAGAATGAATGGTGGATGTGAAGTAAGTTCGTCTGTCAAAGAGCGTAGAGACCAGCTGTGTCGTAAGGAGCGAACACCGGGCCGCGAAATGAGGGAATGATAGCTGCTGTGGAAGGCAACGAGAGCGCGTAAGGCAAAGGAAGGGAGGAAGCCTGAAGAAGAGGGCGGCGCGCGATAGAGCGACTGAATGGGTTGAAAAACCAGCATCCCCGGGGCGGCAGGCTAACCAAGCCGCGTCGACATGTCTCTCGAAGATTGGTAGGAATGACCGGGGGAACGCCAGAACCAAGCAAAAAGCAGCGAATCAGCATGTATTGGTTCCTGGGATACTGAGTTAGTGGCGTCGACACAGCCCGGCTAAGTTTAGTGAGTGATACGTTTTCTACAGCTGGCGAATGGGATCGCTTCGCACAGAGTGCATCTACCGCCCATTCGTCTCAGATTGAGCCGGGACTCGTTGGCCTGTTTCCCAGATCCGCACGCCTTTGGCTGGGGCTGCAAAGGCCCGCTGTTTCAACACTTCCCACAACAGAGGTCTGCTGCCGAGCTGAATTAAGGGCCTTCCCTTTCCTGTCGCGCGGCATTGACATGTGAGATGACGGAGAAATATGCGACGAATAAGTGCTGTCGGCCGTCGGAGGTACAGCTGTCATTCAGCCCCGACAGCGCATGCGCTGCACGCATAGCATGGCATTATGGATAAGCACCGATGCCTGCGCAAACGGTACCGTGGTTGCGTTGGGGACGGCGTTTCTGTCAACCCCCTCCCAATCCGGTCACATGGCACTCTAGAACCTTATGCAGAAGCGCCCAAAGCAGGCCGCTCACTCGACGCCACGCGTGCCTTGCAGACGCACGAATAGACAGCTGTCTCGCAGCCTCCGAGCATGTCAGTGTGCTGGCCATGGGCATCATCAAAGGGGAGATGGTTTTGGCGTTTCTGCCTTGCGCGTCCTTGGTGGTTTCGAAACTGTAAAGCGCCGAGACCGGGTGCCCTTGAGGTGACGATCTGGCCGTCATCTCGCGAGATCGCAACCTGAGGCAGCGAGGTCCACTTGGTGTCGATGAGGGTGCCCAGACCCAGGGCTCCAAGCTGCGAACGCAGATCAGCCGGCCGCTTGCTGACTGCCCAGTGCTGTGAGTTCGCCCGCTCGTTCCTACTTTGCTTTGTCACGCTCATGCGATGGCAGAGAAAACGAATCTGGGTTTATCGTTTATCGTTTATTGATTTTGGTTGCTCGTGGTGATAGTGATGTCATTACAATAGTCCACTATGAATCATGCTGCGCCATGGTGAGGCTACTCGATTCAGATGAGATGAAAGGAGCTAAAAAGTAAGGGCGAGCTGGTTCGGACAATTTTCGAAACGTGTGCGGGACCTGACTCGCGATTGCGACCCGCGAAACATGGCCTCGAGTGTTGCGGGGACAAGCTTCACAGATGGCTTGATTGTGCAGGATATAGAACACCGCACACATAGCATAGATCTTGGTACATTCGCGACGCTCTTTAGTTCCTATATGCCCAGGGTATCATCGTCTAGTCCTCCTCCATCGACTCCCAACCCTTCTCATCACCGTTTTCGGCACCCTCTTCATCGCTCTCGCCCTCCTCGGTATCGGAGTCTGTGTCCTGTTCCTCCAGACCCACGAGCCTCTCCTTGCCATCTCCTCTGATAGCCGGCACCTTGGTCGCGAAAGCCGCACGCACGGCCGCGTTGGTGCTCGTGTCCCAGATCTGGACTGCACCTTTGCTACCTGCGACGGCAAGGCGGAAACCCACTTCTTTATCGGGTGCAAAAGATGTTGAGAATACTCGCCCAACACCGAGATCCCGCGATACAACCATGCTGGGACCGTTGTCTTGAATGTTCCACAGTTTTACTTGCTTGTCTGTGGAGCCTGTGACCAGGTAACCGGGTATCACTGGGTTAATATCAAATGAAGAGATGGAATCGTCATGAGCTTGTAGTACCCACACTGGCTTTGAGGCAGAGGGGTCTTTTGGCGCGTTGCGGACGTCGTGGTAGTGTATCATACCGTTCTCAGTAGAGACCTGAGGTTGTTAGTACGACGTGATTAAGCTGGTGCTGCCACACTTACGTAGAAGTAGTTCGGGTCGTGAGGATTCCACCGCACAGTCTCGACATCACTCTCAACACCCCATCGTGGCGCCTTTGCATCGGGTGCGCGCACATCGGCTGCGACCACAGTCCTGTCGTAGCTACCACTGAGAAGAGCAGTGGCCTCGACGGGATGCCAGGCTACGGAGCAGACCTTGTCTGTGTGGTACGTGTATGACTTGGCACACTTTGTCGTGTTCAAGTCCCACAGCTTGATAGTCTTGTCTGCTGATGACGAAGCGAGGAAGTTTCGGTGTTGTCGGTTGGCTGCGAGTGAGAGGACTGAATCGACGTGGAACTCGTCGTTGGCCTTCTTCGACTTCTTCTTCTTCTTTTTGGGCTTGTCTGCCTTTGCGTCCTCGGCGCCTTGTCCAAGAACTGCGTCTGGGTACATGCTGTCTACCACATCCAGGTTCCAGATCTCGATATCAGGATCCATGGTTCCAACCGCGACGTAGTTTCCCCTACCCTCACTTGTGCCTACCGACTTGCCTACGGGCAGATCTAACCATTCGACGGCAAGTGGAATTGCGGGCAGCATGATGTCGTGGTGCACGTAGAGATTGTCGTCCTCGTCTTCGTATACGTAGACTTCAAGATGCGCGACTTCGTCTTCTATGCGACCAGCCAGAACCAAGTTGTCTGTAGCCAGAATTTGAAGCTCCTCACGTTCTTCGTCATCTGATTCCTCTCCAGCCTTCATCGTGATGTATGGATCGTCCTCGTCGTTCTCGTGGAAAACCAGGTTCTTCGCGTTGCCGAACATGGCCATGGTATCGCCGCGGTCTTCAGCAACATCGTCATCGTAGTGCTCGAGGTCGTATTCCTTGAGGTCGTCATCGTCGTCCCTTTCCAGTCGTTAGTCTTGGGGTAGTTTGTTTAGTGAGTGCACGCACTCATCGTCCTTCTTGGAAGCCTTGGTCGAAGTTCCGTTTTTGCTCCGTTCTTCGGCTTGCGCTTCCTCGAGATCTTCCTTGGCATCCTCGAGTTGGAGGTTTGCCAGCTTGGATATGCGCTCGTACTCGTCCTCGTCGAACTGGTACCGTGAAGGAAAGGGCGCCGCATAGCCGCGCGGCACCCACGTCGTCGCTGTGATCATAGACATTGCGCTGGCAGTGTAAAGTAAAATGCGCAGTGAGAGCGCAAGTCGCGTGGGGAACTTTTTCAAAAGGTTGGAAATAATTTTGGGCGCCCCGCAACGATTGGCTGAAGCTCGCCCTTATCGATAGCGACAATTGCGGACTCCCGAGAGAGAGCATCAACTTTCTCGGCATCTCAACCCTCGAGCTACTACACCCGCCATCGCCCTCCCTCCATACGCTCACTCACCCTGCCTCGTCTATAAGCGTCCCCGGCACCCCGATCACCATGGAACGCGGTCACAGCCCAAAACGGCGCAAGCTCGACCCTGAAGAATACTCCATCGCGCCCCGTCTCAAGTTTCGCAAGCCCAATCAGCCTGCCTCTGCCCGGCATACAAACTCACGCGATAATGGCGCAAACCCATCGCAGCGGCCTTTGGAAGGGTCAGAACCTCTGGTGGAGGACTTCGATTCCATGGCGCTGGATCGCGACTGGTATGGCGGTGAGGAGAACGGACACACCTTCGGAGACGATACCCACAACCCCTTTGGTGGTGCTGAGAGCACATGGCTGGATGCGCAACGGGAGGCTGCTATGACGGAGAAGAAACAGAACAACCGAGCAAGTATGCGCGCGCAGCAGAAGCAGAAGGATGTGGATGCTTGGGAAACGAACCGCATGTTGCAGTCTGGAGTGGCCCAAAGGAGACATCTTGACGATGACTTCGACGACGAGGAGGACGCGATGCGGGTGCATATTCTTGTGCACGATCTGAAGCCCCCGTTTCTGGACGGAAAGACTGTCTTCACCAAGCAAATCGACCCCGTTCCGGCCGTACGCGATCCGCAGAGCGATATGGCCGTCTTCAGTCGGCGAGGTAGTCGCGTTGTCAAGGAGAAACGTCAACAGAAAGAGCGAGCAAAACAGACGCAGGAGGCTACAAGTTCGAAGGGAACAACGCTAGGGAACATCATGGGAGTCAAAGAAGAAGACACGGATAGTGCTGCCCCAGGCCCAGAAGACGAAGAGAAGCAGGGCGGCAGCAAGTTTGCGCAGCATCTCAGCAAACAAGAGGGTGCGAGTGCTTTCAGTAAGAGCAAGACGCTCCGAGAGCAGAGGCAGTATCTTCCGGCCTTCGCTGTCCGAGAAGACCTCCTACGCGTTATTCGAGACAACCAAGTCGTTATCGTGGTCGGTCAGACGGGTTCTGGAAAGACGACTCAACTGACCCAGTTCCTTTTTGAGGATGGGTACGCGAAGCAAGGGCTTATCGGATGTACGCAACCTCGTCGTGTCGCAGCCATGAGTGTTGCGAAACGTGTGAGTGAAGAGATGGAGGTGAGACTTGGTGGACAGGTCGGATATGCCATCCGTTTCGAAGACTGCACCAGCAAGGAGACCAAGATCAAGTACATGACGGATGGTGTGTTACTCCGAGAGTCATTGGTGGAACCGGACCTGGACAAATACTCCTGCATCATCATGGACGAGGCCCACGAGAGAGCTTTGAACACTGACGTACTGATGGGACTTCTCAAAAAAGTGCTGGCACGCAGAAGAGACCTCAAGTTAATCGTCACATCAGCTACCATGAACTCGGAACGATTCTCGCGCTTCTACGGAGGCGCTCCCGAGTTCATAATTCCAGGGCGAACATTTCCCGTTGACATCCAATACTCGCGGTCCCCATGCGAGGACTATGTCGATAGCGCAGTCAAGCAGGTGCTCGCCATACATGTCTCCCAAGGGCCAGGCGATATTCTGGTCTTCATGACGGGTCAGGAAGACATTGAAATCACATGCGAGCTTGTGGCCGAAAGGCTGAAACTTCTCAACGACCCGCCAAAACTCAGCATTCTTCCAATCTACAGTCAGATGCCTGCTGATCTGCAAGCAAAGATCTTCGACAGAGCAGCCCCTGGCGTACGCAAGGTCATCGTGGCCACCAACATTGCAGAAACGAGTTTGACAGTGGACGGCATCATGTATGTGGTGGATGCTGGATTTTCTAAGCTCAAGGTTTACAACCCGAAGATGGGCATGGACACGCTCCAGATCACACCCATCTCACAGGCCAATGCCTCTCAACGTGCTGGCCGCGCTGGACGTACTGGACCTGGAAAGTGTTTCCATTTGTACACGGAGAGAGCTTTCAGGGATGAATTCTACATCCAGACCATCCCAGAGATCCAACGGACAAACCTCGCCAATACAGTTCTTCTCCTCAAGTCCCTCGGCGTACGAGACTTGCTAGACTTCGACTTCATGGACCCGCCACCCCAAGACACAATAACAACCTCTCTCTTCGATCTCTGGGCCCTCGGCGCCCTCGACAACATCGGCAACCTCACCGAACTCGGCCGCACTATGACCGCCTTTCCCATGGACCCGTCGCTCGCCAAACTCATCATTACAGCCACGGAAATGGAGTGCAGCGAAGAAATGCTCACAATCGTTGCCATGCTCTCCGTACCCTCCGTATTCTACCGCCCCAAAGAGCGCCAAGAAGAATCCGACGCCGCGCGCGAGAAGTTTTTCGTCCCGGAATCTGATCACCTGACCCTCCTCCACGTCTACACGCAGTGGAAAGTAAACGGCTACTCCGACGGCTGGTGCATCCGCCACTTCCTGCACCCCAAAGCGCTGCGCCGCGCAAAGGAAATCCGCGACCAGATCTACGACATCATGTCAAAGCAGAAGATGAAGCTCGTCTCGTGTGGTACCGATTGGGACGTTATCCGTAAATGCATCTGCTCGGGCTACTACCACCAAGCCGCCAAAGTGAAAGGAATAGGCGAGTACATCAACCTGCGTACTAGCGTTACCATCCAACTCCACCCCACGTCTGCTCTTTACGGTCTGGGCTACCTACCCGACTACGTCGTATACCACGAACTCATCCTCACAAGTAAAGAGTACATGTCGTGCGTTACATCTGTGGATCCACACTGGCTAGCAGACATGGGCGCGGTCTTCTACAGCATCAAAGAAAAAGGGTATTCAGCGAGGGACAAGCGTATCATGGAAACGGAGTTCAATAGGAAAGCTGAGCTGGAGGCGCAGATGGCGGTGGACAAGGCGAATGAGGATAGGAGGATTGCGGAGGAGGAGAATGGGCCTGTGGTTAAGAAGGCGGGTGTGGTGAAGAAGAAAGAGGCCGATGTGGATGGGGTGGTCAAGAGACCTGTTGTTGGGAAGAAGAAGTTTGGAAGGAGGTAGATGGGAGGGATGGCATGTGTGTAGGGCTTTATGCGGAGGTATTGAGAAGAGAGGGTGAATATACTGGGTGGATTGATTGGTACACCTTGCAGGATACGTTTATGTAATTCTTTCTTATTGTTCATACCTGAACCACGCCAGGAGATCCTCAGCTACTTTTCACGAATCAGTCGTCTAGCTTACGACCTATTGTGACGACCACATCGACGGGAAATGCGAGTACATAGATTCCATAAATTGGGTTGCAGTGTCACAATGTCATCCGTTACGTTGGGTTGTAACGTATTCTTTGAATGTGTCCTCCAACACGGACAAGAACAAATCACTTTTGCGCACGACACGACGAGGTCATTGAACATGATCTTAGACATTAGACTAGTATCTGATATGTGCTCGTGCTACATGTAAAGAAGACAAGAAACCTAACCATGCAACGCCATAGGGTATGCCAAGGAAAGCCCAGAACATAACAGAAATGAAGCATCAACTTTGAAAGGAGAAGAGTTTTCCGAAACTGTATCGCTAACACATAGTAGCCCATTCAAAACATCATAGAGCATCTTGCTGCAATGGGTAGATGCTTTTACTCCTCAGCCTCGCTCTTGACCTTGGAGGCAGCCTTGACGAGCTGCTTGAGACGCTTCTCCATGACAGTGCGTCCGTCGAGCGTGTCCCAGACCTGATGAGGCGCCTTGTTAACAATGTCCCAGCTGACAAGGTTGTCGGTGAGGGTAGTCAGATCCTTTTGCTTTCGTTCCCACTCAGAGTCCGTCTTGACCTTGATACCACTGGAGACGACCACAAGCGGGGTGTTGGCGCTCTGAATGTTCCTAGCAGACGAGACCTCGTTCTTGGTGAGACTGTCAGCGACAAGGTTCTCCTGGAGCTGCGCCTTGATGTATTTGCCCGATTGGTACGCGTTGCGGCCGTAGACACGGTCTTCACGGGTACGGCCCTTGAAGAGTGCGCCTGCGAGACGGACGGTGCCGATTGGTGAGATGATACCCCAAGCCCAGAGAATGAAACCACGGCCAGGGCCACCGATGCGGTGCAGAAGATCCTCGTGGAGAGGATCGATCATCATGATACCAACGACCTGCTTCAGGTGACGCGAGCTGAAGATACGAGAGACGATGCTGCCAGTACCCGCAGAGACGAGAATATAAGGACCCTCTTCTCCAGCCTTAGCAAGAGCTTCCGAGAATGCGTCCGCGGACATGCCGGCTGAGTGTGGGGAGGGTGCGTTGTCAGAGAAGGCATAACCGGGGCGGTCCCAGTAGCAGTAGCGGGAGATGGTGCCGTTCTTGTAAGCTGCGTAGGCCCAGTGCTCGAAGTCGTACTCCAATGGCGATTCGCCCGCCTCGAGGAGGATGGTAGGGTCGTTGACGCCGTGGGTCTGAGTTACGTTTCCGACGCAGGCGAGATGAACGGCGTACTTGTCGCCGTCTACAAGGATGCGTTCACCATACATCTTGAGTGTTGCGTCGCGGCCACGCATGCCGAGGGTTCCAGTCATCAAGATGACGATGACGATGAAAACGACGGTAAGAATCGTAGCGACGGTAACAGCAAGCCATTCCTTCAGTGTGCGGCGCGTCTCGGCTCGGCCAGTAAGACGTTCCTCCTCTTCGTGCTTGCCGTATGCGACAACACGATCGGTCAGAATGCACCAAACAGCCATGACGAAAGCCCAGACAACACTTGCGATACCGACCCAGCCTTCCTCGAGCCTGATGCGAGGAATGGCCAAGATGAGGATCATGTCGACAGCTAGAAGTCCAGCGATGATGGCCGTGGTGATGCGCAGACCTCTGGCAGGAGTGACGAAGAAGATGGTTGCGACGAGAAGGTTGCCAAGGGTGAGGCATGTGTAGGCGAAGTCGAAGAAGCCGGATCCACGAGTGTGTAGGCCAGGAGGGGAGACGAAGATGGAGACCAGCAAAAGCACCCACCACAGGAAGGTGACTACGAGGAAAAGGATGGTCAAGTATCGCATGGCGCGAACAGTCCATAGGTTGTATGGTGACACCTGCCATCGTCAGATAAATATTGATAAGAACCTCGAACAACTTACAGCTGGGTCATCTGGATCGAGGTAGCCATCTGAGTTGGGTGGTGGCCTGGGACGGTCGAGAAGACGGGTCCTCTCAGTGGGCTCTTCGCTTCTTCTCGACGCTCCATTGCTTCTGCGCGAGGACCTCGACGCTCCATCGTCGTTGGAAATTGGTGTGGGCTCCTGAGCTGACAGAAGACCCTGGCCGCCATTGTCGTTGTCATTTCCTTTCCACATGCTGGGCATTGGGAGCTCTTGGAGCTGCAAACACCTGCGATATGGTGGTTTGAGCGGACGATAACACTTATCGGTGATGTGCAAGGATCCGTAGAGGTCCCAGGAGAGATTGGAGAAGATTGGAGCTATTCGGAGCTCGTGAAGCTTCCAGGAAGGCGACCGGGGGCGTGGAGGTTTTACTTATGCTTGACGCGCTAAGCCAAAGATCGACCGACGTCATCATCACAGTTCATCCAAGTTCGCGACTAGCGCACATCAGAAGGCTAGATCGACCCGCGGAAACCCCCAAGCGATCCCTACCACGTACCAACCATCTCCACGGTACCGCCCAGCCTCGTGCCGCATCTCACTGTCGTCTAACGCCGCTGCGTCATTGGATTACGAAACGGGCCTCGCGATGCATCTCTTTTTGCCTCGAACGGCATCTCGCTAAAACATTGGCCATTATCCCTGCCGTCTATCTGATAGCACCCCGCCTGCGTCAATTCCCCTCACGCCTCCAGGCCACGACATATTGGAACGCTCAAGAGAAGCTAGCGGCCAATCACTGACGGGCGGATCTCCACGCTCACGAAACCCTGATTTTTCGACACAAATACAGCCTCGCCCAAGCCACCATGTCCAGCTTGGCTAGAGAGTTCGCAAAGACTAAACTTTCTTCCCTGCCACCGCCGGAGCCCTTGCAGGAGGAGCCTCCCGAGTACGAAGATGACTCGTCTTCGGCATCGTCAATGTCTAGCACCGGTACTGTCAGACCGTCAAATACACTAAGACCCGCCCCCGAAATACATTGGTCCGACTACTACGCCCAGGAGTTCTATCTTGAACAGCGCAGGGATGGGTCAGGGCATGCCAAGTTTCATGTATACCTCACACCGCCAGCGACAGCGAAAGCACCCTTGGTCGTGCTCCACCATGGCGCTGGAAGCTCGGCAATGTCCTTTGCGCTGGCAGCCAAGGAGATTCGCAGAGCCATGCCAGAGATTGGGATCCTAGCTGTCGAAGCACGCGACCATGGGAGTGTAGTATGGAACGCTAGTGGAGAAGTGGACAACGACCTGAGCATTGGGCAGCTCAGTCAAGATTTGGTCGACATGCTGTCGCTGACCAAGAGCAAGATGAATTGGAAAGAGCTCCCACAGATTGTCTTGATAGGACACAGCCTGGGTGGTGCAGTCGTCACCGACGCTGCGAATAAGGGCTTACTAGGAAACAAGTTGCTGGGCTTTGGAGTGCTTGATGTTGTCGAAGGCTCGGCCATGGAGACACTGGCACATATGCACACTTACCTTGCGAGTAGGCCCAAGTCGTTCCCTTCGCTTCCTGCTGCTATCGAGTGGCACATCCGATCACGAACGATACGCAACCCCCAGTCGGCGCGAGCAAGCGTACCAAGCCTGCTACTACAGAACTCGGATGGGCGATGGGCATGGCGGACAGAGCTCGCGAGCACAGAGCCATACTGGGAAAATTGGTTCACGGGCATGAGCGGCAAGTTCCTTAGCGGAAAGGGTGCTAAGTTGCTGCTGCTCGCTGGAACCGACAGGCTGGATAAGGAACTGATGATTGGGCAGATGCAAGGTATGTCTATCGCCTTGTCGCTTTTGTATGAGGTATCTAATGTAATACAGGTAAATTTCAACTCCAGGTCTTTCCTGCCGCTGGGCATTTCCTCCACGAAGACCTCCCGGAAAAGACTGCTGAAGTCGTGGTCGAGTTTGTGAAGCGCAACGACCGGAGTGCGCTTGTTCTTCCGCCCAAGGTCTCTGATCTCCTTGCGCAAGGCAAGAGAGTATAGGACTATCATCGCGAGTCTTTGCCTCCAACGCGCTCGCCCTAATTGACCTATATTATGCATGACATACGATCAGGGTAGGTTGTCCCGCGGATTCGGCTCTCAGACCTGACAGCCTCCAGTATGGGTATCGCATGTTGGCCCACACTTGGACCAAGTTCTCCTGCTCCGGCTATCATGGCGAGGCAGGCTCACCTCCATCCGGCGCATCGCCGCCATCATCAGCCTTGGACTTGTGCTTCCTCCTCCTCTTACGAGGTGCTGATTCTTCCCGGTCGCCCCTCTGACTGTCTCCACCGTTGACCTCAGATGTAGACGGCCGCGACTTCTTGGTAGCATTTGGCTGGGCCGAATTGTCCTTCTTCGGCTTCTTGACGCTCAGCGGGTTCGGTCCCTTGGGGCCCTTGCGCTTCTTCGCCTTGGGCTTTGCGTCTCCCGTAGCCTGATCTCCAATAGATTGATCACCTTGTCCCTCGTCTTCTCGTTTCCTCTTCGGGGCCGTGGCCGCATCTGGCTTCCGCTGTCCCTTGAGTCCCAACTTGAACTTTGATTTTTCCTCTCGCTCGCGGTGCTGCTCCGTCACATCAGCCATAGACTCCATGAGCACTATAGACTTGGACAGGTATATGATGGGTACACCGGCGATCTGTCGCATCTTTGCGCGCGTGCTCGGGTCGTTGGCGGCGACGACATATCGATGCTTGTTTGTCGCATTGTCCTTGGGATCCACCACGGAGCTCAGGCACTCCAGCGTGCTCAGCGGCTTCTCCAGATCTTGATGGTTGCACCGCCGACGTTCGTACTCCTTGGCTTGTAATATGAGGGTCTCGTTCTTCGGTTCTGCGAGGTAGAGGTGTCGCATGTCGCACGTCGTGATCATGGGCTTTACCTGCCCGCCGAGCATCTTCTGGAGTCGCGCGAGGAAGTCGATCTTGCAGGAGTAGGCATCTTCGAGGATTTGTGAATCGAGCAGGACTTGGTAGGGTTCGCGGAAGCCGAAGTTGAGTTCGTATTGGTGGAGCTGCTTTTTGTACGCCTGTGGTGCGATTAGTATACTGCTAGAGGACCTGCAAGGAGATTCCCTCTCTTACCTTTGCGCGCTTCAACTTCATGACGGCTGTGTGTTTGGGAGTGGTTGATTACTCGCGGGGGAAAAAAGTTGGATGCGGCCAAAGTTTGGACCCAGAGGGCGGAATCTAACGCATGCGCCAGCCACACGCGTGCGACGCTAGCCCCGTATGCGACGTCTGCGGCTTGGAGACACCCCCGTTGCTCTCCGCTTTAGTAAATCCGCCTCAGGGCATCCCACGCCTAATTGTACATATTGTACGTACCCGCACATACATTTGAATTGCTTTCCACGGCGGCCCATGCGCTTTTCCCTGTTGACACGACTGCGAACCTGCCTCTCCATGCGTTTCTCACGGTAGTCCCCACCAGTATGAGCGAGAACCCCGCCGCGGCCCCCAAGAATGAGGGAAACGATGCCGAGACCGCGGAGGTGAAGAAGGAGCCCAATGAAGCCGTTGAATACGATGATTTTGGCCTGCCTATACGGAAGAGGCGGCCACGGACGCCCGTGGAGGACAGTTCCGACTCGGAAGGGGAGAAGTTTGAGGATGCCGTAGCCGCTACAGCAGCGAGTCCGAAGGAAGTCGCGGTGTCAGCACAAGAAAAGGAAGAAGCCAAGGCAGACAGTACCGTAGAGAAGCTTCCTGAGGTCGCATCTGAGGTTACTGCCAAGGAAAGCGATGCGACACCGCAAGTCAATGGGCAGGCGAAGGAGCCCGTCGAGGACACCGACCCCAAGGCACCCGAAGACAAGCCTGTAGAAACGAAGCAAAACACACCCGAATCTACAAAGCCTCCCGAGACCACCGAAACACGCACAAGCACGACTGCCGCGCCTTCGCTTCCCCACCAAACGAGCGTTCCGACCGTATCCGAGTATTCACATCAGCATGCAGTCATACAGTCACAAAGAGAAGTCAAGGAGGAGAAGAAAGAAGAGGACGACGGCGAATGGCAGACTATGCCCGCATACGCTCGATACGACATGTACGACGACGACAACAGGCTCATTGCGAAGGAGAACACGGAAGAGCTGGAAGACATGCACGGTTATGCCAACGTCGGAGGCGCCGCCAAAGGATACACCAGAGTCATAATGGACGATGATGCTGACTCGCAAACGAGCATGGACGACAACACCGCCTATCTGTTCAAGGAGAGGAGTACTGCACTAGCCGATGAAGACGAGGAGGGCCGGGATCCGCTCTCGCAGATGCAGGCGACGAAGAACCTCCTCACGGAAGGACAGCGTGTCGCATACGTCGGTCTGGTACGATTGGCCATGGTCGAGATGGAACGCAAGTTCTCCAACTTCGAAACGACCAACAAGAAGATGAAGAAGCTGCTCGAGCTACAGTCAGGAACCACAAAAATGTGGGCACAGAAGATCATGGTCAAGATTTACGGGCACATGGACATCAATGCTTCTGAGCAGATCATGATTGAGCAATTGTCTGAACATGGCGTGGTTCCTGGAGACCTTACACCAGCACTGATGCAGAATGCGCGAGTAAAGAATCCCGCAGCGGAAGACGCGGAGACGGTAAACGACTCAGACTCTGCCAGACCGTCTATATCGTCACCGCGCCCCGAATCACCCGCAGAGAAGTCAAAACTGAAGAGGGCTTCGACGATGGAGTCGCAAGACGACTTGCAAACACCGCCTCCCCCGCCGTACCAGGAACACCAGGATGACGATTTTGATTATCCAGAAGTCAGGTCGCCATCACAACTTCCCACCAGTAAGAACCTGGATATCGATTTGCGGTGGACCGTCTTGTGCGATCTGTTCTTGGTACTCATCGCCGACTCTGTCTATGATTCACGTTCACGAGAGCTGTTTCAGCAAGTTGGACAATATCTCAGCGTAGACTGGCTGGAAGCTTGTCGCTTCGAAAAGCGTGTCACCGATGCTTTGGAGATGCAGGAACAAGCAGACAAAGAGAACTGGAACGAGGATGAACACATGGTCAGTCGAGCTAAGCGGGCACGCAACAAGCGATTGGCATTCATGGGTCTTGCGACTGTTGGCGGTGGCCTTGTCATTGGATTATCTGCTGGACTTCTTGCTCCAGTCATTGGTGCTGGTCTCGCTGCGGGCTTTACGACAATTGGTGTGGCAGGTACGAGTAGTTTCCTAGCTGGTGCTGGCGGTGCCGCTATCATTACATCGACTGGCGTAGTCACGGGTAGTACTGTCGGCGTACGAGCCATGAACAGGCGAACAGGTGCTGTCAAGACTTTCGAGTACCGTCCGCTTCACAACAACAAGAGAACGCATCTCATCATTACGTTGGCAGGCTGGATGAACGGAAAGGTTGACGATGTCCGTCTTCCGTACAGTACGGTCGACCCCATCATGGGCGATATATATTCCGTGCTATGGGAACCTGAGATGCTGAGGAGTATGGGTGACACAATCAACATCCTTGCCACTGAAGTGAGTTTATATATATGCAAACTGCAAAGGTGCTTACTGATCACAACAGGCTCTCACACAAGGTCTCCAACAAGTCTTGGGAAGTACCGTCCTTACAGCTCTCATGGCCGCCATGACACTTCCCCTGGCTTTGACCAAGCTTTCTTACCTTATCGATAATCCGTGGATCGTTTCGCAAGCACGAGCAGACATGGCCGGACTGATTCTTGCAGACTCACTCATCGATCGCAACCTCGGGACACGACCTGTCACCCTTGTCGGTTTCTCGTTGGGCTCAAGAGTCATCTTCTCATGTCTGAAAGAACTTGCGAATCGAGGCGCGTTTGGTATCGTGCAGAACGTCTATATGTTTGGTACACCGGCAGTAGCCAAGCATGATGAGTACATCAGGGCAAGATCTGTCGTACCGGGAAGGTTTGTCAATGGGTATGCTACCAATGACTGGATCTTGGGTATGTCGCACATCTTTCTTCTACTTGTTGTCAGCTGCTAACAGTTTGTCCAGGCTACCTTTTCCGTGCTACCAGTGGTGGTGTAATGCGCGTAGCTGGTCTCGCGCCTGTCCAAATCCCAACCATCGAGAACGTAAACGTGACCGAGTTGGTCCCCGGCCACATGGCCTACCGTGCCGCCATGCCCAAGCTACTCCGCGAGGTTGGCTGGCTAGTAGAATCCGACGAATTCGCCGAGATCGAAGACCCAGACCCCGAGAATCACGAAATCCGCCAGCGTGAGCTCATCAACGAGATCGAAGAAGCGCGAAAAGACCTGGAGAAGAAGGCACAAGAGAAGGAGAAGAAAGGCGGCAAACTAAGCTGGTGGAAGAAGAAGAAGGCCGACAAGAAAGACTGGGAAGTCTACGACGAACACTCCACTGCCGCCCCGCCAGGCCACCGGAAGCTAGACGTAGACCAAGACCCAGCGAAACTCGCAGAGAACCAAGTCATGTTCGACATCGACGCAATCAGAAAGGAAGTAGCAACTCTAGCCGCCGAAAGCAAAGAATACAACGCCGAAGCCGAATTCGAGATCAAAGAAATCAAGAGCACGCTCCCACCCATGAAGATCGACATTGCAACCGTATCCCCATCCCAGACAACAAGTCCATACTCGACGCTTAGGGAAACGAAGAGCTACAACGACAGTCTAGGCATACCAAGTACAGATGCCAAGAAACCTTCTCCATCATCCAACGGCCACTACGACGAATACGACGAATTCGATGACCCCGGCGCAAGTCAAATGGAAATGACATTCGACACATCATTCCGCGACCCCCCTTCCTCCACTACAACACCCAATAAATACCCCCTTCCCGCATCACCCTTACCCTTACAACCAAGTCTATCCGGCACCTCTTCGCCCTGGGACTCGGGCACACCCGGTAAAAACATTTCTGGTACTGCCCAGCCTTGGAATGCAGATGCTACTCAGCCGTCTTGGGACGATGCTGCAGGCCCTGCTGAACGTCCTCCGTTGCGCTCGGCGAAGACGGAATCGCATGCGAGTAGTTTGGGTCCTAATGCGCAGTCTACTACTGGTGATCTGGGACATAATGCTTGGGCTGATGAGTTTGAGGATGATTTTGGGCAGGAGAAGGAGGTTAAGATGAGTTTTATGTAATGGGAGAGGAAGGGGTATCCCTTTCTCGTTAATGTGGCGTATTGGGCTGGTTCATGTTGTCACCCGTTTGCTGTTTTTTTCTCGCGCCTTGTTGCATATTTCAGCGCGCATTATGGAATTTGAATGTCGTTATGTAGTCAGTAGGCGTTTGTATCACGTTTGTTGGGTTGGGAGATGTGTCTGGCGTAGGCATTGGGTGGGTATGCGATTGGGTAGTCGTTCTTGCTCATTGCTTGCGTAGATGTCATAGATAGTAGATAATATCAATAAGAACATATACCATGCATGTTGACCATTTGGCACAAGTTTGGACAAGTTATGTGTCATTAATCGTAACCTACTAAAAACTACTCGTATATCGTACACGGCTCCTGTCGAGCCCCAATATGCGGCGCAAACTATGATATACCATGAATGTACGTCATCTATGCGCTAATACCGTCGAACCCAAAACAGAAAGGAAAACAATGACGCTCAATATGCGTCAGTATGCCATGCGTATGTATACAATTTCGAAAAGCCGCTCAAAACGGAATGGGTATCAAGCCGTTGCGTGTGCGTGTGGAACCTCGGAGAAACGCTTGGAGCGTGGGAAGAGCGAGATCCCCTAGATCTCAGCTTCTTGCTTGCGACGACGGATGCTACCGAGACGCCTCTTGATTGCGCCGCCGACGCTCCTGCCAGTGGTGTTGCTGCGGCCGATGCCAGAAGCTTCAGCGTCGGTGGCGGCGGAAGGGACGATGCCGGGTGCTTCGGCATGGCCAACGCTGCGAGTGCGAGAGCTGCGGGTGGTCATCTCTGTGCCGCTGTCGCCGAAGCGCTTGTGGTCCTTCAGGGCCTTCTCGATGGAGTAGGAAGGTTCGCCCTTGCCCTTGAGGTCGTCTGGGTGGTATTCCTGCGATGTGTTAGCGAAGTTCAGCCTAAAATTGACTGGGCAACATACAACACCAGGCCAGCGACGGTAGTCAGCTCCAGGCTCTCGCATCAGGTCAGCACCCTCTTCATAATTGAGTACTCTTCCGAAACGATCAGCCATGCCAGGTGGTACGATAGCGACTCCCTCCAAGGGACGATGCCTCTGTACAGAGTCGACGATGTTCTCACGTGGAGTAGCCCTCAAAGCCTCCTCGTTCGAGTCCTTGACCGCCGCGAGGGGACTGTATTTCTCGACGCGGTTGCGAGCGAGACTGGCAGCGTCGTACGGGCCCTCGTGGTGGTACCGACCGAAAGGTGCCTTGTCGAGACGGTCGATGACGTCGGCGCCTTGGAAGTTCTTTTTCCTAAGATGGGGAGCACGGTGAGCAACTTTCTCATCATGACGCAATTGGTCAAGAGGTCTATGTGACTTGTCACCAGGATAGCGCTCTCTCAATGAGCCTGAGCGGTCGCGCGTAACTCCGCTCTTCTTCATGGATGCAGGGGCATTTTCGCTCGATCGTCGGGGCCGGCTTCCGTTCATGGGTCCGAAGATTTCCGCGCGGTGATTGTCGGAAAAATGGGCACGTCTGGGGCTTGCAGAGGCAGGAGGGGATGGGTAATCATACCTCCTACTCTGCGGTGTAGTCTGCCCAACCTGCGATACTGATGCCGAAGCGCCCTTTGCCTCGGATGAAGCCCGGGAACGGCGGAATGGGTTGGTCTCGACGGAACTGCCGGTGTTGTGGACACTGACGGTTGGATGGCCTTTGGCGTCTCCAGCGGATCCGGGCGGTGTGATGGGTGCTGCGGGAGCATATGTGGAGCGGAAGTGGCTGTTGAGGCCAGTCTCGTCGCTTGGGTCTGGTTCGATCAGAGGATCGATCAACGCATGATGGGCCTGCTAAGTCAGCGTGAATGTCTAAAGATGATATATTGCGGTGAACTGCTTTGAGAGGGCCTGGATGAGGCGTGCCGGCGCTTATGGGAGGCACAGTAGATAGTCCTACCAGGCGCCCGGAACAAACGGGAGATGAACACTTACTGCGTCCATTGCCATGATGGTTGGTTTGTGTGCTAGTGTTTGATAGTTGGCGAACTTGGGAAGGTTGAGTAGTTGTAGTGTTGGAGATTAGTGGTCAGACGAGTGTCAGGTGCTAGATGGATACGAGAGGAAAGAACAGGTGACGGGAGGGAGAGCGAACTACATAAAGGCCTGACTTGGCAGGTACCGTGGACGCGTACATCATCGGTTCGCAGTCGCGGCCCTGCGTCAGATTTCTTCTTGTCCGCTCTTGGAGAAAAGAGCGGCCCAATCGCTGCCATACGTCATGCGGATGCGCTAGGCTGCAAGTGGGTCCGCCGCTTGGTCCTCTCCACGAGTGACGACAGCTACGATGATCCCTCACCATCACGATCCAGCCCGCCATGTCGCTGGTCGATTATCCAGATTCTGCCTCGGATGATGATGATAAGAGCCTCGGTGCCTCTGCCCACACGGCACAATCTGCCGCCAAACCTACATCGAAGCGCAAGCACAGCGCCTCTGGGGATGCCCTGCCACCGCTTCCGCCAGCCTTTCACGACCTATACGCGACAAATGCGCGCGTCAGCACTAGCGACAACCCAAGCCTACACGGTGGACGAAAACGGGCTGTACCTCACGTCGAGGGCAAGTGGCCTAGTCATGTTTACTTAGAGTGTAAGGATAACCAGAAATATTCACCACCAATATGGATGACAGACTAACGCGTTCGAGGGATACCTACACAGCCTGAGTCTGATGCTTTATACAGCCTACTGCAGCATGTGAGAGATACTATTAATCTTGAAAATGCCAAACGAACGAAGAAACTGCCCGTACCAGAGATCATACCATCTCTTCAATCAGAACTGGGTGCGTCGCTACCTCTTCACGTCTCCTTGTCGCGCACCTTGCAAATCAACACCGACAGCAGAGAGCCTTTTCTGGAATCATTAAGTGTTGCTGTGCGGCGGTCCGCAGTGCGCGCTTTCAATTTTGAGTTTCAGAACTTGAAATGGGTGTCCAACTTCGATCGCAATCGATGGTTTCTAGTCCTTGGCGTTAAGAAGTCCGCGCTCAACGAACTTAACCGCCTGCTACAAGCATGCAACGACGCGACCCAATACAGCGGTCATCCAGGTCTGTATACAGGCGGAGTGGGAGACGGTCCGAAGGAAAGCCATGACTCCAACGACGGTCCGAAGCGGAGGAAGGTCGACAAGAATGAGCCTCAAAGCCATGATTATTCGCAATATTTCCACGTCAGCATTGCTTGGAACCTGGCCCAGCCTGACCCTGAGTGGGTTGCTCTGGTCCAAAATATCGACACCAGTAAGTTCGTTCAGGCACCTGAGGCTGCTTTTGATGCTGTCAAAGTGAGGATTGGAAACACAGTCCATAATATTGCCCTGGCTAGCAAGAGAGCCGGTCTGGGGAGGGTCGGAGGAAGGCTGGGTTTGGCATGATCATCGCATTGCGATGACGTGCCGGGTTCTGGATTCGCAAGCTGGCTAGGGTCTTATCTCCTGTTGGGTGTCAGGAATTATGGACCCGGCAGCACGTTCCAACAACAACACGGCACACACGAACAGATTTCTCACGTGCGCACAACTCTGAGCATGGAGGTCTTTAATCAGCAACCGCCTCATTTGGCGACTGGATCTCGGATGCGATGTAGGAATTCACTTCGGATCGTAGAATACTTTTAGACTGACGTAGGTAATTGCGAACAGCGATCGCGCAGTACAAGAAAAAGCAACTCGATCAGATCCCAACACATGGAACTCGTACCGGTTCTTTTCGACGAAGAAGAACAATGGCATCATGTGATTGCTCCTTCCGCATCTCGTTCCAACGGCTTGCGGCCCCAGGCACAGCATTCACCGAACATCACTTGGCTCAAAGCTTGACGCAGATAAGGCGCGTTGCGACATGTAACCTTATTTGCTCTCAGTAAGCACTAAGTTGGCTGGACTCACGCGACTGTCGAGCCACGTTGATCTCGGATGAACCTCATGCACATGTGAGTTATGCATTTGCAGGCCCTCTGGAACAGCCCATCAATTGATGGCGAAGGGAATGACATCTCGAAGGTCATTCCCAGTTTCTGAATTCATGTCTATGGCGGCTGGCTTTCGAGGCGCAAACTTTCGGCACTTCGTTCAGTTTCGGGCCCGACGCGTCAAACTCGCGCTGTGCACGCATTCGCGACCCGAAGGTCCGCGCGAGGACGAGACACGTGACACTTGAACTAGGCAGCAGAACAGGTATAGATGTATATATCGCGAGGTTTGGAGGTGTGATATCAGTTATATTGGATCTTGATTCACGAAGCTCCAGTTGTACTACTTTCCGCTTTGCTTACGCCCTGCATTTCCAACTTGAAGAACTTGTCGTCGCCAGAGAACCGCGAACAGCAATCCAAGTCCATCTAGACACCAGTCAGCGACTTGCAACCCCCTTGAATAGCCATGGGATCAATCATGGAACCCTTTCAACCCAAGATTGGCCTAGTTGGCGCTGGCCCTGCCTCTCTAACCCTCGCCAACATCCTCCAGAAGCACTCTATCCCGTTCATCATCTTCGAGTCCGCGTCAGAACTCCGCACGCAAGGCGGCTCCCTGGACCTCCACCCAGAATCCGGTCAGCTCGCCATCAAAGAAGCAGGGCTTTGGGAACCGTTCGCCAAACATGCACGTCCAGAGAGCGACTGCATGAAGGTTGTGACTTTGGACGGAGAAGTACTCTGGGATGAGAATGGCGCTGACAAGCAAGACATCAAAGAGGAGAAGAAGTTTGAGGGAAGACCTGAGATCGATCGAATGGCGTTGGCGACACTGATGTTTGAAAACCTGAAGGAGGGGTCCGTACAATTCCAAAAGAAGTTGAAAGAAGTCGTGCCCTCTGCTGAAGGAGAGGGGAAATACGATCTCCACTTCTCAGACGGCACGAAAGAGTTCGGATTCGATCTTGTGGTCGGTGGAGATGGCGCATGGTCCAAGGTTCGCAAACTTCTCACCGACCAAATGCCACAGTACTCAGGTATAGCTTCTATCGCAGTGTCGTGCAAAGACATCAAGGCTGATCCCTGGCTGCTTGACTACGTCGGCTCGGGCTCGATGTTCGCTTTTGGGGAGGGTTGCGCGGTGCAGTCCCAACGGCAAGGCGACGGTAGCCTAGGGACATACGCCAGCGTGCATGCACCGGAGGATTTCCTGCAGACGTGTGGCATCGATTGGGACAACAAAGCGACGGCGCGCAACACTTTTGTCGACCGCTACCTCTCTCATATCCACGATGACCTCAAGCGTGTTATCATGTCCTCTGATGAAGATAGTCTCATTCCTCGCAAACTGTACGAGCTGCCGGTTGGATTTCGCTGGCCATCTCGCTCAGGCGTTACCCTTATCGGCGACGCTGCGCATGTCTTCACGCCGTTTGCTGGACTAGGAGTTAACACGGGCATGAAGGACGCGTTGGTATTGGGGAAGGAGATTGTCAAAGTGTGCCGTGGAGAGAAATCTCTAGATGCTGCTGTGAAGGACTACGAGGAGGAAATGTTTCCACGGTCCACAAAGGCGGCAGTCAAAACGGTAAAGGGGAAAGAGGGGCATTTCAGTCGAGATGGAGCTAAGCATTTTGCCGATATGATCAGATCGAAATACTACAGGCAGGACGAGGTCGTTGCTCAGTAGGGAGGTGGGAGTCCAGACTCTGGGGGTGGATCAGAAGACTGGGTCGTAGTGATGTTCTCGAAGTAGCCCTGGAGGAATTGGATCTACATTGCGGTATTTCATGGCATAACAATACATACTCGACTCACTACAGTTCTGAAGATGTATGCAAATCCTTAAGTGTATAATGTGACCATCCTTGGGGTGTAAGTTTAGGACCGGAGGAAGCCATAGGAATACCAACGATGCGACGAATGCTGGAGCTTGCTTGCTACATATTCTAGCTTGAAAGGTCGACAATTGGTATAGGACAGAAGGGCTGCCAGCGCGGGTACGGAGTGGTCGCCTGACTTGTTGTTCAATCGCTCGGCACCGAGTTATGTAGCCAATGCCGACCAGGCACCCAAGGCTCTGAGCGCTTGGTACAACTGACTACGCGCCATTGTAATTGCGATGGATCGCCGCTCGTAAAGTTGACATACACACCGTATTCATGCGCACGAAAAAATCCACTTAGCCACATCTATGTTTAGCAGCTCGCGGGTGTCTGTCTGCCGAAGAACGCGGTATCGTCAAGCGGAGAGTTTAGTGATGTCCATCAATAGCGGTGGGTGCGGTAATAACGCGCCGGCCGGTCTTGAGTCGTGAGAAGAAAGGGGCACGCACCAACATCCAGCACCGCCTGAACATCCACCCCAACCCTTCGATGCGGATTTCGGCCAATTAAAGAACGCCCGGTAAGTAGAACCCTGCACAAGTCGTTCTGTACCTGCATGGTGGCGCAAGCTGTGCCCTTGCTCTACTACGAGCTGCACAAAGATTAGCCGTTCGCGATTGCTGATTGTGATTGCTGATATGCGCGTTGCCGTGGATTTGATGAGGATGGAACCATCCGATGGGTCCTAATTAGCGACACGAGGAGGGTCTTACCAGAACGGTTATCGGGCACATGGCAGCTAAGAGAAATGCGACAAGTGGCTATGCTGCGATAGAGTTCACTCGTTCCCCGGCGGAGTTGGCGCAAAGACTTGGTGTGGTGTTTGTTGCCGTGACGCTCTCTCCTGCGCGGGAGGGTTGCTCAGGGTGAAAGCAGGCTAGCCCCATCCCGACCTAGACTGGACCCACCCTCGACCTAACACGACAATTATACCCCAGACTCATTTCCGCTCGGAGCACATCACGATCTCAATAGAGCCGTAGGATGGCGCCCATGCCGTTCTTGTACAACAATGATCACGCCAATTTCCAGGACCCCTAACCTAACGCCTTAGAGGCAGTTCTCCACCAACTGGTGCTCACAGGCCATGGCACATAGGTCAAAACCGCTGTGTTCCCCAAGGTTTCCTTCTTTTTCTCACTACGCAAGGCTTTCAAGTTACGCATCACCAGCCTCGTTGACAAGCACCCTTGGCCTTTGTGCCCCGTCACTCATTACACACTTTACTTAATATTACCCGCTTCACTCGCTCAGCGGACGATCACCACTACCCCTAGCCACCCCAAACCACGTAAACAAGTTCAAGATGCGTTACTCTTACGTTGCAGCTGCCCTCGTTGGGTCTGCTGTTGCCGCGCAGCACAAGGCTCATGCTGGATTCCACATGCGCCGTGGAGCTTATGCTCCCGAGGAGGTTTGCACGGTCTACACCACCGTCTACGAAACCGCAAGTATGTGAAACCCATGTTGGAAGGAGCCGTGAACGAAGAAGAACAGTTATGGCCATTGTCTTACAGCGACTAACATGACCCAGTGCCCTCCATGGCTCCCAACTCCACCATGCCCGCCGTCCCAACTTCCGTCCATGCGGAGACCGCCTCCACCTCCTGCACTGAGGAGGGGAAGACTTCCATGTACACTCCTGTCGTTCCGGCTCCATCCAGCCCGGTTCCCGTAGTACCCGGATCTTCCATGCCCGGCTACCCTGCGGTTCCTGAGTCCAGCAAGCCTGCGATGCCCGAGTCTTCCAAGCCCGCCTACCCTGAGGTGCCCATGTCCTCCACACCTGCGTACCCCGCAGTTCCTGAGTCCTCCAAGCCAGCTGTTCCCGCTGTCCCGGAGTCTTCCACCACCTGCACTGAGGAGGAGGGCATGACCTCTTCCATGGAGGCCCCCAAGCCCACTAGCCCGGCTCCCGTCCCAGAGCACTCCACCCCAGCTGTCCCCGCTGTCCCGGAGACCTCCACCACCTGCACTGAGGAGGAGGGAAAACCCACTGGCCCTGCCCCGGTCCCAGAGAACTCTAAGCCCGCCTACCCCTCTGTCCCTGAGGTCACTAAGCCCGCTGTCCCTGAGGTTCCCGAGACCACCAAGCCCGCGGTCCCTGAGGTCCCTGCTCCCTCCAAGCCTGCTTACCCCACCGTTCCTGAGGTCTCCAAGCCTGCTGTTCCTGAGGTTCCCGAGGCGTCCAAGCCTGCCTACACCCCTGAGGTCCCTGCTTCCTCCAAGGAGGCTGAGAAGCCCAAGCCCACTCCCAGCGCCACCCACGGCTCTGACAAGCCCAAGCCCACCGGCAGCTACAACAACGGTGAGCACATCAAGACCAACGGCGACAAGTGGGCCATTACCTACACTCCCTACGCCAACGACGGTAACTGCAGGACCGCCGACGAGATTGCTGCCGACATCAAGAAGATCTCTGAGCTCGGTTTCACCACCATTCGCTCATACAGCACTGACTGCGGTGTCTTCGAGCACGTTGTCCCCGAGTGCACCAAGTACGGACTCAAGGTCATCTACGGCATCTTCCTCGAGGCCGGTGGCAAGGCCGGAAAGGGTCCCTTCTCCAGCTACGCCAACGACCAGTTGAACGACATCAAGGAGAACGCCCCCAAGGACTCTGTCGCCATGGTCATTGTTGGAAACGAGTGCGTCTTCAACGGTAACTGCGAGGTCAGCGAGCTTGGTTCCTACCTCGACTACGTCCGTGATGAGCTCCGTGGCGCCGGCTTCCCCTCTGACATCGCCATCACCACCACCGAGACTGTTGGTTCGTGGGAGACGATTGGTGATGCTCTCTGCTCCCACATCGACATCTTCACCGTCCAGATCCACCCCTACTTCACCCAGTCCGTCACCGCTGACATGGCTGGTGACTTCGCTGCTCAGCAACTTGAGCAGGCCGCCAAGGTCTGCCCCGAAGCCGCTGCCAAGGGCAAGTTCATCACTGAGATCGGCTGGCCCAGCGCTGGTACCTCCAACGGCAAGGCTGTTGCCGGTGTCCAGGAGCAGAAGACTGCCATGAAGAAGATTCTCGAGAGCGTCGGTCCCGAGTCCTGCGTTTTCTCCTTCGCCAACGACGGCTGGAAGGCGCCTGGTGACCTCAACGTTGAGCAGAACTTTGGCTGCGTCGACGCCCTCCTCGACGGACTTAACATCTCCATCGATGTCTCTTTGTAGAGTCCCTATGATGTAGCCCGTAGCTCTTTTGTCAATCACGTTTAGCTACGTTATGCGTTCACGTCTTGCATCTGTCTTCATTCTGACCATATTATGTTTACTGCAAGTCGATAGCGAAGGTGGCTTGGAGGTAGTTTTTAGTGTTTAATCTATTTGCATACAAATAGCAATATCCTGTTCAAACAAGCTTTGGTATGTGCACAATGTTCCCAGCCGTGAAACTGCTCGTACGGTGGGTCGGTGGAGGTTGCTAATCTTCTCGGGGGGACGCAATTTAGACGTGTCATGTCAGGCATGGATCCTGCGACAATGCCGGAGATCAGGCGGTGGGAATCCGACTTCCGTGCTTGAACATGGAGAAGGGAGACTGGCGAGAGATGTCACCAGCGGCATTGTCTACAGAAGTTGGTAGGCCGTTTGCGGGGTTGCTGTGCCGCATGAGCACAGACCTAGGCGGCTTAAGATGCGCACGCGTTGAGATCTCTGCATCTGAACCAGACTTTCCGCGAATAGTCATTTGTCTTATCAAACGTCTCTTCCACGTGCATATTCCGTAGATATTTTAATTGCGTAGTCACCGCTATCGACACTGCATGCGAATATCCGTGCATCGAGAACTTCCTCAACGTCATCAACAATGGCAACCACCATCCCGGGCTTCCTCAGGCTACCACTCGAAATCCGCCAGCAGATATATCACTACCTTCTCGCGCAAAGTTTCCAGAGTCGAACGATCAATGTAAGCGTCCGACAGCGACACACTGGCTATAAACTGCAGGGTCTCGAAAGCATTCAAGGCCTTGTATTCGTCAGCCGCATCTTCCACGACGAGCTTCTCAACTACTGCTTCAGCCGTTTCAACTTCTTCCTCCACAACGGCTCAGAGTCCATACGCTGGGTGGCACGAGAGTTTTACCATCAAATCGGAGTCGAGAACAGGAAGCTCGTTAGATACATCACCATTCCTAGCTTCAGTATCGATCGCGTATCATGCGATCCAGACAATATGATTGAACTCTTCGCCGTTCACAAGGCTTTCTGCCTCGAGCTTCTGGATGAGATGCAGCGTGTTTTTGCCCTTCTGGCACGCTTCCCAGCATTGGAAGAACTCGATCTGGGTATTGACAGTCTGGAGGCAGTGCGTCTGACTGATCGCATGCATTGCAATATACCACCGCCGTCTACGTCGAGAGCAGATCTGAGAAGAGAGCGTGGGTTGATGTACGCGACTGATATCAGGGACGCTCTGCAAGAAGCAAGGTTTCTACCAGCAAGGGTGACTATCGGTATCTGGTGGACGACGATAGGTCAGGATAGAACTGAACTAAGAACGGATGAGGAAATTCGGCAAGACCAGGAAGACTTTCTGCATCGAGTACGAGAAGACATTATGCCTGTCCGAGTAATATGTAAAGGCGTCATGTAAATAACGAGCGACTCTGAAGGTCTTTAGTCTGGTCCTCGTAATTTAAACAATGAAATTTAACATAAGACAGAGCCGTAGCATTCAACATTAGCGGTCAGTCTCGTCTACTTCTGGTATTCCTCGCATGAGAACTTCATTATATACGAAAGCTCAAGAACTAAGACTGGATACCTAGCTACCCCCAAACGCTATTGTCAGCGCATGTGAAGGAGCCTTCGACAGGAACGAGAGGATCATGGTACGCAGCTACAAGCTGCTCAATGGAAGCCCATAGACCGACACCGTTCGCAAACAAAGTCAAGCCGATGATGGTCCAGTTTAGAACAGCCAGACACGTCTTCTTCCAATCGCGGAACTGAACGTCCCAGTTGAGGTAGAGCCACATGACTCCCGATATCCCAAACGTAAACCAGGAGACGAAGAGCGCGGCCGACACCGACAGGATCGAATGGAAGAGTGGTATGGCGTTTGCGAGAAGGAACACAAGGGTCCAGAAAGTGGCGCCAATACCGAGCCACATTACCCAGGTCTGCCTGGTGTTTTGGCTGTACTCGCTCTCTCTGCCCATGAAGCGTAACCACTCGATGAACATGTATCTGATCGATGTATGGCCAAACACCAGCGATGTTCCAAGTAGCGTAGGTAGGAGAAGACCATACGCGATCTTAGCTGTGATGATGGGTGCTGCTCCGAGTGCGGGACTGGTAGTATATTGTCCCGCTAATGCATAAACTACTATTCCAACGGTCGTATACATGGGTATTGCGAAGCCCTGTAGAATGAATACCGAAGGCATGAAGTCTATTGACGGGTCTTGCATCTCTGCCATTACTGTAACGAATGCCTGGTTGCCGGCATACGCGAAAGCGATGTTGAGAACGGAGGTGAAACCTTGCGCGAAGGAAGGATGACCAACTAGCATGATCTCTTTCTCCCATCCTGGTGGAGCACCGTTAGGTCCAACGATACCAAGTGCAATCAAGACGATGATAGTCGCAGCAAGGATTGAGATAGTGCAAGGGACTGCCACACATTAGCCTTTCTCGTGACAAACCAGGAGCTAGACTCACTGCCAAAATCCGCCAGAAACTTCATATGTCTGGGCATACACAGAACGCAAGAAACGATAGTAGGGATGAGAATGAACAAAATGGTGCACATGGCATGCTCCGAGATGCTGTTAAGCGCGATGCTCATAGTGATGACGGCGGATGAGCAAGCAAAGAGCTGATTGAGCACGAAGCCAATGCCGACAATAGTAGCCAGAGGGGGACCACCGATGATCCTGAAACAGTCGACGCAACTCAAGACCGAAGGGTATCTCCTGAAGAACTGGAGCAGGACGTATGCCGTATACATGACCGTGATGCCTACCAGAACTCGTGTTAGCAAATAGCTTATAGTGTCCGTTCTTCTAGTGTCTAACTTACCTAGCCCGATAATGCAGATAATTCCTGGGATTAACCCGAGAGTTTGCAATGCCGCAGGCAAACCCAAGATACCTATGCCTACCTGATTCGTGATGTAGATCAGCGATGCCTGCCATTTGTTGAGCTTCCTGTCTGGACTAGCCTGTCCTCCAACATCGAGGATGCCACTTCGTTCATCCTCGTTGCTGCTCTCGTCCGCCTTCTCGCTATCATGCGGTGGTAAAGTGGCGGCCTCGGGTACCCCAGCATGTGCCATGTCACAATTGTCATTTTGATCGCGGTGTCCGTTTTCGATCGTCTCGCATTGGTCTCGCATAGTTGACCCTGACATTGACATGTTGCCTCGCTTTCGTAGAACGGATAGACAGATGTAATGAAAGAAGCGCAGAGGAGGCTGGTGGGCGATGAAAGCAAACCATGGCGGTTACAATATCGCGACAAATGTCGTTCATGAGCATGTCCCGACGCAGGGTAGATACGGAACCAGAAACGCAGTGCATTTAACGAGAGACACTAGTTTGTTGTTACGGACGTTACCCCAAAGTCCGGTGTTGTATCTGCCAGGTGCGCCAGCGGACGCGAACTTGTAATATATCTCTGTATATGATGCCTTTGAATGACAAATATTGATCATTCAATTTAGATGAGAGATCTTCTAGTCTCTTTGGAGGTTGATGTTGATGTAATGATGTTGATGGGTGGTAGGGTCCCGGGGTCGGTTCGGGCTATCTTGCAGGGTTCGGTGACGTCACGCCAGTCGCGGAATGGGGAAGCGGACGCAACACCATCGACTCAAAGCACTCTCCTTTCAATCTCAACAGTAGTACACATTTGTATGAATCTATTTATAATGATATCAAGGTTCCAGTTACATTGCTTTTCGCGTTGAGATCGTCAGACCTTCGCACACCTGGGCAGCCTCCGTGTCAAACTGTAGCCAAAGGCTCGCCTTCCCTCTCTGCCATACACACTTATGGTTGTCACATGGGTCAGGGAGACCATAGCTGTAGGTATCTCTCTTTACACCCAGTGATTAGGCTGTTCAATCGGGCTGACAGCGTCAAATTGAGTTACAGGCTCTGAAGGTACGACGGAGATTGGCTGATGTTCCGCAGCCTCATTACCGGAGCTGTCGAATTTGCGGGCGACCTCCTCAGTGCTGGTCGTCTCTTCTGAAACCGAGTGCGTGGTATCACTGATGTGAGCAGTCGACATCTTCGCCCCGTCCGCCAAACATGGACGGCCAGTTTGGTTGTCGCGAAGTGACCACGCCATGCCTCCAGTAACGGTATGCTGAACTCCAACAAGAACCAGCGGCAGTCCATCCTTGTCGTTCTCTTGGAACAACTCCTTGTCAGCCTTGACGATGCGGTTCTCGGAGTTCCTCTCGAAGAGAGCAGCCGCTAATCCGGGAACACCAAGCCGCGTCCTGACTTGATGAACGTCCTGATCTGCTGCCATCCAAGCCATGACGGCGAGGCCAATTCCAAGAGCGGCGAAGAACAAATTTGCCAAAACCAGCAGCCAGACAGCAGCGACAGGCGCTCTTGTCATAATCTTCCTGGCTCTTGTCTGCACTAGAATACTGTCTGCCGGCACCGTATGCACGAGTAAAGGAAGGGCGAAAAGGGTGCTCATTCCAAGTTCCAAGTCTGAGATCCACTGTTCCAAGGATGCTGGAGGATTGATTTGCCGCGAAACGCTGTATTTTAAGTCCCCCAGGTAACCCGTGTAGTCGACAGAGGGAAGAATTGAGATACCCGCCACGGTAGAGTTACTCTCATGGGCATCCAACCTTTTGATTGTACCGCCAGTAGCACTGTATGTGACATCGTAGACTGGAAAGACCTATTAGGTGAAGAACAACGACTGTGCAGCATTCTTCGGTAGCGGGTACTCACCTGTTGTGTTACATGCAACAACCATGTCGTAACCCCCATACGCGGGCCACAGCGGCCAGGCCTTGCCAATCATGTCTCTTGGTAAGTTGTCCCCATTGATGTCTATATGCAGACTAACGGCTGCGTTCCATCTCCACGTGCTTGGGAACATTTGAGCACTCTCCTGTTTTGTTATGTTTGGTATAATGGATTCGGCCTCGTTTCCAGGGTGAAACTTTAACCCTTTCATCCTACCAAATGACATGCCGTCTTCGCTTAAGTGCTTGTGGAAATCGAAAAAGGTGTATAAGAGTGAGTCGCCTATGGTGCCCCCTGAAAAGTCTATCGGCGAGCCGCGAGCGATGGAGCAGTCGAAGGGCACTATTGGAAGTCCAAGGTCATTAGTTACGTTCGAGTTCACCTCGATATCGCAGGCGGTAGCAGGTATAGGCGCACACTGAGACGATATGGCGTAGGATGTCGCCTGCCAGTCTGTTTCGGAGGGCGATACCATTGGACCAACGACCGCGTATTGGCGTCCAGTAGTCTCCTCAGTAAAGTTCATGATGCCTTTCCCGTAGCCTTCGTCTAACCTCGCGTTGAATTCGGTGTTGTTTGTAAGATCCATCCTTTCCTCGTCGGATTTGAGTGTGGTCATACTGCAACCCCAGAAGTTTCGGTTCTGCATGGTACCGACGGTTTCGCTATCATCAAGGCACCATGGATCAATTCTCCTGCCGTACTGATGCTGAGCAGGATCTTGAGGGAAAACCTGAACTAACTCTATTGCTTCGGTCGCTATGTGGAGATAGCCGTCTGCCGCATGCACAAGAACACTGGGAAGCTTAGTACGGACATGAGTCTAATGATGCACATACGTACCTCGCGAGAACAGCTAGACATAGCACGAATATTGATGCTCGTAGTACCGTTGGTTTCGTAGCTCGCCCGGGTGAGTTGCTCTTCGTGCCGCGCCGAAAGGACCACCGTCGCCATGGCCGGGATAGTTCCCACAGAGACAGGTAATCCGCATTCAAAAGTCGGACTACAAGGCTAGTCTCATAAGATGTAGGAAGGCATCTGCTCTGGTCCTGCGACACGGAAGCTTCCGTAAGCTGGCGTGCGGCGCAATAGGCGTAAATCGACATAAGGGCGCTCACGAGAGCGAAGCTAACGGTGGATGACCAAGAAGATACGAACACGAGGCGAGTAGCCGGATAGTCGACGTAGTAGTGAGACGCCTTGGTGACATTGATCAGCGGAGACTGTGGGCATATCTCGCTATAGGGACAGTCTAGATCACTTGCTAGGTTGTGAAAGACTAGCACAAGGATCACGACGGTGAACGTGATCATCGGAACGACAACGATGGAAGAAGCCAAGAGAATATGTTTCGTATGGGGTTGTAAAGTGAATGAAGGCATGTTGATGAGGGTAACTGTTCAGGCAAGATGACTCCGAGTGGCTTTGGTCTCTCCAAAGAATAAGAGAGTTCTACTGATTTTATGTAGCGAAAGACATGGAGTAATGTATCTTGAGAAAAGAGTTCTGTACCGCTTTACTGGGAAAGGAATAAGCCCAGGTGTGATACGCTTCGACTTCGCCTTGCCAAGGATGACTTGATCGACATCTGGGCACAATTCATGTGAGGCCAAGCGACCGCACCCAAAGAAGTATAGCCATGTAAGATGTTTGACCAATGGAGCGCGAGACCGTTAAGGAATTCAGGTTCGACGTCGTGCAAATGTTAACACGCGGGGGCTGCGCGCTTCGTTATCGAGCAACAAGCTGGGCCTCGGGGATGTGCGAGTGGCGCAGCCCATTTTCCATGTAGGTACATTTTAGCCATATTGAGGCTGCCCCGGGAATCTTCTTTCTGGAACGTTGGCCAATACACTGTTAGCTTCAAAACGGAGGAGACGAAGGCGGTATCCAGTAGGAATCTTTGAAGTTGTTGAGACGCAAATTAGAACTAGGCTATGCCTTGAAGCCCCCCCACAACTCTGCAATGCTGTGGAACGAGAGTATCGCGTCTGGGACATGATATGTTGAAAGGTCTGGCTATGAGTGAGAACGCACGTCCAGGGGTTTTCGGGGCCGCTTCTTCCAGACTAATATCGCGACAGTCAGCACTAGGGTTGGGGGCCGAGATCGAATGGCAAGCCCAACGGCCGCCCTTAACAGGCTGCGGCAGTATGCCGTGGCATGCACACGATGCTTTTTGACCAGAAAATAGAGATATATGAGTGCGTATTCATAACTTTCCCTCTTAGCAGCTACAACTCATTAAGGTTAGATCAGGCTATCTTCCTGAGTCTGGTGACGTCATACCCCTTGCGGCTGCGGAATGGGGAAGCCGTTGCAACATCATCGATCTCGTGCACTTTCCTCTCGTTTTCAACGGCAGTAGACACCTGACCTCATGGTTCTGATCGTGTGACAGCCAAGGTGTGACTTTCTCACGACTGAATCCGAGCCTCACGACATGCGTTCACGAGAAGAGACATTGGGTCCAGTGTCAAGAAGCCTACACGAACAGAACCGACTTTTCGCATTGATCGTATCGAAATAGTCGTCGTACCGGAATACCTCCAAATGATTGGACTTTCGTGCCAGACTTGTACTCCTCGTAATTTAGACGACAAAAGCCACCACCAATCGACACAACCGCTATCCAAGTACCAAAACCCGGGACAGCGCACTAACCCTAAGATAAGCTCAACTATAATGGAGGCGTTAGCAAACTCTTTCACGCTCAAACAACAGTCGCTAGGTTTCCATACCATCATTGCGGTGGCGTACCTTCACGGCCTAGGCATTGCAGGTACACCGGCAAGTCTCCCAGCCCAACCAACACCCTCCGCGATCTTGATACCAACCGACCGAACGAGGGCAGCATCGCTTACCCCCTGCAGCATTCAAGCAGCGATTCAGACAGTCCCTTCCCCAGTTGCGTTCACAGCCTCCGCCCTCCCAGCTGATGCGTCGGCCAGGACAAGCTTGAGCAGCGGTAGAGTCAGGAGTTTCGCCGGAAATCGCGATAGTTGCGGTGGAGACCGTGAGAAAGGTAGTGAGGAATGGGAGGGTATGCATCTTTGGGAAGTGTTCAAGTTGATGTTGGGAAGAACAGTAACAACGATCTGAAGCATGCAGGCGCTGTGATGGAGATTCATATAGAAGTCCCGCATCGGCAAGAGACGAAGATACTAAGACTTTGGCTTGATCATGAGACAGATGCCAAGCAGCTTGTTACTCTGATGGTGGTATTTCACTTCGTAAATCTTACGGTGTGGAAACAAAGGATGTCACTCTCTAGACATATCAGTGGCTCTGGAAAGCGGGGTTGGAAGCCATATATATTCTTCTGCAACGAGTGTTACCTAGTAAGTGGCTGCGGGCGCTGCAGTAATACTTATATGCTAGACACAACCAATGAGTTATTGTAGTGCCATGGCTCACCGGAACCTCAGCATTTGCTGAGGTACGTTCCCTCACTTCAAATTCATTCGCGCTTCTTCCTCAAGTGACACCATGAAGACATCAGCCCAATGAAAAAGATATGGAGGACGAGTGGTATAGACACACTGTTCAACAGCAGATATGGGGCTTGCATCGTGGACGGCCGTAAGCTATCCGCACAATGTTTCCGCCAGCGGCACGGGGGAGACCTCCGCGAGCTCCGCTTTCCCCAAGACTGACAACGACAGTAGCGCTCCGGGGCGCAACGTCGCATTCATAGCACAGGCAGACCAGCCCGCCTGTGCCAACGAAGGTTTTAGGTCTTCGACGAGCGGGAACTTGCTGTTGGCAGACACGAGTGACCACCGACATACCTGTTGTCTAAGTGGTATCGTATAGTAGCCGCTTGAACACGCGAGGTCCGGTCTTTTGTGTTCAAGGAGCGTACTCATCCAAGTATTGAGAGTAAGACCTGGTGAAGCGTCTAAACTCTTCATATACTGCATTGTTGTGCTGGCCCAAGCAATACCACCGGGAGATACGCAGGCAGGTAGCAATGCTACTGCCGCGATGCTTCCAGATGTGAACGATGTCGTAGTCCATTCTTGCATGAAGCGAGAATTTCCAAGAGAAGCCTGCGAGGTCATCGCTGCAGTTGGGGAATGGACGTACATAGATCAATAGCGACGTACGTCGCGTATGAGGCTGACGCGGTCGGTCAGCGGCGCGAGCGGGTGTTGCGAGATTCTTGAGGAGCCCGTCGCTCTGTAGTGGGGAAGAAGCAACATTGGTGTAGTTCGTAAGTGAGGGGAGCGCACGAATATATAGTTCGCGCGGAAGGCGCTAGTAGACGCGCTTGCCGATTGTGGAATGCTCGCTAGTAGCAGGTGAAGGTGAGTGCCGATTCATGACGATCCTCGTAGTCAAGTTTACTCATATTCACTTGAAATCGATAAGATTCTTACCTAGTCAGGCTGTAGGCAGCGACTGAGCGGGGTATCTCATCAGACTAACCGATACTTGATTCCTAAATGAAGATGGAATAGCCCCCCCCAACGAGCTCTGACCAGCTGTCTACGACCAATGAGCGCCATACGTTCAGACTATGGTCGTCAGGTAATTGAATCCCCTATCACAAACTCCACTCACCGTCCAAAGCACTCTATCACCTGTGAGACTTCGCCTCCGGCTCGACTATGGCACCAGTAGTACCCGACCCGCCTTTCGGCGCACTCTTACCCTTGTACGTCGGCAGCTACGAACACAAGCCCTCGAATGTTCGCGTCAAGATCAGTGTTGTGAACAGTAAGCTCCAGATCGAGGATCTCGATCTTCAAGACCAAAAGTATGAGATTAAACTCCACGAACGAACCGCAACAAATAGTTACCCATCCGAATTCGTATCTACAGGCACTGTAACACCAGCCGCCCCCCGAGATCGTTCGAGGAGAACATTGAGCCAAGAGCCCGCCGGCCGGCACATCAGCTTCTTCCTCAAAGGCAACACCGTTGAAAGGTTGGTCTGGAAGAAGGATGGGATAGAATTTGCAACGCAATTCCAAAGGATGAGCACACTCCTCAGTCTGCCAGAAGAACTCCGCAGTCAAATTTTCGAATTGGCGTTGACGGACGATAGTGGTGAGATACACATGCGAGAAGAACAGGGTCACCTCCGCCTAGCCATCTGCAATAATGTACCATACGCAGACGCGCGAAACGGCTTTGCTAACTACGGGGATGTGCGAAGTCTTCCAAAGGCCTTCAATGCCTTACAGTACACCTCCAGGGAGCTATTCGCACTCACGCGCGGCCTGGAGTTGCGCTTGAACCACCTCAAAGTCAACGGGTGGACTTTCGACACCTTCCGACGCCTCGAACATCTTCGTCCCACTCCTTCATGGTTCTGGACCGGACCAAACTGGTTCGACAATGTGCGCAACGTTACCCTCGTCGGCGATTTCAAGGTCGGCAAGACTGCGGACGAGAACATCCTTCATGGTATCTTAAACTTCGGCCGCGCTCACCCTAAGGCTAACATCTTCGTTGGTATCGAGTCGCTTTGACTGAAAGGCAAGACGCTGCCCGCCTTCGTCATGTTGGTGTGGCTGATTCGAGAAGCTGTTCGAGGCATTGTGAAGACGGGCTGGAAAGCACAGGGGGACAAGAAGAACATCTCCAAGTGGCGCTGGGGGAAATCAGTGGATTGGATGAACGTACAAAACGTACGCTTCATACCCTCTGATGACTATGACGAGGCTGAGCTGAGGAAGCGGACCTCGAAGTACAAGAAGAACAAGAAGACTAAGAAGAATAAGAAGGCTTCAGGACAGGCGAACGCACCGAAGGAAGAGGGCGTGGTCGGGATGTTGGTGCAAGAACTTGGAGGCGTCGACGAATTCTTGGAGTACGTCAAGAACATCTACAAAGGCTTCTAATATGGGAGGACGGAGAAAAGGCTTCTGGTGATGACCTTCTGCTGAGGTGCCCATATAGCCCTCACGGTCTGTTTTGTTTGAACGCGCTCACGGGTTACATGAACGTCGCTTAGTCGATATGATGGGAGAATGAGGTTGATCGTGTTCTGACGCGCTTGCATAACCCTTACAGTCTGCTTTGTACAAACGCATTCACGGTTCACATGCATCTCTATTAGTAGACATGGTGACAGACCGAGTCTGTCCAACACCACTTGGAAGCCAGAGATAGATGGAAAGTCTTCTAGAAGTGACCAAGAACGGAAAGTTGCGCCATGAATATAAAAAGGATACCTACTTATGTAATGATCTACAAATCGACCGGGTAACGTTCCCTAAGTCTCTCACCAAAGATAAAGAACAGAATCGGAGCAGGCGCAAGCAGCAAGCTCACAAACGCAAACGTGCTGATGCCCCAACCATACCCCAGCTTCTCGAACAGCATGGGCGCAAAGATCGGGATAACACCTCCCACGACACTGCGAAAGACGGTGCCAGCAGCAATCGCACTAGCCGCGTACTTCTCGAAGCTGTCGATGAAGTAGTTCTGCGTGCTGTTCAAAATCATGACTTGTCCGATGCCGTAGAAGAAGGTCGCGGAGATGGATGCAAACCAGTGCGTGTGCTTCTGCACTGCCCAAGCGAACCAGAAGAGCGACATGGGGATGAAAACTGAGCCGATGTTTGCCAGTGGGAGGCGGAATTCGGGCCGTGCCTTCTCGTGGTTCTTCGCTGTGAGCGTCTTGTACACGGTGTCGATTCGCGGGACGAGGAACCAGACTGCGAAGAGGAACCCAGATCCAGGGCCTAGATACAACAGTCCGACCTGCTCAGTGGAGAAACCGTAGTCGTCCTGGTAGATGGGCTGCATGTTCGTGTAGATGCTGTATGTTGTGCCGAAGATGAGCGCTTGGTATACAGCCATGACCGCGACGATGGGCTGCGCAAAGATCTTCGGAGGGCGCTTGAGAGCCTGCGTGAGCTTCTCGTTCAACGGCCGTGTATCTTCGCCCTCGTACGAGTACTTCGTGCCGTCCCACTCGTTGCTCTGGGACTCAAATTCCGCTTTCTTCGCATTCAGGATGACAGGCGCATACGTTTCCCGGAGAAAAAAGTATCCAGCCAAAGTGTTGACGAAGCACACAATGGTCATTATCCAGAAGACCCAGCGCCAGTTCAATCGCTGCACGATGATGCCGCCAAACAACGGTCCTAGGGTAGGTCCAAGCAATGGGCCCAACAGGTACCAGCCAAAAACTCCAGCTCTTTCGCTTGGTAAGAACATGTCGCTGATTGTGCCGCCACCATTCGCTATGCCGACGCTACCAAAGAAGCCAGCAATGCTCCGTACCGTTATAAGGAACGCGATGTTCGGCGCGAGCGCGGCGGGTATTTGTAGCAGGGTGAAGATGGAGAAGCACACCAGGTATATCTTCCTCCGTCCAAACGTCTCGGACAGCGGCGCGAGGATCAAGGGACCGATTCCGAGCATGACTACGAAGCCAGTCGTTGTTCCAATAACGGCAGTCGTGCTGCATTTGAGATCTTCGGCGATTTGCGCGATGCCGGGTGTGAACATGGAGGACACGAGTGGGCTGAGGACTGCCACGAGTGTTAGTATAACTCATGTATAGGCGACGGGAGTGTATGTACTGGACATAAGGGCTATGACAGCCACGTTGGCCATCTTGCGCCATCGCGCCCATTCTCGCGGGTTTTCGTCATTCGAAAGGTCTCCGATGCGAAGATGCTGTCACGAGTTAGCAAATGCAGAGAGAACGCGCGTGCGCAAGAAAACATACAGTCCGCGGTTCGCCTTCCTCACTCCATCTTTGTTGCAGCAATGGTGCGCGCTCGCCCTGTGAAGACATGATCACCGTGGTACGAGGGATGGGTTGTGGTCGTGAATCAAAGAGGAAGTGCACCCAAAGAATTTTGAGAGTCGCGTCCCAGCCTTCAGCATGACAGTGGGCGTCATCGTAAATAAGCAGCCGTTACCTTTAACCGTGTTTGGGCGCGTTGTGGACATTTGAGCTTTGGAGCGTCATCGATCGCCGCCGCGGAGGGCTCGATCGATTAAACCCATGTTTCGGCTACCTGCAGCCATGGCCAATGAGATCAATTCACTACAACGACATCTTGCGAAGCTGGACTTTAGAGCTATGGATAGATTGTGGTTTGCTGTGGTAATTCAATTACGAATGAAAGTTTTGAAAAGATTTTATTGTATTGTATTGATTATATTTGCACGCATATCACATGTTTCCGTCTACCATCCTCCAACTTTGCAATAAAGTTCGTTCAAGCCACTTCAAAAGCATCCATATCCCCTGTCGGCAGGTCAGGTACACCCACTGCGCATCTTGCTGCATCAATCATCACCTCCACAACCTCAGGTGGATAGCTCCTCTTGAGCACGACTCTGACAAACTCACTCAAGAGGTTCAGTCCCATATCACCAATCTGCTCATCCGTCAACATCTCGTACTCGCTTTCCTTCAGATTCATTCTCGCCAACCGTCGTTGGAGTAAGATATTGTAGACCATGGTTATTCGATCCGTATTCTTCTTGTTGGAACGACTGTGGAAGTGTGAACTGCGCACAGCTTCGGTCTCGCGTGTCATGTCTACCCAGGCTATCTGTCCTTGTAGTATTTGCGCTGCTTCGTTGGTGGGAAAGATGTCGAAGTGGTGGCGAAGGACGTGCAAAGCAATCAGGGAGCCAGCTAGATCTTGAGTGTAGCTGAAGCAATGCATGATGAGTGATGTGATTGCTCCACTATCTGCACCTGCGAGGCCCATGCGGAAGCGGTCGGCGTCGTAGCGGCTGCGACTGAGTGTCCACCAACTGATCATCTCTGCTAGTAGCTCACGAGGGGTGGGCAGCCCTGGCTTGTCGCGATTTGTAGGGTCGCCGAGCGCCAGGCGGAGCGTTTTCCAGAGACAACGTATGCTCGCACCATTGGGGAAAACACCTGCGTCGCCTTCTTGCGGTTCAGTCAGAGTCTTGTAGATTTTCCATGCTTCGCTGTAGGCACCTTGGCGGCATTTGTTGTCCATGAGAACGTTCATGATGGTTGCATTGGGCTCAAGTGTCGTTTCTTTGAGCTGACGGGACAGATAGTCGACGTGTTCCCATTGCAGACTCTTAGCGTGGTGCTGCATGATGAGCGCGAATGTTGTGACGTTTGCAGGAGGAGCACGTTGAACGACGTCGATGCTTTTGTTATGAGTATCAGCGGTTCTTTTGTCAATAATGTCCGCCGTTGTGTCTCGACAAATATCATGTTGTTGCGGTAATGTGCGAGCTGCTTCGATCATGCGCCAGCCAATGTTTTCGGCTTTCAGGATGCTCGGACTCTCTTTGGTCCGTATCAACGCTTTGAGAAGCATGTTGAAGTGGAACGTTTGCGGTTTGTAGCCTCGTTTGAGCATCATCTCCATGACCTGAGCGGCCACCAACGGCGCCTTCCTAACAACGGCCGCTTTCATCCAGTCACCGAATAAATGGCCGTGATAAGCAGGCGGTAGCACGGATATAGCATCGAAAGCGATACTAGTCATTGCCGCTATATCAGTTCCGAGTCGATAAAGCATTTGCAGTCTCTTCAGAACTTGTTCAACTCGTTCTCCGGTGCCGCTAGTTGCCAGATAGCCCTCCCTGACCATATCCCGGAACACCTGTTTGGCGTAGCCTAGATTTCGGGATTCCAAGAAGCCCACAAGCCAAGCGTCGTAGTCCTTGATCGAGCGCGCATCGCCCTTCTTCTCCTTCATTGAGACATAGATCTGTTTTGCCAGATCATGGTGCCCTTGAAGTTCGGAACTCGTGTGAGCACGGAAGACGGCCATCATGACGGAAGTGTCCCAACTCGGGTATAACCTGAATAGCTCTTCCATGATGCTTCGGCTGTAATCTAGATTCCCCGCAAGCGCATGGAGCTTAGCCCCGACCTCGAGATGCTCTGGCTTGTAGTCCTGTCGTATGCCGTCGAATCCCAAAGTGTGATCCTCTTCCCATTCTCTAAGAGCTTGATCTTCTCTACCAGAGAGAAAGGTGCTCTCTAGATCTCTGGCCCGCTGTCCGGCCGTTGTAGTCCTTCCAGCCTTGTCCATGTCACGGTAGAGTTGTGCGATGTGTGCCGTGCGATTCGCATTGGTGGATGAGTCGATGGATTGCGTAATCCAGAGCAGGTCCCAGGCTCTTTCTGGAAGACGTGCTAAGAGTGTCGGGTCAGAGGCCTTGGCCAAAGAGTACGCCCGCCAGAGGGGCGCGCGTAGACTGGCGTCGCGGCCATTGGTGCTGTTGACCAATTCCAATACTCGGTCCAGTCTCTTGACAGCTAGACGCTTTCCAGGAGTACTGAGCCCAGGCGTGACAATGGATATGTGTGCATCTCTGAGCTGCTCGCGCTCCAAACTTCGGTCGGGATCAAAGAGAGGGTTCTCGGTCGTCTTTGTTGACTCAATCATCGCCGTAGCGGGCCGCGCAGGCCTGTGCAGAGTTGGATCCCATCGCGGGACGTATGTTGGTATTACTCGAGGGAGCGTTCGTAGAGCGCGCGCTTGAAACGGAGTGGAGTGTGGAAGGCATCGCAGTCGATGGAGCGCAAGCATGAGCAAGCGCTTTCTGTAGAGAGTACAGACCAGAGGCGGTAACAGGTTTACCGCATCTAAGTGGTATGTTTGCAGGATTTCAAAGGTCGAAGAATTACGAAATAGCAGCCAGCCATGACTTGTTATGTTACGTGCATGTCTCGTCCGCCGAAAGGTTCAGATGGCGCTAGCGTTATCGATAACTGTGACGGCCTGTGGTAACTCTGCAGACACCCGTGGACGGTAATCGACTGGTTTTCAGAAGTTACCTGAATGGGAAGACGCCAAGCAGCGCACAACACCAACGTCAAGTCTATCAATTGATGTGGGCATTGCATTCTCCGTCTACCAAATTCCTCGAGTTTGTTGTCGCACTATTTTGTAGACGATTTCATTCCTTCCTCGAGTAACCCCATGAAGGTGAAAGCTCAATGAAAAAAATGTAGACCTTGTATACAACACAAGTCGAGTAACGGACAAGGGCATTGCGCTGGCAGACTACGCACCATCACGACAAAAGTTCCCAGCGAAGCACGTTCCGGCACTGAGGCATGTGAATCGCTCTCCATACGTGGCAGGGAGACGTCTATGCATACGGATATGCTCGTTTCTCCAAGATACCATGATTCAAACGAGCCAGCTTGTAAGAATCCCCAGTCCAAACCAGGACCGGCGCCAAAGTTGCCAGGGCCACATAACTAGCGCCCGAAGGCATTCGTATCGCCGGAAGCCCACGACAGAACTCGACGGTGAAGCACTTGGTGAAGTGCCCACCAGCGGTGTCACGGCGCGCTCGATATACGCGCCATCTTCCGCTCGCCCAAATGCATAGTCGAGACACCTTGATGTACGGCTGTTTGTGTTGCATGCATCGCTCGCGCTGGTGCAAGCAGATGCCACCAAAGGCGAGCCCGAAGGTAGCAAAGCTAGCCTCCTACTCATTCCAAAGGTGCAGGCGGTGTCTGAAGGTGTGATGCGATAAGGCCATCCGGATGACCCTATCTCTGGAGTGTAGTTCTGGGATTTTAGCGGAAGTGAGGGAGGGTATTGCTCACTATGATCTACCAAGCCAGTTTGAAGAGTCGATTGTTCCATTGCGATAGTTCTGCGATCTACCGAGTGTTGATAGAGAAGCGGGCCAGTTGGTAAAAAAGATGAGGGAGTCAGGGGGGTTAACACCGGGGATCTTATGGGCAGCAGCAGCCTGCGCTAGTCTCGCGCAATGACCAGCCAAAGATGGGATGGTGAAGGGGAGTTCAAGATGAGTGTTGGCATAGAACGCCAGGGAAATCAAAAGAGGGCAATTCCTCGAGCCGGTTAAAAATGCAATTTAGAATTCACGTCTTCTCAGCTACTTTTGGCGTCATCTATCTTCCCACACCATACAGACTCCCCGCCGTGCTGAGCCTCCGCGAAAGACGACTCCATCCCCCTCCCCGCGAACATTGTCTAAGCACCTCCCTGACCCAGATGGTATCCCCAGCAATGTCTTGGTTGACACATGTGTTTGAAGAATACGATGCTAATCACCGGTTGTCCTCGAAGAGCTGTTGGTGAGGTTTAGAGCTTTAACCACACTCTGGACCACCTGTTCAACCACTGAAAACTGCATGTCGACCTCATAATACACTGTAAGTCATCTATTCGGTTACTGAAAGTTTCATGTAGTATTCTGGCCGTTCACGAACTTGGTCTATATTCTTAGGCTCAACGTGTCCGTTTATAGGCCCAGAGGATTGCTGGCCGAACCACCCCCCTTACCGGACCCTCCTGAAAGGCCAGGCACACCTGGCCTGCTAGCCATGGATGCCATACCCCCTACGCCACTTGTGCTCAGGCCAAGAGGATTCTTGTTCGTGGTCGACCGACTACCGGGAGCGCCAGTGATGTCTTTGAGGGAGTTGCCATACTCGCGGACCATGTCGCCCCAAGTGCGGGATGAGTTCGCAATACTATGTTATGTCAGTCAAGGGAACTATTGCAGGATGTGGTATATTACCTTGCGCCAGCGCCTCTCCCTGCTCCAGCAACACCACTGCCTGCCGCTGTCACGACTGCACCAGCAGCATTGCCGATACCAGTCGTTGCGGCGCCGACAGCACTTCCAATGCCTGATGATGCGGCACTGAGACCTTTGTTGATCCAACCCTGTTGCTGTGGCTGTTGAACAGGCTTCTTTGCGGGTGCTGGCACAGCTTTCTTTTGACCGACAGCTGTGACGGGCTTCTTCGCTGCGACATTTGTGACGGGCTTCTTAGGTGCTGTGGTCACAGGCTTCTTCTGCATGGCGGTGTTGACAGGCTTCTTGGGAGGCTGAACGGCTGGCGCCTTGACAGGTGCTTTCTTGACTGGGGCTGTTACTGGTGTCTTCTTCGCCGTCGACGTGACGGGCGTCTTCTTGGTGCCAATGGGTTGCGCGACCATGGTGAGACGTTGACTCAGTGCTTTTCTTAAGGTTGCTCGGGTTGTATCAAGTGTATTGAGTCTAATCAGGTCTTAGATCGGATATTGAGTATGTATGGAGATATCTAGGGAGCATCTCGACCCAATCTCTTTTGATGCACAGAAAGTTGGCAAGCTGCTATGCCTGCCGCACATGTGGCGCAGATGATGTCAGGCACGGGAACGTGGGGCGCGCTTGCCCCAGATGGATTTAAGGTTGCCTTAGCGTGACCCGCGCGCGAAACGTCGAGACCCTGGATCCATGTTTCGCATCGTCAACACTTCGATGTCTGCCAGATGGCACCGCCGTCCCATCTCTCTATACAGCCCAATTCTACGTCTCGCTTTGTTTAATCATTTTCATCTTCTCCGCTACTTTGAATTGTGATCGTATCTGGCTGATAGGCCTTCCAAACCTCCGGAGTGTGGAGCTGTGAATGTGAACGAACACCCACGCTCACCGCACGCGACCCTGCCCGCCATGAGCCGCATTCACCTGTGGTAAACAACGTGGAACGTCATAATAAAACTGTGAGTGCGATTTGTCTCCAAAACACCAACATGCCGCAATAACACCACAACGCCATGCTCGGCGACGAAGCGGTGTTCAAATTGAAGCGGTCGGTGAGCGATGGCGACCATCTCATCCCTATGGGAGAGGTGACCCCGCCTCGCTCACTGGACAACACACCGGCGACACGATCCAGTCGCTCCTTTTCGATTTCCAAGCTGACAGACTCAATCAAAGGGAAGATAGCCAACTCATCCCGCTCCTCCCGCTCCTCTCGCACCCCTTCCATCGACAAGCGCGATATCTCGAGTCCGATATTAGACCACAGAAGCCCGCTGTGCCCGCCTACCCCGAAGCCAAGGCTTGCTATTGCCCTCCCGGAAACGCCTGTTCCGCGACGACCTCTATCACGATCCAGTCCCGGCACCATCAAGCCTGGCCGCCCGAATTCTACCGCCCGACACTCTGCCTCTGCCTCTGACCCTACCAATTACATATCGCCCGGTCGGCGTCCACGCCAACCTGACCGCCCGCCCCCGCCTCTACCAATCGCAACCAGCTTCGAGAGCACAACCGGAACCCTAGTGGACAGTCCGTTGGAGCGCATAGCAGAGTCGCCCTTCGAGCCGCAAGAGGACGCCCCAACCGAACGGCTCCACCTCGACAAAGTATACAGATACCTCAGAGACATGGAACCTGCAAGACTGCAGCCGCCCATGATGGGTGGCACCAAAGGGCGTGCAATGCAACAAGCAAAGGATATGGAGCTCCTGGTTGCAGAGAGAGCCAAGCGGGGTGGTGAGGAACCACCGCCATACGACTTCTACGAGCTCATTGGCAAGGGTGCATATGGCCGCGTCTACAAAGGGTGGGTATCATGCAGCGAACCCCAGAACACTCGCTGACACTACAAAGAAAGAGTCGAAATACCGGCGCGCTTGTTGCCATCAAGATCATCGAGATCGATAAGGTTGACTACGAGGAGATGACACACAAGAACCTTCAGGACACACTCAAGGAGATTGATATCCTGCAGCAACTCAGAGACAGCAAGGCAAGACCCTACGTCAACATTATCGAGGAGGCCAGGCCTGTCCATAACGAACTCTGGATTGTCAGCGAGTATGCCAGTGGTGGTAGTGTCAACACGTTGATGAAGCCTACGGCTATGACCAAGGACCCTGGACCTGGACTGGCGGAGAAATTCATCATACCCATTGCACGTGAATTGGCGCAAGGTCTCAAGTACATCCATGAAGCTGGTGTGCTACATCGAGATCTGAAATGTGAGTAGGGCTGGTTTTGCCGTTCTCAACCTTTGCTGACCAAATCCAGCCAACAACGTTCTTATCCTTGAAGACGGCCGGGTACAACTTTGCGATTTCGGTGTCTCCAACACCCTGGAGCCGGAGAGATCGAAGCGCTCGACTATCGTCGGTACACCATTTTGGATGGCGCCTGAACTGCAAAAGGAATGGGTCAAGGATGCGGACCCGCACAGCTTGATGCAACCCAAGGAGATATCCTACGGAAACGAGGTTGATATCTGGGCCTACGCTTGCACTGTCTATGAGATGGCTTGCGGTTATCCACCTCATCACAAGATTGGGCAGTTCGACTTGCCAACGGCTGGTGTTCCTGTGCTTGAAGGTGATCGCTTTTCCCAAGAACTAAAGGATTTCCTAGCTTTCGTCTTCCAGCCAGAGCCGCAAGATCGACCAACACCCGACCAGATCCTTGAGCACCCCTATCTTGCGGACACTACCAAGATGTATCCTACAGTGTCACTCGTCAAGTTAGTTGAGGACTATTATGTATGGGAGCAACAGGGCGGTGCACGACAGTCGCTCTTCAATCCATACGGTGCACAAGCACCAGACCCGCTTGCCCCAGAAGTGGAAGACGACGACGACGATGACTGGTCTTTCAATGTATCAGAAGAATTCGAGCAGGAACATGCACCACAATTTGGCGATCCTTTTGCGGGTGGGGCCGGACAGGGCTTCAACGGAATGGGTCTACCACCTATAGCAGATATGGGACGATTCGAACAGCTCCAGGCTAGGTTCAAGGAGGAGTCTATCGTCCGAGGACAGAAACGTCTGAACAAGCTATTCGATACGAACACGACACCATACCGGTACAGCGCAGTCGATATGCCAGATCCTCCGAATGGTCGCCCTCCCTCCGATCTAGTCCTACGCGACTTCAATCCTGGCGCGCCCAACCGCGAGACCGTCATTGACCTGGACTTTTCGATGCCATCAGCAGACGAGATACCCAGTATCGATCTGGGTGAGGTGCCGACCATCCGCGCGAACCGCATGAAGAGCATCATACGTGAGATGGAGGAAGAAGAGGAGCGCCGGGATGCTTTCAATGAGGAAGATGAGATGACTAAACGAGCCACGAAAGACTGGACCTTCCCCAGCATGAATGACGAAAATCGCAAGACCATGGAATGGTCCTTCCCGTCGGAACAACCAAATCGAAAGACGATGGAGTGGTCGTTTCCTGCTGAACAGCAGCCTAATCGCAAGACAATGGAATGGTCTTTTCCGGCGCAACCTCAGAAGCCAAATCGACGCACAGTAGAATGGACATTCGACGCAGCGATGGCAGAGGCCAATAATGAGCCCAGGAATCGCGCATCAAATCGGATCTCTCGACGACGCGAGACGAAAGAATGGACGTTCCCCAAGCAGGACGACAATCGCAAGACTCAAGACTTTGCCTTTCCCATGGGTAGCCCAAAGGAGCCACGGCGCGGTCAGCACACGAAGACGGACTCATCTTCACCAATCCTCGCATCTGGTTTCCGGCCAACCCTGCGACATGCCCAAACAGCGCCTGTTGACCCTATTGATGACTATCCCGAGATGATTAGCTCTGCGCCTGGATCCCCTCTTCGTTCGTCCATGATTGACCTCGATATGGCAATGGTGCAGGACTACCGTCCATCCACGTCTGGCTCTGATATCGTCACAGCGGGAATCGACCGTATGAATGATAACCCATTCAACCTTGAGGACCAGGTACAGCTATCACAAAACAACCACCGCGCTTCCTTCCACATGAAGTCGCAGTCGGAACCGAACCAGGCCGTGCCGGGCTTATTGACACCTCAGCAATACGATGAGCAAGGCCATCCTACAAACCAGGACCCACACCACCCCAGCATGCACGCTCGAGGCGTCAGCTCAGCGAGCCAGGTACAGTCACAGGCGAAACCAGCACCCAGCTCCGGCCAGTACCACCGCGGAAACCAGCGCTCTCAGCAGATCATCTGGGACGGCTGGTCGCATAACATGGCCTACGGACTAAGCAGCGACGACCAATCACCTCCCATGAGCGTGACAACCGACACCTCGCTCGAAGAAGAAGACGTAGACGACCTCTGGGACACATTCGAGCGCCTCAACCTCGCCGCACAACGTCGTCCGATGGGCCAAGCTTCCGCCCCCCTCCGTTCCTCGCGCAGAACCGACTCTACATCCACAACCCTTACTTCTACGACCTACACCCTCGACTCCGACACCGATGACTCGTATCACCACGGCAACACGTACTCTTCCTCCTCAGACTTTGATCAGCAAGACGCCCCGCGCTACAGCCGCAAGTCCACCACCGTCAGCGTCGGTCCAAACGGGAAGCCGCTCGTCGATTTCCCCGTCCCGACTGGCCCTGAAGTAGAGGCGCTGTTGGGCGTGGACATGGATGCAAGGGTTATGGCTGATATGCTGCTGAAGAGTGCGGTGGAGTTGAGGGACGGCACGAGGGCTAGTAGGGACCTGTTGAGGGCGATGCGCTTACAGGATGTGGAAGGCGAAGGCGAGGATGATGATGAAGGTGCGGATGAGGAGATGAGAGGGGGTACTGTTAGGCTGAGGGGGCCTGCATGAATTTACGATAAAATGATGCTGGTTATGGAAATGAGGCGTTGGGCGACACTAAGCAGTCTTTGCTGGATGGAGTTGGGCTGGATGTCTGATCGTAGGGTCTGTGATGGACTTTATCCGGATTGTTCTTTCCCGCTAAGGAAAGACTGAGACGATATATTCCAATTGAAACATGAAGAAACGCTCAGCCTGCCACTCTATCGTGACCATAACATGGACATTGACGACAACGCCAGTCTCACCATCACCAACAAGCAAAGCTTCAAACCGAGTAATTCTGATTATCAAATTTTTCATTCCATTCTCTCTTGAGTATGTATAAACGTAGATGTGCTTCTACCAGGCAATCAACCAGCTGACCCAAATATCAAACGCTCAATCATACATGTAGAAAAAAGCTCAACCAACAAAGATACCCAGGCCATATGTGAAGCAGGCCGTCAATCATAAAAGAGACGCTCCCAAGCTATGCCCTTTTTGTTCCCAGACCAGCGCCGAGCAGGAAATCGCTGCTCTTGATGCTTTCCCGTTCCCAATATACGCCGTAAATGCAATGCACAAGAGATTCATCATAGACTAGCTTCCGTACTACCGTCGTCAAGGTCGTCAGGGTTTGCGACGCCATCTTCGTCCTCGGATTCCGCTTCTGATGTGCTGTCGCTGTCATCATCAGCATCATCTTCGTCATCGTCATCGTCGTCCTCGTCCTCCTCATCTTCATCATCGTCGTCTTTTTCGACGGGCATACCGGGTACCGGCCGCCATGCTACGTAGTCGTGCTCGACCCAGCGCTTGCTCCGTGGGAGCACGTATGGGTCGAAAGGAAAGTATGCGTCCAGGAGGAAGGCCTCCTCGCCCTTCTTGCTTGTGAGAGCAGTCTCTCGGCCGCCGATACCGTTGAGGTACCCACTGGCCAGACTGCGGGACAGTCGTACACGCTTGTTTGTCTCTACCAGCGTATCGATGTATGTGAAGCGGAGGTGCTTGGCGATGCGGCCGAACTGCTTGACGATTTCCGGTGCGCAGATTCTGAGTGGGTTCAGCTTGCAGAAGATGTTGCGGCGTATGGTTTCGAGGGTCGACCGGTGCCACTGGAAGTCGCCTTCGTGGTACATGATGTCTGCGTCGGTGGGCAACGTGCCGTCGGGTGTGACGATGAGATCGCGCCATCGGAAGCAGAAGGCGTATAGCAGTGCCTGCACGATGGCGTAGTATGTGCCATACCGTCGTAGGTCGGGACCGATGCACTTGGGCTCGTGCGATTTCCGCTGGCTCTCAAGCTGGACACATAGTGTGTCGAAGACATCGCGAACGATGGAGCCAGGAACGTGAGCGCCGCGCGCGATGTAGGAGGCGAGGTAGGCACATGCGGCTGAGCGTAGTAGCGGGGGTCGGTTCTTATCTATAGCCAGGTGCGAGCAGGTGTCTACGAACCGCCCCATGAATTCTGTCGAGATCTGGCTGAAGTGGAAGAGCACGAATTGAGTATGTCGTGAGCGGTAGGTCGGGATGATGATGGACTGGAACTGCGCGATGAGGGTTTGGTAAGTGCGATCCATCTCTTGATAGTCGTTCCGTTCGAAAACAGAGTCGTAGTAGGAAAACTGCACATCCATGACGGTGTCGAGCTTGAGCATCATGTCTTTGATGTCTTTGAGTCGCTGCTCTTCCGGGTCGAGGCTCTCTTCACTCGATACGGAGCCGTCATCGCTCACGTCGTCGTCGTCTTCCTCATCGTTGATGGCCCCATCCATGAGTCGCTCCTCCAGGTCGTCGTCAATCTCTTCCATGTCTACCTGCATCTGCGCGTCGATCTTGCATAGCTTGTCCGTGACGAGTGCCAAGATCTCGCCTCTGATCTCCGGCGCGTACTCTGTGACCTTGAAGATGTTCCGGATGTACTCGACGTGGACCTTTGCGGTGTCGCTGGAGAAGGGGAAAGTGCTAGAGATGACGGGCGCGAGGAAGGAGCTCGCCATCGGACTGTATTGTAATATGCCCATGAGGGTCTCGTGTACGCGTGCTTGTAGGCGGACTCTTTGGATCGGTGGGTCGTCCTGCTGCCTGGCGTTGACGGAAGGCGCACTCAGGAACATGTCGACCAGCATCTGCAGCACGGTCGACATGTAGCTGGACTGCACTGACAGCAGCCTGCGTAGGAACATTCGGTAGGAGCGCAGAAAATCTTCATTACGCGCTATCCAACTGCAATCGATGACGGCATGCACCAGGCCCTTGCAGTTGCCGTCGAGTTTTGGCGTGTGCTCGGTGAGTGCGATGAGGTATTTCTGCAAAAGTCGCGAAAGAGGTGCACCTGTGGACGTTGGTGCTTCCTTGAAGAGGGCTTTGAGCCCATCGTAGGCCGCCTTGTCGCCAGTCGCATGCCTTTCGATGGCGCGCCGCACCTCCTCCCCCACCAGCTCCAGACTCTTCTCGTGGTGCTCGCTCAGTATCCGCACGTTGACTTCGGGGTCGAAGGTGACTCGGCGGCGTTTGAGCGTGTCTGGGGTCGCGTTCTCGGCGTCGGACGAGTTGTCGATTTGCTTGCGTTTGAGGCTGCCACCCGCGCTCGGGGCGGCGGTGCCGAGAGTCCTGTTCATTGTGGCAAGAGCGACCATGTTGTGGGCAATGTGTTTGGCGAAGGGTTTACATCTGAGCAGGAGCGCGAGGTGTGGGAGATTGTCGTCCGTCGGTGGGCTGGTGAAATTGGCAGTGAGGACAGCGGGGGTGAACGCACGCGACTGTGCTGCGAAGTATTGAGCCCGAGAGAATTTCAGCGGGTCACTTAGGTAAGCCAGTAGTTCACCATGGTTCGCCGATCCAACACCCAATCACTGCAATAACGAATGATGCGATTCATTTGAAATCGTAGAAATGTATTAAGTTTCCTATCCATCGCTTGCCTGTATCAGGGTTGGATAACCACAGCTTCGCGAAGTCGATACAGACTGGTTACTCGCGCTGGCCCCACCACGCACTGTTCTTCTTCGCGCTTCGTTTGATCAAACAATGAGTTTCAGGCTTATAATAGATTCTCTAGATCCTACCTGAGATCTTACCTCGAGGATTGGCGTCTTTCTGTTGTATGATCTACGAGCTCACATCTCACCGCATTGTGAAATGGCAATGTCTTGCACTGGCTTTCCTTCCGGGTTGGCTACTGTTCGCGTATTCTCGATCTTGGTGACAACGTCCATGCCTTCGATGACGTTGCCAAAGACAACGTGCTTGCCGTTCAGATGAGGGGTGCCATTCTTCGCAGTGATGATGAAGAACTGGGAACCATTGGTGTTGGGACCTGAGTTCTGCAATAGTCAGCATGGGATTTCAGGTAAGCTGCGAAAACCTACAGCCATGGACAGAAGACCGGGCTTGTCGTGTTTCAGGGTGAAGTTTTCATCGGCGAACTTCTCAGTCCCCCAGATAGTTCTTGAGCCAGTTCCGTTGCCATTTACAAAGTCGCCGCCTTGTATCATGAAACCCTTAATCTATGTTCATTCAGCATCTGAAAGATAGTGCACTGTGATGCTACTTACGACGCGATGGAACTTGCAGCCTTTGTAGCCCTGCGGCTGCCCCCGGCTGTTCTTGGTCTCGCCCGTGCAGAACTGGCGGAAATTCTCCGCAGTCTTTGGGACTACATCTCTGAACAGTTCCATCTTGATCCTCCCCAGCTTCTCCCCTGTTCGCTTATGTCAGTCACCATGGTCGGGTCGCGGGCGTTTGCCCAACTGTGGGCTAGGCCAAGAAAGACGCGTAGCAGATGGCGCGGGGTGAGGGGTAGCCACTACTGGGTCACATGGGTGGATGCATACCTCCTAGGGTGATGTCGAAGAAGACGATTGGGTTGGGCTCGGCAGTCTCCGCCATGGTTGCGGCAGTGCAGTGCTTGAAGAGCGAACTAGTGACGTTGGACGGGCTTTGGCAGTGATGATCGAGGGAGTCGCACGGTAAGTGAAAAAGGCGTTCCGTCCAGATGGTTCCAAGATATGCCGAGCAGAGACAATGGTGCAGAAGCAGGGGAGTCGGGCAGCTGCCAGTGGTGGACAATGTTCATGTGGATACGCGCAGTTTGTTAGCGGGGAAGACTCCACCGGAAGGGCAGGGATCCGACATGTCTACGCAATAGTGAGCGGACGGCCTGTCTTGCGACGCTGAACTCTGGTCCTGCGATGTGAGACTGAGACTGTGTTGCAGTTGTAGTAGTGAGTGAATGCAGTCGTATTGATTATGCATCACCGCATCAGGCTGTCAGCAATTTTACAGTGTGATAGCACCTGCATGCGACGGCATCCATGCGGCCCAAAGCAGAAACCCTGCTTCGGGGTGCATTGCGCGGACAGCGCCTGTGACATGTGCATGGTGGAATCGCAAGCAACACCCAGTGCATTCACGACGCTCCCCCTCATTATACAAACAACCTCATACCTACCACTCGCCACTGCCCCGAACGCCACACTGGCGTACCATTAACCTCCTACTATCATCATTGATGGGCCTGGTTGCCGGTCATCCTTGGCACCTGCCGGCGACGTTAGCGACGCCTCTGCGGCCTTTATCCGCCTGAAGACCGGCACCTCCCCCGTTCAGCCCTCGGCCACGCACTCGCATTCACTGCCCTTCCCTGACCATCCCGCCGAGTCTGTTGCTTGACCACCAGCGCTCTTCGCATCGCATGGCCGATAACGATCCGTTCCCAATTCACCGCTAGCGATTGTGGCACGGGCAGTCACTGCGAACGACTACAGCCTCTAGGGAGCCGACTCTCCATCGCCACGCCCGCAGTCGTTGCCGTCACCATCACCGATTCATCACCTTCTCCGGCCCTTTCCTTAGCCCTCCCGCCGCCACTTCCAACTTATCGCAACTACTCCACACGCGAAAGATACTCTGTCGCCGTCGTGTCCAGTCGCCTCCTGATCCGTTTCACCTCCCGCAAGGCTCGCCGCATCCGGCCTCACTCGCGCATCGCTGACTCGGTGTCCTTCACGACAGTGCGACAGTAAATCGGCGTATGGGATAGCAGACTCGTCGCAGCCCACCATGTCCAACGTTGTGCTCTTCCCGCGGCAGCAGGCCACCCCAACAGACGGCGCCAACAACAGCGGCAGCAACAACAACAACAGCAACGGGCCCACCAGTTCGCCGCTGCTTTTTTTCGTTGCCCTGGGTTTCGGTGTCGTCTTCACAAACTTATGGTAGGCAATGGCAGTTGGCTCGGCTGCTGCTCCTCGTACTGACTGCGCTCAGGATTATCGTTGGTGTTAAGTACTGCTTCCGATACAACCGCCGTCGCGCGGCCCAGGCTGCTGCAGATGGCGAGCCAATCGATATGACCAACATGCCTCGCCCGCACCGGAGAAGGAGGGAGAAGAAGCTGATGACCATGGACGAGGTCAACGAGCGGTTCCCATTGACCAAGTATAAGCAATGGAAGTCAAGTCGCGAGACCGAGGGCTTGCCAGCTAACGGCGGCATTGCGACGGCGCCCCAGAGCAGAGCAGCAAGCTTGAAGGATGTCGAAGGTGTCATTAGTGCCCAGGACGAAGGTCCAGGACCGCGAACCGACACTGCCCTCTCCATGGCCCGCAACGACCTCAATGCCCCGGCCTCCTCTACCGACCCCGTCGCTCCCCCGAGAACAAGTGTCGAAAGCAGGAAGAGTCAGCACGTGCAAGACCTTGAGAAGCAGGTCGCCGACAAGTTGAACTCGGAGAAGACGGACAACGTTCAAGGGCAAAGTGGTACACCCCAGGCCAACGTGCGCGAGCGCGAGGACGACTCGGACGACGAAGAGGATCCCATCAGCACTGCCGCTGCACCCGAGATGTTGGCCGAGCCGGGAGACACGTGCGCCATCTGTCTGGATACCCTGGAAGATGACGACGATGTACGTGGACTGTCTTGTGGCCACGCCTTCCACGCCAGCTGTGTCGACCCATGGCTTACGAGTCGCCGCGCCTGCTGCCCTCTCTGCAAAGCCGACTACTACGTTCCGAAGCCCCGTCCTGAAGGAGAAGTTGACCCTCTTACTGGTCGCCGTTCAGTTGCTGGTCTTAGATCACCACCGCAGGCGGTCTGGACTTCCACCAACCCGTTCTCTAGGTCTCGCGTCATGGTCATCAACTCAGACTTCCAGCAGCGACAAGGTGGTGATCGGTTCGGGCGACTAAATCGGCCTACTCGCCGCGAGCGCGTGGCTGGGAACGCCTCCCAAGCGACAGGGCAGACTAGCGAGAACCAAGGATGGCGATCGAGGCTGGCGCTCAACCGAACTCAAGGCCCTGGCTTCTCAAGCTGGTTCGGCCGCAACCGTGGCGCCGGTGCCACTGGAGAAACCCCTGTCTCGCAGCAGCCAACTCCAGGACAACTCGAAGCAGGTGGCCGATAGACGCAGTCCTGTTGTCACCCAGATTTCTCGATCGTTCTCACGCCCAATTACGACTACCATACCCTCCGTTTCTGTACCCGATCCCCACGGCACTTTTCTCTTTTTCCACATTTCGGCGTTTCCTCATCCATATCCTGAGCAACTTTTCGTCTTGGTGTAATCTCGCTCGCACAGTACCTATCAGAGCATAGCGGGGTCTCTCAACACAGCATTTGACAGGCGGGGAGAATGGGCTATACATGGATAGTTGCTAGTAGCGACAAGGCTATAGTTCTGGACTGAACTGCTAACATTGTAGATAGTATAATCTACAGCTTTGCAGGCGACATAGTCACGAGCAGGGAGGCTTTCTTGGCACATTATGTAGCATATACTAGGCGATTTCGATAGCGAGCGAATAGATACATGGAACACAAGATGCTTGAAGCAAGTGAGACCTCGCTTTTCGAACCAAAACAGTGATGCTAATTACACTACGTGCTCACAAGCCAGCGCTAGGATCAGCGCGGTGAACAAAAGAGGTAACCGCGGCCCATGACGCTAGTCAGCAGCGCATCTCGCCTTACGTCAACCTCCATGTGCATGAAGTACTTAGGCACCTACATTGACGGATTCTCTTGGAAACATCCGATAGTCACGGCATAATATGCTGCAGGACACCCTCAGATTTCTTTCGCGCAACTTGTTGAAATCCGACGTCTTCTCTAGGCAGCCACCCTCACAGACGAACAACATGGCGACCCCCAAAATCACCACAATACCCACCGAAATCCTCACGACCATATTCGAGTACTTTGTAGACGACCACGAAACGCTCAAAAATGTCAGCAAGGCCTATCCAGAGCTCGCTCCAGCGGCAAACACAGTACGCAACTCCGTTCGAAGAATCCTTGTCCGCGGAAACGGTGCACACGAAGCGTGCACAGAGTTTCTCCAAGAGCTTTGTCTGGCCCATACACCGTCTGGTAAACCCATTGGACCCATACGCTATCTTGAGCTCGTCTTCGACAGCCGGGCACAATTCCGACTAGAAAACACATTGCAGGACATCCTGGATTTCCTTCCAGCGGTCCAACACGTCACGCTCAAAATCAACGCTCGGCCCTTCCCCGAAAGTCCTAAGCAGGAGCTTATCGAAAATTTCGAAGAGAAAACGCGCGGAGCCGTGGAAGACTATACGAAACTCATGGACATGCTCAACTCACTGAGGCCGGCAAGAAAAATCGGTCTTAGCCTCATCATCAACGATTGCATACTCCGCACCTCACCTATCATCGCACAACAATACCCAAACATCACGCTCCGAGAATTCGACGTCAAGATATACTTGTGTCAACGCAATACCCTCGCCGCCTTGGCCCATCGTCTGCTCTACGCAACGAAAACCCTGACCGACTTCACGATACTGGAGGACCAAAAGAGTCCATGGGAATGCGACTGGATCCCTCTTCTCATGCCGTTTTCCGGTCTCACTTCCCTCAAAAAACTACACATATCGTCTGGCTGCTGGTTCTCAAACTCGGCATATAACGCCATGCAGGGTCGCCAGGGCTTTCTATGGAAAGGCGAAATAGTACGCCCATCCATCGTCCACTTACTGCCCCCATCGCTTTCCTCGCTCCGAGTAGACTTTAGTGGTAGCGCGGCCATTTTCGCCGTGGGTGATGGATACCGTGCCGCCTTCTTCCGCATGACGTCCGACGAGATCAAAATGAAAATGAGACCGTGTTGGAACTGGATATACGAGATTGCCGCTGCTGATCCTTCGCGATTTCCTCGATTGGAGAAGGTGGAGGTGCTGGAGCTGAAATATGTGGTCAGTGATAGGGGTAGGGTCGTCAGGTGTGCGGAGCCGATGGATTGGGACCCGCCTGATGAATTGAAGAAGGCGTTTGCGGATAGGGGGATCGAATTGACAATTCAAATCAGAGGCAAGACGGAATTTAAGTCGGCGCCGCCGGGGCCTGGTGTGCAGGCAACGTGATAGTCGACGAATGCGACATTTAGCATCTCTCAATGCATCAACCTCACACATTACACAATGAGTATTCACATTGCTGGCCTACATATACTGAACTCACAGTCACAACAAGAGGGGTGATTTTAACGATGACTCGTTACATCGCTTCACACGAAATGTTCAACTTTCACCGCGTTTCCAATGAGGGCCGTATGACGAGTAATTACCAAGGTCCGTGTGAATGACAGGCAAACCCTCACTCGAGTAGCTACATAAGTCCCTTTTCCCCTCCATAAGAGAATCAATATCAGCTCAACCGCAATCCCTCCACTCTACCCGATACCCAATCTTACCCTTCAGAAACCGACGTTTCAGTCGCCAGAAACATGACCAAACCCATGATCACCACGCTTTCAAACGACGTCTTGGATCAAATCTTCGAGGATGTGGATCGAAAGGATCTGCTGAGTCTGATCAAGACGCACCGAGTCTTTCACAAATCCGCCCAACGCCTCTTATTCCAGTCGATTGACCTCCCTGTACAATCAACCCTGGCCCCTCCATTCGTTCAAGGCGGGCATGCTGCGGAAGTCAGCCACCTACCGACACCCCAGGATCGGCAGGATCCGGATGAAGAGCCGCTGCAGTATCGACGGGAACCCCGTCCATTACTACCCCCAGTCTTCCTGCCACTAGAAGACTATCAGATCCCAAAAGAATACAGGGAGCACGAGGCATATGGTAATGTCGCGGCTCGGCAGCACACGATTGCCTTGTTTCTCCAGGCTATCGAGAAGGCGCCACAGCTAGCAGAACATGTACGCCACGTTCGGATAGACGCTGAGTGGGGCCTACCGCTTTTCGTCCACGAGCAAGCCATCACCATCTTTGATAAACTGCCGAACGTGCGAAGCATCGAGGTGACGGTCATAGACCGGCTGAAGGGTTCGAGATGGCATGCTTACCAGAACATCTGCATGAAGCAACTCTGGGCGGTACTCGAAGATGAACCCATCGAGACCGTCACTTTGAAGACACCGACGTTAAGGATCCTCCGTGAACTCATCCAGATCCCGACTTTGAAAACATTTCTGATTGAAACCCCGGCGCCCTGGCATGAAAGCCCTGAATCCGATATCAAGGTGTTTCGCATCATTCACAATTGGTTCGACCCCGAACCCGACTCCCTTCCCAACCTCAGACACTTCAACTCTGGGACCTTTCAAATCAGCCCTCTCGCTCTGGGGAAACTGCTACGCCTATCTGAAAAGACGGAGTCACTGCACCTAACCATTAACTGCTTGTACGCCTGGCAAAGGGACATTATACCACCATGGTTTCGACCCACGCCCCCTACTCCTCAAACCGTCATCGACGTCCTGCAAGCTTACCCAGAACTGCCCTCCAGCCTAAAAGAACTCTCCCTCCTCGAACCCCCTTCCGCCAACTTCAGAGAACACCCCTACCCCCCCTTCACCGCCTCCTTCACCTTCCTCAAAAACCTGCGCGTCCTCCGCGTAACCTCATCCCTGTTCTACACCAACGCCCACGACCTCCCCAACTCCGCCAAGAAAACATGGATCTGGCAGAAACAAGACCGCTGTGCCGCAGCAGCATACACCCACATCCCTCCCTCGGTGCGCGAACTAGAAATCCAGTTTCCGATGCCCGCCGAAGCTATCTTCGCCACTGGCGAGGGCCGCGCGCAGTTTAGGCGTTTGCCTCAGGCGCTGCCGCCCAAGGGGTTGAACTGGATAACGCAGTTTGCGGAGATGAAACTAGCGGGTAGAGGGTTTTTGACTGAGCTCACGTGTTTGAGGCTAACGGAAGTGGCGGGTGTTGCGAGCAAAGGGCAGGCTTCTGGGGCGTTTGAGGCGTATAAGCCACCCAGGGTTGTTAGCGAGACTTTTGCTGAGGCGGGGATTGAGCTTGTTATTAAGCTGGCGAAAGCATAGGCGTTGGCATCTTTATTAGACCGATTGGCTGCACATAGTTGTATGTGCTCCTCAGCTACATGTTAGCCCTCAAAGGGCTGAAGGGGATGAGACTGGATTCGTCCAACCCATTCACGACCAACAATGAATACCCATACAAAGCTGTTAATTTGGAAGTGCACATTGCCTTGTGATTCTGTCAACATCTGTTCCATCTGTTCCTGTATGACGTCTCCCTTAACCAGAGTTCTAGTATATTGAGATACTCAGCACCATGCCAGAATTCTGCTGTTCCCCAGCAACCTCAGTCCCTCAATGCTCTTTCATGTAGGCCAAGTTTTCCGCATCTTTGCGCTTCCGCATCATTTCTTTAGCGAGCAGTACGATCCACATCAAAACGACTACAGTTGGACATAGTCTAGGCTATATGGCACACCGACCAAGGCTGCTGCGACAGGCTTGGTAGCCGTGCCGGCGTCGAGGTAGTTGTGGATTATAGTACTGGAGATCGAGTGATCAAGTGAAGAGGTATGCATCCACAGTCGAGCATGCAAAGCATTTGAAAGCCTTCCTCATTGTTCGTGATGGTTTTGCGATCCGTTCATCCAGTGTGCATAAGGATGTTGCGTCGTAGGCCCTGTGTATTCGCCAAGAAGGTTAGCACCCAGCAACGCGGGTATTAGTAAAAGTTTAGAGCGCTCGAAGTTGTACATACATGTAAATCCGTAGCCACTCCCGAAAGCATAAGATGATTCGTCGGGTCCCCCGGAGCCTTGCGGATCCGCCGATGCGCCTCCATTGTCAGAGTTGTTTGCGTGTCCTTGGTTCGGGTCGTCGAGGCCCAAATTGAGAGCAGCCCAGTCGATACTTTCCCAAGCGTTGAGATCGGGCTCGGCAACGTGATGCTGCAGCGGCCCAACAGGGCTATTGGCGTCTTCAGCTTTCAAGGGCGCTTCGAAAAACGGCGCAAGCCTACGTACAAGAAAAACTCAAGTATAAGCAGGCGAATGCATAGGCAAGAATGTACGGTCATCTAACCTGAGATTCACAACCCTGGCCCATAACTGACACACAGCGTCGTTGAGCTTGTAGCTAACCCAGCCGCAGAGATGGAGTCGTTCGAGAAGCGCTTCCGCCGATGGGATGTCAAATTCCGCACAGGCAAGCGAGGTCTGATACACAAACCATGTGCTGTCTGGCGAGGGTTCCGCTGATATCGCACCGATAGAAAGTATCCAGAGTAGAAGATCGGGACAATGCTGCCACTCGGTACGAATAGTGCAGTTCAGCGCTTTCTCCAGTCGCTTGCTCGCTGCAGAGTGGAGCAGATGGACGTGAGACTGTAGCTTAAACGCTTCGGTCGTCCGCACCGTAAAGATGAGAAGCGCAACGCATAGCGCGTCTTCGAGAGGGGTGACAAGATGTTCGTTCTTGCGCAGCCATGTTAGCAGAGAGCATTCCAAGACGCATGCAAAGTTCTGAATATCGAGAGGGTCCAGACGGCTCTCAGGATCACTGAACCAGACGTTCAGGTCGGCAATCAGGGAAAGTACCAATTCCACCAAGGCATTAAGTGGTTCTTTGATACCCGCATTCCGACAATAATCAGTCAGATGTTGAGAAATGTTCGATTCGTAGCCTGGTGGATGACGTGGAAAGCCTGCTGTGCTGATGAAATCCAATGTAGAGGGGCTTGGCGCTTGGAAATCGTTGATAGCGTGAGCGGTCGAATGCCTGATGCTCAGTAAGCACATGCCAAACCGGTTCTGGACAGAACGCGGAAGTAGAGGCTACACACCAAAGCATAAAGGCTTGAAGAATGCGATTCGTTTTGATTGCTCCTAGTCCTCCACGCAGCTGCACCATTCTTTGCAGCCCCGTTCGATGGATCTCGATTTGGACTGCGTGGTCTTCGTGTAAATCGAAGAATGGCATACGGAGACTCTCCTCTATGGTGAGTAAGTTGAACACTGCACCGATGTTTGCGTCCGATATTCCATCCGGTGTTAGTATCGCTGCATTGACAGCAGCAATAGCCTGTGCTCGATGGTGCAAAATTGCATCAATGGTATCTTTTCCGAACACCCAAGCGTGCAGCGCGACCGTAGCAAGCAGACTGTGCATGAAGCCTGGATTACTTATCGCCGTGCCGAACCAGTCCGACTTCATCAGAGTAGAACGATGCCGGACGTCGACGGCGATGATACCAGGCGCCATCTCCGTGGAAACTACACAGTTCAAGTCAGCGTTTGAGTACCAACAATGCAGGGCATTGGGATGTTTGGCGCCATGCAATCACATGCAATCTAGACTTCGCACTCTCTACGCCGTTGTACAGGGTTGTCGTGCCACGAACCCAGCGAACTGGAATGTCTTGATGGAAGGGGAGATGCAGGGCAGCCACTTACAATGCTTCAACAATTCCGATACGCTGCGGGTTACTTCGACGGATGAAGTCCGAAAAGGATCGAAAAGCTGATTGTTTGGGTCTTCTGCAGGCGCCGCAGGCTTGACCAGCAAACATCTTTTGCAGAATCCCTCACCCGGGCGGCACAGGAAAATCTGACACTCTGGACAAATGTCCCTCTTGGCTATCGCATAATCTTCAGACTCTGGGGAAGAAAAGTAATCAGACCTGTTCGCAACAATTGGAGGGCTTGGCGTCGCCTTGTTTGACGTAGACGCACATGTACTGTTAGGACTTGCGCTTCCTGAGCTTCCCGTTTTCCTTTGCTTCGCAGCATGTTTGCTTGTTGACCATGGGTTTTTCCTGCGGGCGTTCTGCATGACAAAAGAACGAGCATTGCGACGACCTTGGCGAGACGTCTTCGCTTGAGCTGCGTCGACGAACAAAAAGTCTCGCTGATCAGACATTGTCGGTCAGAGCCACCCGTTCTCCCTTTGGTGGCTCCTTCAGGCCCTCCAGCGGTTCTTCCCGTTACAGAACTAGCAATATGCCGTATTGTCCTGTTCAGAGAGGATGTAGATGGTGGGGCTTAGCAGGGTGTAGCCGGGACGACGTTGCGCGTGGTGACTAGTCCAGACTTTCCCAGTCCATGCTCGCGGGTCAACATTTTGGTACCGACATGTGCCGTGACGACGTTGGGCTGCGGCGGTATCGTCCTTGGTGTTACTGGAGGCGATGGAGGGGCGCGAGACGTGAAACTATCAAGGACCCGATTCGTGTTAGGCTGCAGAAGCGAAGTCGGGTGTGACGGGGTGCCTGCGCCGATGCCAATCTCTCGAATGATGATGCAGCTGCGCCAGCCCAAACCCGTACGCCAGATAGTCCCACGACACGGTGAACAACGCAGGGTCTCTGTCTATATATGTAGACAATGGAGCTCGCGGATCGCTGTTACCGAAGGATCAAAAATAGCACCGGCCACGGCCGGTGGCTAACGTTGCGTGATGTTTACAGGACCTGCTGTCCAGAAAACTGGAGATGGACATGAAAGACGCCACAACCGATGCTAACAGGAGCCGGGGCACGGTAGTCTCCTATGATACAAGGCAGACTCTCAAGCGTGGGCCCAGACCTTGTATGGATACTAGATCTTCGATTGTCGGTAGCATGACATCTGAGGTTCGCGATATACCAGGTATGACGCACCCCTGGCTTTCGGCGCGTTCGGAAATACTTTTTTGTCCAGAGTGCATGTTGGACCCCCGAACACACGTACAAATAGGTTTGCAGTCCGAAAGGAAATGAATCTGTCGGAATGCGGACCCGACGAGGACGTGAATAGGTGAAAGGCCGAGGAACAATAGAGGCTCCGGACCCCGGCACCTACTGGGCAAGCGCGACGGAACCGCGCGTACCTTGATGCTCGGAAGCTCTTTCAACAACCGCCATGCAGGCAGACGGCATTCTAGCAGGTAGGACATGGCTGCTTATTCTGCTGACTGTGGCGCTCGTATACTGACCACGTCATTGTAACATAGGCCTTTCGGAAATACCTGCGCATGTCCTCCACGCGGAATTGCTCCGAAGACAGCAGGACAACGATGAGCGACCAGAATGCGGAAGCAAAGGGGCAAAGGGCTACTACAACACACCCATACATGTCTTCGCCTTGTTTTTAATACTTACACTTAGCACTGCGGGTTCGTACGTTTCTTCGCATACCTTCCAATGCACTGCTGACCGTCTCACAGCTTGCTCCTTCCCCGTGGTCGTCAAGCGCTTTCCTTCGATACCCGTTCCCCACCAGTTCCTCTTCATATCTAGACACTTCGGCACGGGTGTCCTGATCGCGACTGCCTTCGTCCATCTCCTGCCTACCGCCTTCGAGTCCCTCACCGACCCATGTCTACCCCCGTTCTGGAACAAGGGCTACTCGGCCATGCCGGGCTTAATAGCCATGACATCAGTCTTTGTAGTAGTGGGCGTGGAGATGTTCTTCGCATCGAGGGGAGCAGGCCATTCGCATTCGACTGGCTACGAAAACCTAGGCCTTGACGATCACGCTGCGGCTGCGCGCCCGGGCCACAAGAGAAGCCATAGCTATGGGAGGTTCAGCAACGGCACACCAGGAGCGAATGGCCACATACCGGGCATCATGCTGCACGATGTGGAATCTTCGGCCAATCTCATGGCAGGCCGATCACCGTCCTTCTCTCTGGCATCGCCGATGACGCCTAATGATTCGATAAGCCGGAAGTCCATTGACGACGACAATGACTCAGATCTTGAGATAAGCAGGGAAGAGCTCGCCCGTCAAGATGGGGAGAACTCAGAAGACGAGTCTCGCCTGCTTCCCGGCCCTCATGCCCACAATCATGCCCACCAACCTGGCGGCGAATCCTCTGAAGATGTGGAGAAAACGGAAGCCCAGAACAAGAAACTGCTCTTGCAATGTCTACTGCTCGAAGCTGGAATCCTCTTCCACTCCGTCTTCATAGGTATGGCGCTCTCGGTCGCCACTGGCACCGCCTTCATCGTCTTCCTCATAGCCATCTCCTTCCACCAAACCTTCGAAGGCTTCGCACTCGGCTCCAGAATCAGCGCCATTCGCTTTCCAGCCGGATCGCCGAAACCGTGGCTAATGGCTCTAGCTTACGGAACCACCACACCCATTGGCCAGGCAATAGGTTTGGCTATACACACCCTGTACGACCCAGCAAGTGAAGCTGGCTTACTAACCGTGGGATTCATGAACGCCATATCCAGTGGCTTGTTGCTATTCGCTGGCTTGGTGGAGCTCCTTGCTGAAGATTTCTTGAGCGACGAAAGCTACGTGACGTTACAGGGGAAGCGGCGACTACAGGCCTGTGCCAGTGTCGTAGCAGGGGCGTTGCTAATGGCACTAGTCGGCGCATGGGCATAGTCTCCAACCTTCTCTTCTTGTATATTCTAAGCGCATCATGCATATATCTGGCGTTGTGGCTGGTCACATGCAGGCTAGCCTGCTTCGTAATCATAATCACCAGCGACTTTCGCAGAAGCCTCGGTTGGCTTGATGTTGTTGTATACGTGCGTATCGCCACATCCACGGATGCAATGTTACATTACGGACTTGTCCGTTGCTTTCTGAGTTTACTTTTCGACCTCTTCTTGCTCTTCGGTGCTTCCTACTCTGTACAACCCCTCGGCACCGCCGTCTCCGTGATCATTCCCGATTCCAGCTTCTTTCTCCAGCGCTTTGCATCGCCTCACTAAGTCGCTCACATGAGCATCTCCGCTGTTGTAGCTCAAACCAAGCAGTGCAGTCTCCAGGTTGTAGAGGTACTCTTTGTTCTCGCCACTCGGACCTTTGCCTGTGATAGAGTCAGCATAACAACCCATAGACGAGACACCTCAAGCAGACAAAGCAATGAGATAAAACATACTCTCCAAAATCTTCCTCGCCAACGCATCCGGATCCTGCGCGCCCAAAAACTGCGGATTCTCCGGTAACCCAATATACACCAAGCATCTAACACTCCCCGCCTCCTCTCTCACGGCGATGGTGTTGGTGGCCTTGATGCCAGCCCGCATGCCTGCTTCGGCTTCAGTTGGTTCAGAATCGTGCGGCGGAGACGTGACCTCTGAGGTACTAATCGCAGGATGGAACGGTGTGAATTGAATCGAATACCCGTTTATCTCGCGAATATCGAGGTATTGGCGTACTTCTTGCACCTTGGAGGCTGGGATGTGGTATGCGGCGCCCCAAACGCGTTCAGTGGACTCATGCTGTTCCTCTTAGTACCAGGCCTTCTTGCATAGGCAGATTTGGGCATATAGCTGCAAGTTGAGCAGATCAGATATAACAAACAATAACTTACAGTATCCGTCAAAGTCTCCCAATGCGCCTTATCGATCAACGTGACAACGCGTCCCGGAGCTTCGGGCATACCGCGGTGATCTTCACTGTAGCATCTCCGTATTAGCATTACTCCAACCCCGCTTCTCCACGATTCAGTTGGAGAGTCTCCATACCTCGCCTACGATCGTCAGTCAAGAACCTTTTTTATCGTACCATATCGTGCCATATCTGGCACCAGCCAAGGAAAAACACATACCTGCCAAAATCTCCTCACGTATCCTTCAATGTATCCGGGAATTCGCTGATCTGATTTCCACTGTCAGATCAAGGGATACTCTTTTTGAGACAGAAGTCAAGATGGCATGTTTGCTTTTCGCCATATGCCATGTTCGGGCCGTACCGTAGTGTGGCGGTGGTTTCCATATCAAGCTCCTACGACCGAGGCGTTAGCTTTTCGGCTAAACGTGTTCGAAACGCATAGGCAGGTATACCCGTATCCAAAGATCCAGAAGTCGTCGTTGCTGCCGAACGTCTCAATTTCGTTTTGATGGTCTGCCATGGTCGATGATGAAAGCTCGCTGCGAATCCGATGTCCGCTTGAGGTAGGACAAGTCTGTTCTTAACGTTTCCTCAAGGTGCCGTAGTGCTAGATTATTTGTGGGGCTCTTTGCAAGGAACTTCGGGACGATAGGTAAGCAGTAGAGGCGCGGAACAGCACTTCGGGAATGATTGTCGTGTGAAAATGTTGGGTTGGTGCTGCGTTGGCAGCCTATATACAGACACTTATACAGATACAGGTACAGGTACAGAATCCTACGATCCGCCAGCAGCCCGGCTCATGAAGAAACCCTTCAACGGGCCCATTGCATCGACTGCTCTCAATCCGAGACTTCGTAGCCCTACGAGCGGACCCGATTCGACGCTATACAGACGATGCAATTTATCGCACACGCCCAGCATTGCATTATTCTCCGCATACCGTTCACTGGTATAGCTCTCCAACGCCAATGTCGATCCGATGTCTTGTCCCGTCTGCACTGCATGTGATATCGTCCGTACAAGCGCTGCAGCATCACCTTGGCCTTGGTTGAGACCTTGACCTGCCAGTGGATGTATGGTGTGCGCGGCATCGCCAACCAGTGCGACTCGTTCACCAGTGTAGGTATCGGCGTGCCGCATTCGAAGTGGGAAGGACGCGACTGTGCCGTCTTGCACGTGTGCTGCTCGCATCGGTATCGCGTGTTCGTCGACGGGCGTATGCTTCTCTCGCCATGCTACCTCCTCTGCCTGTCCGGATGAGAGGGTGTGTAGGTACTCCAGGTCTGTTGGCGAAAGTCGGAAACCCGCGTTGACCATTGCAACGAAATCGGCCTGTGACAGTGCCTTGAGCTTCGCAGCACTTTCCGGTGTGGTACTCCATACGAGTGTCGACATGTTGCCTGGAAGTGGCAGCATAGCGATTGGGCCGGTTGGCAAGAACCGCTGGTATGCAATCTTGTGGTCTGGACCGCCCCAACCTTGCCCTTCGAGCTTCAGACTAGCCACCACACCATGTCTGCTATAGTCGAAGCCTCGTGACTCAATGTCTGCAAATGTCCGCACGGGGCTGTTCGCACCGTCCGCCCCAACCAATAGCCTAGCAGCCAGTGTCTTCCCATTGGACAGCGTGAGGATTGGCCACGACGAGAAGTCCATCTTGTCTGTATCCGTACCCAGATCTATTGAGTTGACCTTTGTAGATGTGTAGAAATCGACACCACCCAGTTGTTCGAGCCGGCTTAGTAGAGCGGTGACCGTGTTGACGTTTTCGATCATGTAGGCGATTGTTGTAGGCTGCGACGGGTTGCGAGGCGTGAGGAGAGGTTTCGCTGTATGCCAATCGAAGGATATCCGTGCATCGGTGACGCCGTCCCAGACTTGCATTTCTTGGTATGGTTGCACTCGGGGTGTGTTGACATGCGCCCATGCTCCAATTTCTACACCGCGCATGTCAGAGGAGAACTGTTGAACATCTAACACGTTTATTCGTACCCTGCAAGTTCTTCACAGAAGCTGGAGTGAGGGAGCTGCATCTATTCGAAAAGCTCTCCAAAGTCGCATCTTGTGGCAGTCGACTTTTGTGTAGATCTTGTCCCTCGATGAGCGCAACTTTGAGCCCACTTGTAATTGGCGACGCTTTCAGTCCTGTCAGAAGACTCAATCCTGCCGGGCCGCCTCCTACGCAGACGACATCGTAGACCTCTGGCGCAGTTGCGGAGCTTGAAGCAGACCTCCGCTGAGGCCGCAGATGGACCCAGACCGCCGATCGTGACGAAAGAGCCCTGGGCCCTCTTGGTAATACTCGAGGCGGCATCACGAGCCTTTGAAGACTATCGTGACATGGACGGACGTGTTCGATTCGCGAACCGCGAAAGTCGGAATGGTGGTGTCATCACAGCATGTTTGACCTGTTTGCACAAGGACACGCTAGGATTATGTCATCAAGGCAAGTCGCGTCGACCTGCCGCGATGTTAGCGCCGGCTTCTTCCACCTCCCAAGTTTCTCCACAGCCAAACCACAACCACATCTTTGCTTCCAATTGGAATCTTCGGACCTCTTCCAAGGATGCTTCTGACGACGACGACGACTATGACGATCGAAGGCATACACGTTCCATCGATGCTAACGGCTATTCAAGGTGCAACGTCTCTGCAGCTGATGTTCACACCCCTCAATTGATCATCTGGCCGTTGCCCAGTGCTAGGCAGTAGTTACTGTCAGTGAGCTACTCAGGATATCACACCATTCTCTGCGGTCTCTCAGGTTCTTCGCACTCGAATTTTCCGCAACCCGCTAGATCCATGCTGTTTGATCATGCAGTATAACTTCCGTGGTGGTAATCATGACGATCATGCCTCTAGCCTGCAGGGTGTCGCCCATTGAAGATAATAGGCACGGTACTTCTTCACCTAAGTCACCACGGCAGCGGTCTTTACCATGGCACTGATGTATGACGGGTGACTCTCATAGGCCAGTCTTACCAGGAACGCTCGAGGTGCACGCTTCTCTCGCGTGCGTGTGCAGCGTGCAGGACCTGCTTATCTGCTCCAGATTGCTTCGCTGGACTTCCAAACTGCCACTAACCACACAAATTGTTGTTTAGTCAATTCCATACGATTGCATCAACAATCTGGTATCTTTCGATCGAACTCCATTGGTGGAGTTCATTGGTACAAGTAAAGGACTTTGGTCATTGGCGGCACCAGCATGTTCTTGCTGATCGTACCGTACTTCTCACTAGGCTATTAAAGTAACAAGAGTCATCCGACTATCGAGTACTGGTATCGGTCAACAAAATTCTTGTCTGCTTCGCTCTCATTGTCATCTCTGCCATTAGTTTCTAGCTTTCTAGTGCTATGACATCTCAAGCACCTGGAAATACACCTCCCGACGAGCCTTGTGTAATTTTCAACATCAGCGAAACAGAAGTGGACCCAGAATTCTTCCAATTACCATACCCTCCAAAGCTTTCATTGAAGCGACAAGTATCGGAATCATTCCTCCAAACGCGTGGCTACATCAAGAAACAAAGAAGAATACACTCGAGCGGTCGTGAGACAGCGATCGACTGTCCTTGCTTGCCACCGCCAGCGTACAACATAGCCATGACTGGGCCCAGTTCAAACTTTCACAGTGCTTACTCTACCCTGCCTACCACACCCCCTACACCCGAAAACGAAACTCATCCACGAAGACCATCACAAGTCACCGAGATCATAGAGAAGGTCAACGCGAAGCTTAGGCGCCTCTTTGGTAGTCGAAGGGGATCCGTCGAGGATGTACACACATCATTCAACGCTACTGTCAGCGAGCGACCGAGTGTGTTTCATACCCTGAGTGGACCGTCAGAGAACTCGCACATCCAGCGTTATCCCGGGGATCACGTCGGGATGAGCGTGGCTTCCCTACCAACTGTAAGCGAGCACTTCATGTCAATGGCAAAGTAGGCTTGGCTGCTTCCACATCACCGCTGACTGATACACCCTTTAGACAACGTTCCAGGCGAGACGAAGAAACACCATGCAAACACAGTCGAACTGCGACTTACACTACGATGGAGATGGAGAACTGGAGCAGCTTCATAGCCTCCAGTCTTATAGTACGCAAAGTACGAGACATGGAGGACGAAAGCGGAAAGACTCCCAATTCAGCTTTAGCGATTTGTTGCGACCTCGACGATTCAGCAAAGCAGAGAAAGGCAAGAGACGGATGGAATACGAGGAAGAAGCTGGATCAACCTCTCAAGACCAACTCCTCCATACTGATCGCGAGACTTCGTCAGGTGCGGTCGGACTTCCTCTAACGGAATATGGGACTTTGCCTCTTGGACCATCTGACCAGCATGCTGGCCCTTCAACGCCGTCGTCAGCTGCAGTATCACCCATGGAACAAACCATACCCATAAGGCCCAAGCCTGTCATACCTTCAAGGCAAACGCCCACAGTAAGAAAAGTGAGCGTGCGTCTTGTACCACCTACACCTGCGCCTCCACGCGTTCAGCGGCGGTCATCAACCAGCTCCACCGCCTCCTCCTCGTCGGTTTCCAGTTTCGACTCTACCAACCCAATGCCGATAGCTACAAGCATTTTCCTCCAACGCGCACGCGACATCGTGAACACACCCGGTCGAGCCACAATCGAAGTAGTAGATGCAAACGGGCACTCCCAACCCATCTCCATCCCATCTTCACACCACAACAGTCGCCGGTCGTCCATACTCCCAGAAGGCTCAGCACGACCTCTAGACGACTCACCCACTCTCCCTCCATCCCTCACTTCATCAACAGCCGAGCTCCTCCGTCATGGCGACCGTCCAGATACAGCACCTTCTTCACCCTCTCTCGATCCTACTCTTGTTCCTTCTCTGGACACCATGCAAGCCCTGCATCTAGGCCCGCCTCAACGAGCTCTGCTCCAGCGATCTGTATCGAGTAGTTCAACACGCATGTTCCACGTCTCCGTCGAGCATCTGTCTACGCCTACGCCCGCACAGCCCGTCTCGCGATTCAGTGCGTGTTCGTCTCTGGCCAGCAAACCTGCAGAACCCATTTCGCGGTTCAGTGCGTGTTCTTCTCTGGCTAGCAAGTATAGTTCAGCCGTGGAGCATGTAGATGATACGCCAGATTTTAGTATCACGCATCCTGCGCCTCCAAGCCCTGTTCCCTCTTCCTCACCGGGACTGGGAGCGGTACCATCGCCTGTTAAGCGACGGACTGGGAGTTTAGAAGGAAGTCAGGATCTACGCGCTGTGTATATTGAGCAGGGAAGAGCGAGCGTTATAACCTGTCCTCCGCGACAGCGAAGTCCGAGGAAGAGTCTACAGGGGAGGTGTTGGTGGGACGAATCGCCCCCAAAAGTGTATCTCTAGGTATGTGTGGTGTTATTCGGGTTGTGCCTTTGATTTATATGTAAATTGAACCCATCACAGTGCATAGTCATATAGCACATAGGAAGACATGGTAGTTCCTCATCCACGACACCTCGGCGTTCAATGTATTACAACAGCATACTAGATAATGCTACCTCTGCCCCTAGGGCCAGTGAACCAACACCCCATCACCATCATCCATTACAAATATACGCCATGAACCCCATGCAGTATAACCAAAGACAGAGCCTTGCCAGGCTGTCATGTAAAATGAGCGAAAAGGCCCAAGCTGGGTATCGAGCTAACCGAAAGGACTGGTGATGCTTTTTATGCAGAAAGACGCTATGCATGAAGAAAGGACAGAAGATGGACGAAGCTTAAATTGCGCGGCAAGATTGTGTGGTCCTAGATTTTACAAGAGGACGGCGAAGCCGAGGAAGACGCTGCCGAAGACGGCGGCGAGGCCGAGGCCAGCGTTGGGCATGAAGATGGAGCCAGCGCCGCCTTGGTCGTTGGAGCCTCCGTTGTTGTTGTCGCTGTCGCTGGAGCCGGTCTCAGAGGCACCACCGAAGCCGGTCACGGGGATGGTGTTTGAGGCGGAGCCGTCGGTGCCGGTGGCAGCGGCGGTGGAGGCCATGGTAGTGGGGAGGGAGGTGTTGCCGCGGTACGGGTCTTGAGCTCCGCAAGGGTGGTCCTCACTGTTGACATGTTAGTTGTGTTTGTGATGAGTGACTCGATAGAACGTACCGGCAAGCGCTCTGGCAGCTGTTGTCGCCGTTGCAGTTCTCGACGCAAGTGTTTCCCCATTGTTGGCAGATGAAGTATGGCAGTGTCTGGGAGTACTCGGTGATGTTGGGCGCGACACCGTTCTCACAGACGCACGTGTAGGTCAGAGCGTCGGAGTCGCAGTCGTTCTGCTCGGTGGTCATGGAGTTGATGCCGGGCTGCTGGAGGCAGATGAGCGGGCATTGGGCCCTGTTCTGGTCACACCAGTAATCTGGAGAATGTTAGACGACGCGTCGTGGGTCGAATGATAACTTCTACATACCCCTAGTAGACTGCTCAACCGTGTCAGGGTCGATGGTGTATGGGTAGTTCAGCTGGGGGGTGTCTTGAGCAGCGACCAGGCCAGTGAAGGCGGCGATGCTGAGGGCGAAGACGGAACGCATGTTGATGTTTGGGGAGGTGATTGTTGACGGAGGATGAAGCGAGAGTATTAGATGATATACGGTCAGCGACAGACGGTGGACGATCAAATACAAAAGTAAACCTCAACAGCGAAAGCGATGAAGAGGCTGGAGGGAAAGGCGGCGTCCGATATATAAAGGGAGGGATGTGTCGACGGGAAGTAATGAGCTAGCGGTCGTTCGAGATAGGAAAGTTCACGATCCGGTACGTGCACCCCCGCCTACCTTCAGCCTACCTTCTCGCCCGGGACGATGCCTGTCGGGGACGGGCTGCCGTGACTCAAGCCATAGTACTGCGGTGGAGTCGGCGTGGAAAGGGCGGCATTCCGTGGAAGATGGCAGACTGCGTGATGGAAGTTTGCCATTAATCCCTCGGCCGGACAGGGATGGGATGGGCGTTTGGTCGTATTGGCCACTGGCTGCAGCGACTAGTCGGTTCTCAGGGTCTCGCATCCTAGTCGGCTCTGCGCATCATTCGGTTGAGACGAGCGAGGCCAGCGCCGCCAATTCTCCAGACATCGTCAACAAGACACTAGACGCGACTGCATCTGGCTGCATGCACCGGCGAGCATATCTACCCCTCACACACCCACGCGGCATTCTAGATACCAACCGCCCTCCCGTTTGACGCGCCACCTGCCCAGCCATCTCCTGTAAATGGATGGAGCCGGCGAGCTTTGAAACTGGAGACCCGTCTTCGTCGCCAGCCCGAGATGGGCCAACCCCCGCCACTGCCACTGTGGTCCCACCCTACTGGCAATCCCACCAGCGCAATGCCTCGTATCTGAGCAACTACTCTGCTGACAACGGCCGCCCCACCCCCATCGGCCTCGAGGACCATACGGATGAGGACTCGGACCATTGCAAAGTCCTCTGGGCCAAGGGTGTCACGATAGATGATTACGTTGTCATCAGCGGGCCGTCACCGGGCTTTGGAGCTTACGTCGTCTTTAATTGTACGGTCGAGACACTGGATGTAAGTTCCCAGCCGCATGGAGATGCGCTAGTCTGCCCGGCGATGTCCTCGCAGCCAATCATTCGCGCGAGATTGTTTTTCAAAAAAAATGGTTTCATGCAGAGGGCCCGTGGTGGACTGCCATCTCCAGGTGATGAACCATCATGCATATGCTAATTGTGACAGGGTGGTCCCATGAAGATACGCAAGAGGTTGGCCATCGTCTGTCACTTTCGATTCCCTCTGCTGATCGTACCAGATACTCCGAGTTTGAAGATCTGCACACCAAGCTGCTCCAGACGTTTCCTCATGCCGCGGGTTCCATGCCGCACTTCCCACCCAAATCCGTAATATGTAAGTCACATGGCCGCCTGCAGCATCACTCCACCAAACAATATAGTGCTAACGCGTCGGGCATAGCTCGCTTTAGGCCCCGTTTTCTAGAAAAGCGGAAACAAGGACTCTCGTACTTTCTCAAGTGTGTTTATCGATAACAAAGCTAGCGTATATCGACTGACTATTAATAGTTGCGTTTTGCTGAACCCGGAGTTTGCTGGGTCGCCCGTCTTGAAGGACTTTCTCTTCTCGTGATCGCGTGGCTTTGAGAATGTATTGACACTGACGTTGATGTGTGAGTGGCATAAGAGTTGGATACGCTGTTGTTGTTGATTGTGTGGTGCCAGGGTGTGCCCAGCTGCCATGCAAGTGAATCGTCCTTGACATTATCCAATTGCTTGATCTCTCAATCTTTCAGTTGCCGTGCAAGGAAAGGACCTCATATAGTCAGTTCTAGCGTTATGATGTTCAAGTTGATGTGATGTCGCCCACTCGTACTGATTGGCTACCAACGTCAGTGGCGCTACGCTTCCAAGTATCTCACATGCGCTGTACTGCAATTCGTTGAATAATCCTGTGGTGTACATGGCGATATGGAGAGGGGAGGGCCTGCTATAGAGCTTAATCCAACCTCATACTGTTTGCAAGTGTCTGGGTGAGGCGTACGGGAGCGCCGTGGGTGCAGCAGCTCGTTTGGCAAACTGCGCGGGCTCTGCCACTCGACGACCCCCTAACGGCTCGCGTTTTGGCACATCTCAGCGCGACATCAATGGCAGCTCCACAATGAATAGCTGAAAGATGACCCAGCGAATCGCGAATGATCTCAAGTCTGATCACTACTATGGCCAACGCCGTTCGGCCTTCGCTGCTGCGGAGCTCGAATGAACGGCAGACCAGGCTCAACTTCCTGCCCGTGTCGCGCGATGACGCCCACCAACAAGCCCAGCGCAACCACAACCACGCGCCCGCCGCGACAAGACGGGTCTCGAAAAGCGGCCCTCTGCTTGCGCGCGCCGACGACGACGGCGCCGTCAAGCCCGTCGCCCACACGCCTGCAAAACCTCCGCCGCCTGCGCGCACCAGCAGCAGGAAGCGGCCAGCCACTGCCCTCGAGCCCGACGCGACCGACACGAGACCGCCGACCAAGATTACCGTTACACAACCACATGGCGAGCTGCTGCGCATCACCAATGGCGTCGCCGCGCCCCTGGGCATCGACGCCGACGACGTGCCCTCCGCGAGGTCCACGCCCCGGCCTGGCAGCTCCGGCAAGCTTGCTGCGCCCCCAGCTGTCCCCGCCCCGGCGTCCACAGCGTCCTCCACAACCACAGACAAGAGGAGCCTGCGGAGCCACGATGGAGGGTCGCGGCTGAAGAGCGACCTCGCCGTCTACTTTGCCAACTACGACGACATCATTGCCGGCGTGCCCAAAGAGGATGGTAGGTCACAGTCCCTGTCACATGTCACGATATAGCTCTGATCGCGTGCAGAATTTCTCGATGTCGACACGCCCATATACATCGTCGACGAGCCCATCAAGGCCAAGACACCAGAGCCCCCGCGAAGCTCAGTAAGCCCGACGCGGTCACGGAAAGCACGGCACTCGTCTCCTCCGCGCCATGCCTCAGATCCGTCAATACCGCCGGCCCAGTCGTCGACTACATTCACAGTCCTCAACTATGCCTCCATAGCCAATGCCATCTCCCACAATGACGGCGAAGACCCGCTCGCCGACTCCGTCTTCTTCACACAACACCGGCGTGCCGAGCGCAAGGAGAAGCAGCTGCGGAATATCGAAAAGGAGCGCGCCATGCACGAAAAGGTGCAATTGGAGAGACTCCTCGACGGACTGCAGGGCCCAGACTGGCTAAAGGTCATGGGCATAACGGGCGTGACAGACGGCGAAAGAAAGGACTGGGAGGCGAAGCGCGACTACTTTGTCCGAGAGGTAGAAGCTCTCGTCGACAAGTTCCGCGTCTGGAAAGAGGAGGAGAAGCGCTTGCGTGCTGAAAAAGAAGCAGCGCTCGCCGCGAGAGAAGAAGACGAAGAAGAGGATGGCGAGGAAACAGAAGACTCAGATAACATTGTTGTCCGCAGCCGCGATCCTCCACCACCGCGACAGCAGCCCAAAGAGCCCGAGCCACCGAAACCACGGCGGCCACCGCGCCCCCATGGCTTCCTCCTCCCCTTCGTACCGCCCGAACCCGCAGCGCCGTTCAGTTCTTTCTACGCGAAACCACACCTCCGCGCCGCAGCTCTTGGCAAGCATAGACATGGACGTAACGCATCTGCATTCGGCCAACCCATACCCGAGTTCGAAGAAAAGGAGTTTCAGCTCCCGGAAGGTTTCATAGATCCACAGTTCCTAAAAGATAACGCACGGCAGAGACGGAGACGAAAGAGGGAGAGTGGTGTGAATACAGGGGCGGGTGCGAGTGGGAATTAGTCTTTTCTTTCTTACAATATGGGCCGGGGTTTCCAGATTCTATACCCCTTATAAATACTGTCGAGCAAGTCGAAAGCTAGGGTTTCTGTGGCGTTTTTGTTTGATAAGGCATGGGGTTTGTAGGTGTGGGACTGGACGAGGGTCTCAAGCCGAGTGTATATTATCTGTGGAAATGGAATACAAAACGTTCCGTTCTGAGATTGAGTGTTTTGGTGCTGGTGCGTGTGGACTGTGGAGTTATTAGTGAAGAGATCGGGTTCGACGGGTACGTACTTCTGTCGTTTGGTGTAGTGCTGGTGTTGACCATCATCGTCCAGTCTTGCGTCTTCCAGCCACGGGTCTCACGTGATCGGGTTCCATCCTTCGCGTATATAAACCCGCCCTTTTCACTCTGTCTCCTCTCCTCCTCTCCATCACAAAGTCTGCTGGCTTATTTCCAAAAAGTCATTTTGCACGGGTTCATGGCTGGCTGTTCGGTCTGCCTTTCTCCAAAAACATCGTTCGAGATGACCATGACTTGCTGCCTGCTTTTTCTCTCTTCAAAACGTTCTTCTTTCAAAAACCACTTGCTGTATCGCCCATGATAGTGTGTGGGTCGTTCTTCTCTTCTATCCGAGTACCAACAAAAACCCATCATGCCTTTACATGTGTTCCTTTTCCATCTGCTTCTTCTCGTGGTATGTCAAGACGACATCACCAAAATACAGCAGGACAAGACCGCATGTCTCGTTCCTGGTCTGCGGGCTCAAAAACTCCAACACCCATGCCATGTCTCAATTTAACTTCCAGTGTTAGCGACTACACATGGGTTTTGCATTCGCATCGTTATGAGCAACTCATGGTTTGCCGCCTACCAAAAAGACAGCAAGAAAAAAGACATGTGCTCTCGCCGCGTTTGTGGTCTTCAACTTCCAAATCATGGTCATGGTGATCTGATGGAGTGCTCGTGTCGCCGCCAGCTCGATTCTAGGAAGGACGTGTTTGGGATACCTGGCTGTGGGCTTAGCAGGGTGGATGGGTATATAAACCCACACTCTACCTCCCCGTCTCTCTTCTTCATACCACATTGTCTTCTTTATTACCAAAATGACGGCACCAGACCTGGATGACTGTGTGGCTTCCCCCTGCTCTCTCCAAAATTCAAACCGGAACAATGTGATGGCTTTTGTTGTTCTGCCCTGTTTTGCAAGACCAAAAGATACCATGAAAGAGTTCATGTTTCCACTTTCTTGTCACTTCTTCACTTATCGAAAGTACAACGAACAGTACGTATGTCGTCGGCTTGTGCCCATCGCCCGCCACTCAAAGTCTTCCACGAGGTCAGCTATGTACTGAGTCGTCTGCCTGGAATTTCCGTGTATCAAAAGCACCGAGCCTATACTCATGACATACTGCTCCTGCACCTTTTGATGCATATCATACGTTAGAAAAGCAGACATGGGTCGCTCCTCACATCTAACATCCTCGCTTGCTGTCTTCATGATGAACGGTGATCAGTGAAGGATGCTTGAGTGATGCATCTAGATGATTGCTTCATTCGGAAAGAATCAGGGCATCTCACACTCATCAATTTTAGCGCCTGAAGTTTGAGGTGTCGGTGCTGTTCGCCGGTAGAGGTGCGCCTGCCCAATGCGGAAGGGGCAAAGGTCGTCGAATCCCAATCTTTTGAAGCACTCACCTCCCGCCACCATCACACCCACCCGCACACCCACACAACAATGGGTGAATTCTTTCGATTAATGTTCGAGAGCTTTCGACGACAACGACAACGAGAGCTTGCTAACGATGCGGCAACTCTTGCCGCCGTTTCTCACACATGGGCTTCACTCGCGGCAAATTTTCGAAGACCGATCGAAGGTGCTAGCAAAAACGAAGCGAAGATCACAGAGACGATTGATCTAGAAACGCGATACAAACTATCACTCATCGAACAGAGAAGTGAGCTGCAGAGTGAACATGCAGTCACGCTGGAAGAGCAGGAGCGTCAGCTCCGACGCGATCACCATAATACGCTTCAGAAACAGAAGCAGCAATTTGACGAAGAACGAGACAGCGCTCTTCAGACACAGAAACAGTAGCTCGAGCAGATTCAGAAAGGGCTGCAAGAGGACAAGGATGTTGCCGAATCTGCACTCATAAAAGAGAGACAAGATAGGTACTTCATCCAGCAGACGTTACTCAATAGAATCACGAAGGCTAGCCACTATTTCGGCTTTGAGATGCCGGAAGATTTCGACTTCATCGACAAGGTAGAGTTGTTCTTTCAGCCAGGAAAGCTGAACGCCTCCAGAGTTTGTCGACGAGCATTTGATGAGTTGTCGGAGCGTCTCAACGTGCCTCTAGAACAGTGGCCGTCGGCTGAGGAGATCTCCCTCCACGAGGATACCGATGAACTCATGCCACTTATCACTAGCCAGGTGGACAGAATAGTCCAAGCCTGCGACGATAGAGTCGACACAGAACAGTGCCGCACTACCAATGTCCAACGCACATCGCTCATCTCAAAGATAGAGGCCACAGAACAGGCCAGTAATGCCATCAGAGACCCGAGAGAGCAGATAGCAGCGAACGACAAGTTATGGGCCGAGGTGGTCTCAAGACCAGAGGCGTGCTTGGTCGCGAAAGATCAACACATCGATGCCCTAACAGAGCGTCTCAGATTGCAGACGCAGATGCTAGATGAGAGACACTTCCTACTAGTGCAAATGGCAGATACAGCTGCAGCATCAGTAGGGTAGAGTCAAGATGTCTTGCTGATACACTTGTGTGCGAAGACCCGATATGTAGCTGAATTCGATCAACATCAATGTCATGGCATCCTCGCCCTTATCCTTCACATCTTCATGCATACGTCTCTTGATACTCAAACTGACGTAGTTGCATTTCAAATCCCACTCCAGCCAATTCAAACACTCTTCTCGGTTCAACTGGGGCTTTGCAGTCCATCAGCTCGTACAATCTACCACTTAACCCAACAGCCTTCACCATCTCCAGTCCTTCTTCTCCAGGCGCTGGATATAACCTCTGCCCAAAGCAAAGATGGCACCATCGTGTGCTGCGAAGTCCATGTGGAGCGTCTGCAGTGATGTTGGAACTAGACCGAGAATAGAAGGCCTGTATTCATCGCCCTTCAGCCAGATGAAACCCTGCCAGCTTAGATCCTGTCCCAGGGGCACGCTCACACCCAGTGCAGCATGGTCGAACCACATAGCTGCTGGCACGCGAATATATGCGAGGTTGCTGAAGCTAGAGAAGTCAGCTCTTGAGCGCTGTTCTTGTCTCAGCCCCGGCCATGTCTCTCTGATGTGAAGATGCGTCAACTTTGCGCAACGGGCGTAGTGCGCGGAGCGATATATTCTGTACATGGAAACTTGTAGTCATTCGATGAACATGATGTTTATAGAAAATCTTTCTAGCACGAGCGCGCATAGTTCAGATGAGTCCTACTACGGCTGTTTGGTATGACATATCCATGACAGATGATTTTCAGTTTGCACAGAGCCTTTAGGCGATTGCCTCGTGTTCGTCCTTCGGTGGGTTCTTGTGAACGTGAACTTTGCGCACAACCGAGTTTGTGATCTATTAAGCTGTTAGCACGAATAAGAAGATGTCTTAGAACTGCGTTAGCAGGGTATAGCAAGGGGGCTACATACTAGTAATAAGTTAGCAAGATATCTTGACAGCTATTCGTGGCGGCTACTTTACCCTTGCGACCATCCTTCTCCGTAACCTGTTTATCCTCGTACACCAGCACGAAGTCGGTACACCTCTTCACCGGAAGATCGAAGATTCCCCATTGCTCCAGTAAGTCCAGGGCCGGCTGGGAGTCGGTGGTAGTCTGGCAGATTGGTTCCTTGTAGAGTATCTTGAAGGTGACATGGCAGCCCGTCTTATTGACTGTGCATGTGACCGTCAGTTTATCCTCTCGTACTGCCTGGGCCCAGCTTTCGTTCGAGTTATGGATGAACTTTTGCATGGTGCGGGTATATCTCATCTGCTTGTTCTTGAAGGTCCTCCACTCGCTGCGGCACCAGTCGTAGTCTGGACATTCGCAATCGTCATCGCCGTAACTTGAGTACCCAAGCTCTTCCATCTCCATATTCTTGTAGCAGGTATGGCACATATCATCTTCCACGGTGTATCCACTTGTAGCAAGCATGTGCGGAACGAATGATACCTTTGATGAGGTAGATTGCACATACAAGTGTAGCAGAGGCATCATGTCGAAGGTTGATCTGCCGTCGTTGCGGTGGTCCCACGAGAACTGCACCAAACCCGGCACTAGCTTGTGTACACTGTCATTATGCAGAAACGCGTTGCCGAAATGGGTCCATTCGGATGTTGTCGCGAATCTAACACGGAGATGTTGGATCCAAAGAGGACGATACTCTGCGCGAATTTGTGTACAGACCTGGGTCAAGGCCAAGAACTTCCAGGCACGCTCCGAGTGAGACTTGCGAGGCGAGTTTGGTAGGATAGGCCTGGGCCGTAAAGCATAATTCCTTGAGTCGTCTTCGTTCGCGTAATCGTATACCCTGTTTCGTAACTCTTTGCGGCATTAGCGCCTAGCAATGTCAGAGGCAAGGAAGACATACCAGGAGAAAGATCGAGGAAGCGAAAACACTCCGGAGCTTTCCTTATGGATCCCTCGCTCTTTTGCCCAACAGACCCTCTTGCTTTCTTGATGAGCTTAGCGGCTTCTGTGGTCTCCTCGCTCTTGCGCTTGCTGGCAGCTCGTCTGATTCTAGATTAGCACATGATCGCCGGATTAGAAGAGAAGACTTACGTAGTGGGCGTCATCAGTCGTCTTGTAACCAGTGGCGATGCTTGCGACGCGGTGGATTTGTTGCTAGAGCAAGCTGAGCGGTAGAAGGAGGGAGTAAACAAGTAGAGAAGGCAAGAGCACCCGCCAAGAGCCGCTAGTGGAATGACGCAGGCACGTAGTGACATGTTCCACAACAGTCCGCCTAGGTAAGACATAGGCAAGGGCACGTGAACCTTCCACCTTGGTTCTTCCAGAACGTCGCATGAGACAGAAGTGAATCGCGCTCTGCTTGCTCAATATGCGCTTGCAACAGCTCGCTCTCGTCCGCTCGACAAGCATGCCTGCGAAGGCCAGCTACTCAACACCCTTGCATGATATCTCTTCATAGAAGGGAAAGATAACGACTTGCGAGGCTGTGAATCATGTAATGCCAAGAGTGTAGACCTTCCCCTCGAAAAGGTGATAGACTGCCTGTCCACACGTTGATGGACCCATCGCGAAGACCACATGAACTCACCTTTCCTACACCAAGCTATCAGCTATTTAGAAGTTGAAGGTTCTTGCGCTGAAAGACTTGGACGGTCTTTCTCCATAGTGTGGGTCATCTCAAGTTCCTTCCTTCCAATAAGAGTGGAGTCATCATATTCGCAGCGCGCACGCAAGCGCGCTTCTACACCTCTACTCTTGGGCACATCTTTGCGTAGCTCTATCGCAACCACAAAAATCAATTGCATTTTTGTCATAGCAATCCAAGACCACTATACAAGCATCCATTATCCGGCGGATGTCCTCTCGGTAACACGAGCTGCTTCCGCCGCATGGACTATTACCAATGCCCAACAGAAGACCTTCTCATAGAAGCACAGCGCCGCGGTTTCCCAAGACTTTGGAGCTCTCGGGACCAGCTCATCGAGGTCTTCATACAAGATGACGAGGCAAAAGGATCGGATGCGACGACCATTTCTACCACGGACTACGGCGCTTTCATACCGCGGACTGTCAGTCTGGAACACACAGCGGCATTGGACAAACCCGATTTAGCTAGTCAATTGATCAACGAGAGCGCGTCTACCAAATGCGTAGTGCGAGAGGATGGCAGAGCTGACTATTCTCAGAGATTATTTACTGGACGTTGAACACTTTCTTTCCCGCAATACAGCTCTTCTTCGAGTCGGGTTCGTCGTGTACTATCGACTGCGGGAGGTTCCCGGATGCAGTCGTTGGGCTGGATCCTGCGCTCCGGTTCAGACTGACGGATTGTGCACACGAAGAAGAAGGTCGCGTGGTTAACAGCATACTGCCTCGACGTTTTGTACATTCTGGTACCGGTCTCGTCATACAAGAAGCAATAATCGCCCATCGCACGAGTATTGCAATCAGGAATTTTTCGGATCCACAGAGAACCCAGCTATGGCGACCAGGCATTGTCGTCCAGCCCAAGATTACAAAAGAGCTGCACACAGTCGTTGGGCTCAGGCTGAGGGGAATGGACAAAACAGCGTACATATGGGCGAAGACTGCGGTGCCTACCGGAGGAAGGGTGTGGGGAAACGTGAGGTCATCTGGCCTGCGAGACGATGTGCCTGTCCCCATACTTCCTTCTGTAGAGGAGGAGCCCGGCGCTCAAACAGTCGTGGTTATTAAGGACAGCCTGATCGAGCGCAATCGCATGGGCAATAGGGAGATGGGGACCTTCGAGGCCATTACACCAGAAGATTCTTCGTAATTGTACCGGAGTTATACGTTACGACACAGCTGGCGGTGGACGCGACGATGTCGAATTAAGTATCTGGTAGTAGATTAGCTTGGCAAGTAGCCATCTATCTTCAAGGCCCCTTCCGACGCATGTGAGGATACCCACTCGGGAAGATGCGGCCAAACTCCAGTAATGTGTGTCTGGAGCTGGCTCGTGGTCGAAAGATAGCAGCATGCTGACAAAAGTCGACATTATATATCCTAAGCCCGATCGGACTGGGATTGCGAGTAATCTCGGGCGAGTGTGCAAAACAGCAGGACCGAAGCGGATGTAAGGATCTTGAAGTGGGGTACTGAGTCGATCCCAGGCGCGGGCGCAGCTATAAAGACACTAATTCCCACGTCAGTGCTGTTCAGCACCGCGCATCGCATCTACAACAGTCAGTACATCTTGCAAATTCCTGTTGGTTTTTACTCACAGCGTACAGAACTCTCCGATACCATCCACCTATACATCATCATGTCTGGCGCCACCGCTATCGTCCTCTACCCTCGCAAGGAGGGCTCCACCTTTGACAAGGAGTACTACCTCAAGACACACATGCCGCTCGCCATGAAGAACTGGAAAAACCACGGTCTCAAGTCCTACGCCGTCAGTGAGCTCAACGCCGATGGTCCATACGCCATCAGCACCGTCATGGAGTTTGACAGCCCTGAGAGTGTCGGAAAGGCCTTGCAGAGTGAGGGCACCAAGGAGGTCATGGAGGACGTAAAGAACTTCAGCAGCGAGACACCGATCCTCGTTCACGGCAATGTCGTCGGACGGAGTTAGGCTTGGAACCAAATAGAAACAAGGTTGGCCGAGGATCGTGAGCGATGGATACTATGACGAGGCTCATGCAGGGTGTGGTATGGAGACGGAGGTAGGATGGGGTTAGCGGCGTGAAAGCTGCATGGAGGGGTAGCTGTCTCGCTTGGGATGCCCCGCACTTTGTCCTTCCGAGGTATCCTGCATCAATCCAGGGTGACATACTCCATTTTGCAAACATCATCACGCATTCCAATCAATCGGACAATTAAAACATTAGACTCGTAGTGTAAACTCTAATGAACGTTTACCTGTGTTTAAGAATAACTGTCGTCATGGTATAGTCTTGGATGCGCAGACCTGTACATCCAAACAGCCTCTGACCTCGTGTTATTGGCTGTGATAGCACGGCCAGAGTGTGCAGAGCTGAGCGCTTCAGCTTCGACGTCATGGGCTCAGCGACACAGCCTCTATCGCTCTACCAGGTATTACGAAGCTTCAGAAAGCCATTTATGTAACATGTCTGCAGCTGCCTCGTCGTCTCTTTCGTATACGAGAGCACGCTCACATCACAGATGCACGTCGTGTACCACGAAACGCTCATCGGCTTTACCCAGCACATGCGAACCACGGACGATGGGCGACCTCTATGCGTCATGCCCCCTCGATCGGACGCGCAGAGAGATCAGACTGCTCACCCTCGAGCCCAACAATGACGAAGACATCACGAGATGCAGCCTCCAGACCTACAGCCCAGAAAACTGTCCATCGTATACTGCTCTGTCTTACACCTGGGGTGCCGATGTAATGCACACCAATATCGAGATCAATGGCGTCAGTGTCCCGATTCGCGAGAATCTATGGGACTTCGTACATCAGCAACTACTCCATGGAAATTACGGACCCTTCTGGATTGACGCAATCTGTATACAGCAGTCGGAGGTCGACGAGCGTAATCACCAAGTTCGATTGATGAGTTCCATATATTCAGAAGCTGGCAGAGTTTTGATCTGGCTCGGTAAAGAGGGCGATGATAGCGACATTGCCATGCAGATTTTGGAGGACGGAGACCTGATCGACTGGACTAAACAGCTGAATTTGGATACCGACGAGAGTGACGACAGTGACGAGGACCGTAACTGGCCTCGTCCAACCCGGAGTGTACCTAGGTTCAAGAGGTTCTTAACCTCAACAGAGGATCGCAGCATTACAGCACTATGTAACAGAAGATATTGGTCCCGAATGTGGATCATACAGGAAGTCATGCTTGCGGACTACCTGGAGATACATTGTGGCTCAAAGATTGTCTCGTTATCTAGTCTTGTGCTATCGCTCGAGGACCTCGCAAGTGCGGTCAGACATTTGGAACTTATGGACCCTTCTTTTTCTCACGATAAGACTTACATGTCTCACCTTGACGAAATCCTCGCCAGTCCTGCTATGGACATCGCTATGATACGGGGTCAATCCACACCACGTGTGTCAGTCACTTTCTCGGATTTGTTGGAAGCATATGGCGACCATGAGTGTGGGGACATTCGAGATAAAGTCTACGCTCTTGTAGGGGTCGCAGAATATGGCCAGTCTATCAAAATCGACTATCGCAAGTCAGCAAAAGACGTTCTTATCGACCTCCTGTACCACGAAGGCAATCGGATTAAACACAGAAAAACTATTTTCAAGCATCAAAGATGGGAGGGTGATGAGCTGTTCAAATTTGCGCAGCTTTTGAGCAGAGTGTTGAACGTGCCTCTTTCTGAGACTGAGATACAGCTCCACGTTAGCCAGAGCGAGAGCGTAGCGATGTTTCGGGACTGGGAAGAATAAAATTAACAGATGGCGTGATTTGAGATCTTCAACGCAGAAGGAAAGCCGACATATGAACATCAAGACCACAAGTGATCAAGCAATTGAACACTCTCAATGATCATAAACTCCATTAACATCTCCATGCTATACTGAGCGAGCCTGCAATCCAATCCGAAGCTCCCACGCTCAATGCCTAGTATTATGTACGAGAAGATGCAGACGTGAAATATATACAGTGAACATCGGCATCTCGTCTCATACTCTTCAATCCAATTGTAATCGATCCCTAATGACCTCAACACTCTCTAAACGAATAGCCCATCTATCTAACGGCGGTACTGGCCCTGATGCTGTTGCTGCGCGTACTTTGCTGCCTGTTGCGCCTGGTCGAAGCTTGCGCCGTAAGCCTGCGTGGGCGGAGCCTGCTGCTGTTGCTGCGCCATGTTGCCGTAGCCTTGCGGTGACGGCTGTGGGAAATACTGGCTCTGTGGTGTCTGCGCTGGGGAGACCCAACCTCCAGGGATGTTCATCTGTGGGGTTGGCGCCTGCTGGGGGAAGTACTGCTGCTGCTGTTGCTGATACATGGGGTGCATCTGGCTCGGTGTTGAGTACGCCATTCCGACGATGCCTGACGGCGTGCCGGGCCCGGTAGGCATGCCCATAACACTCGGAGTACCCATCATGCTTGGCGCGCCCATTACACTCGGAGCACCCATGCCGGTTGGCGTGCCCATACCCATAACACTAGGAGTACCCATCATGCTCGGCGCATAGTTGCTCTGAGCCATCGTATATTGTTGCTGCATCTGCTGTTGCATCATCATCTGCTGGCGTTGCTGGACCTCCATCATTTGGCGCTGTTGGGTCTGCAAGGTGCGTCGGTCGATCTCAGCTTGCATAGTCGGTGTGAAGCTCTGGCGATTGGCCTTGTGAGCCGCCTTCTCCTTCTCGCGATAATCGATATAACCTGTAAGACCTGTCGGAGGCTCCTTTTGCACTTTCTTGGTGTTCTGCGAAAGGTCCAGAAGAGGAGTGTTTGTCATGCGAGCCACCTGTTCCTGCTCGCGAGCAGACAAAGTAGTAGGTTGTTGATTAAGCAGTGTCTCAGCACCGCGGCTTAGAGGGCGGCTGGGTGGACGGGCAGGACCTGGAGAACCCTGAGGCGACCGCTGAATATGACTCCAATCTCCAGAGTGCGTACGAGTCCAATCTCCGGAATGCGTGCGACCGAAAGGAGGTGGGGTGTGTGATTTGCTCCTGCCATGTCCATACATTATAGGCTGCTGCTGATGCGCCGCACGATGCATCACCCAGTCTTCAGGATCCAGCCTTGTTCTGTCCGGCTGCTGTGGTGAGGCTGCAGCCGGTTGCCATGCGACTTGTCGTGAATCCGAGATCTGCGGAGAGTTCGAACCACTGCGCGCATGCATGGGTTGGTTAGGTGACCCTGCACCGGAGATATAAGACAGTCGGTGCTGTTCATTCGGGGTAGTCGCAAGGTTCTCCTTGGACCGCGAGGCGCTGTTATCGTGCAGCATCTGTGTCATGGTTCCACTGGTGCCCGGACGCTTGCCGTCAAAGTCCAGCGCGTACGTCGGGCCAAAGTCAATACTGGGAACAGCTGCAGGCGCCTGTGCTGGGTCCAGAACAGACTTGTAGCCATGTGGATCTTCATCTGAGGGAAGCTTTACGTTTGGATCTCCAATCATGGTCAGAACACCGCTTCTTGGTCGATCGGTGCGTCGTTCAGGCAATCTTCGTGGAGGAGGCGCAGGTTCCTCTTCAGCGATGCTGGCATAGTCTGGCGTGGAAGTCGATATGGCATCATCGTCGTAGAAACTACTTGATCCGCTTGGCTGACGATTCAGAGTGGGCTGTGTGATGTTGAAAGCATCGAGAGCTTCAGGGTCGATTACGTCCTCTCGTAAACTGTCGAGTCTTGAGCTACTGGTCGAAAGGGTGTCATCCTCTTGCGAGGCTAGGGGAGACCGACCTGGTACTGGTTTACGGGGTATGCCGCCGCTTTCGGGGTGCGGACGATAAGGGAGCTCGTGACTGGGGGGCTGTGGCGGCAACTCACTATGTTCTGGGACCGATGGAGCTGTCGGCTGGTAGCCTGTGGGAGAGTCGACGAACTCGGAATGCTCGACGTATGGTGATGCGGGAATGGTAGACAGGCGGTTCCCGGAGTTTTGGTTCGTTGGAGGCGGCCTTGAGTTGACACCAAGATACATCGATTGCCCCTGATCGCCGTACGCGTTGTAGTCACCACTGCGTCTGCTCTGTATGGTGTCCTGATTTCTCCAAGCACCGACTGCGCCAGCGGCTGCTACACCCCCAGGGAACGATCCATGTGAAGCGTCAGCCATTTGTTGGAGCGTGGCAGAGTCGACTGCAGGGTTTGGCTTTGCCATGGGCATGTTGGGACGAATGGGGGGCTTCTGATTGGCAGCGTGCTCCTGGGTCGGAGGAAGGTCGACATAACCTTGCGGTGGAGCAGACAGATCTGCAGGCGGCGGTGGAAGGTTCTGTGGCTCCTTGATGGGGCTCTCGTCGTAATCTGACGCAGACGAATCATAAGGCTGGACCGCCCCGTTCGTCGAACCGTTGAGTATACGATGCTGGGGAGGCGTCGGCGGTCGCTCGTCTTCGTATGGCGTCTCATCTCGCGTGAATCTAGAAGGAGTGTTCTCGTTGCGTCCGTTGACTTGCTCCGACACGGATCGTTGATGGCGTGGAGTACCGAATGGGTTTGCAGCGGGAGCTGTTCCAACACGACGCGGCGCTTGCACTTCAAAGTCTGGGAACTTGCGTGTGGGAGATGACGCGCGTGTGGACGGGCTGGAGCGAATGGAGCCTTGGTCTTCAAATCGCAGGTTACGAGGTGTGAAGCCTGCCCGGCTGACGGTATTCCTGCGGCTGGCGCGACTGTAGATGGATTCCGCGTCCTGGTTCGCAGTCACCATTCTTGTGGACGTGAGGTCCTTCAATTGCTTCCTCCAGTGGCGCTCTGACCACTTGTCGCTGCCCTCAGTGTTGATCAAGCCCACCACGTCCCACATCTCCAAGTATCCGTAGCGCCTGTCGGAAGGCATAGCGAACATCAGACCGCGGGTGTCTAGAACGTCTGCAATCAACTTCTTTGGGCGTCCGTATAGCGAGAATGTATCGAACACGGGGAAAAGGTACTGGAGCATAATCTCAAATCCTGAGAT